AGCGAGAAACTCAACATGGAATCGTACAGAGGGATAAGCTCAACCTATCCTCAACGACCGTTGCTTGCCTGGCCGACATCTGAATTAGGTCACCCCCCTTTGGCCTGCTTCAACGTTTCGACGCTGAGCCGCCTTGTAGAACTGACCCGCTGACATTTGCCAATGAGCTGCATTGCGGTGTTGCCCGCTTGTTCAATGCAGAAGGGAATGGATTTGATTATATCAATCCCAGGCCAATTTGAGGTTGACTAGCATTTGGAGTGACAAAGTTGCCTCTGCTCGGAAAGGCCGCGCCAGTGGACTAGGGCAACGCATCCAACCTGCGACTAGATCTGGTCAAGCAGCGGTATGGTCCACCGAGTGACCGAAGCCGTGGGACATGTTGGATGAGAAAATGGCGGTTCCGTTGGTGATGTTGCTGCAGCTGGTGTCGCTGTAGAACTCCAACTCCGAAACGCCCCAGGTCTGCACCACGTCAACCATGTTCACCACCTGACACAAGGAAATGGTTGAATTGGGGTCGTAGAAGGATCAGGCGAGAACCTTGCCACTAGGTCCTTTTGTAGTTTCAAGCTCAACTCCACTGGAGCTTGCCATATCAAGGCATGCACAGCTGTCAAGGCAAGCATCTGTTGCTGATGCCTTGCTCTCATGCCAAGATCTTGGCAACAATATTGTCTCATGTCAACACACATGCCTCACCAACGATAGCAGTTCGGTGATGAAAGCCATTTGCGCTAGAGACCTGTGGGGAACTTGATTTGTGCAAAACACGTCTCACTCAAATTATGGGAGCACGACCAGAACCTTTTCTGGAGTGCTTCCTCTACCTCGCTTGCCCCATCAAGGCTCAACCTGTTGTGGCCAGGGGGCAAAAGGTAGGCGTTGACCCACCCAAACCTTCCTAGCCCACACAGACCTAACTCAACCCACCCAAGACCCTCAAAAACCCAGCCAAATCCACACTGCCAAAGCCACTGAAACCCACGCACTCGCCGCCCCGCCGCCCCGCCCCACCCTCCAGGCATCGAAGAGATCCTCCGCCTTCCGCGTGCGCACGAGCTGATTTTGGCGCCAGAACTCCAACTCCGCCACTTGGAAGACCACGGTACCTGACGCCAATCCCAGTGCGAATTGGCTCCAAGGATTTGGAACGTCGGCTTCCCTTTTGGCTTCCTTTTGATTTCCCTTGGGTTTTTCTACCTCAAAAAGGGAAAATCCGCCAACATGGGTTTGTCTGAAAGGATTTGGGACCTCTGAAAGGGGCTTCCATTGGGCTCCCGATGGATTCTGGGGCCCCGCAAAAGGTGTCCACCCCAGTGCAATGCTTGTATGCATTCATGTGTTGGCCTTGGTTTCAAGAAAAGCCAAATGCAAAACTAGAATCTATTCAAAGGGGGAGCCCAAACTACCATCCATTTTCTTGGTGACTCAAAGTGAGGCACATAAACAAATGTCAGTATGCTCTCTCCCTTGCGTGTCTGAGTCAGCATTGGACCCAAGAGATGCCGACTGAGACATACCCTGGCTTTGTTCGCGACCCCCTCAACTAACATACTGCCCGGAAATATCATCACTACACATCTCAAAACCAATGCCCATTGAACTGCAAAAAAGCTAGTTAGGGCACGCCGAAAGCGTGTTGTACGCTGCTTATCTGAAGATCAAGGACCCAAGTATATCCCAATCACACCCAAGCCATCCCATACAAACATGACAAGTTCCCAAGTTACACTCCACAAGACACAATGCGATAAGGATCAAGTATCCCACAACAAAACCTGGACCATCCCAAAGAATCATTTCCGTGTTTCTTGGCCGAAAACCGGCTACACCCATGTGCACTAGCAGTTGCCTCAACACTTGGTTGTTGTTGTTGACCCCCTTGCAAAAAGCTAAAACAATTTTGGGGGTTTGGCGGAAGGCACCTGTATTTCAACCAAGAAGCTAAAAGTCTAAAGATCCGTTGCCCAGCAGTCAAGAACAGCAGGTCACGAGAAGAAAACAAAAACAAAAACGAAACACTAAGCGCAGCGAAGATGCTGCACAGCCCTGAGACGCAGTAGCCTCAGGGCCGTCGGCCCAGGTGAATCGTGCACATGCCTCCCCCCAAAGAACTTTGACGTTGGAAGAGCATGTGTTTAAAATATTTAGCAGTTCAGTGGTTGGATTTCAACCACAGGGATCCTTGCAGTGAACACACCTGAGCATTGCAACTTGTAAATGGTGGTTTCCAACTTTATTTTGGTGTTGAAAAAGCAATGTTTCAAATGCGCAAAATGTATCTTTTCAGGAGCCCTGTCCCACTAAACCACAATAAGCAAAAAAAGTAAAATGTGTCCCAACAACCGTGAGAAGGGGGCACAAGAAACATGGCACCTGCCGGGGAAACGAATGCTTCCGCCAGCAAAGGCTAAGCAGTTTATGGAACATGGCACACACTCGAAGGGGGCTTGGAGTGATTGGTGAAGCAACGCGCCTGTTTCACTTCAAAAGAACTTCGGGGAATTGCCGGCATATGGGCTTTAGGTCTTGGCTCTTTCTGATTGGGCCGCGCAAGGGTCCAAGAAGGTGGAATGGAATCAATGAAGTTGTCAGACCCCTGTTGATCATCTTGTGGACATTCCTAGATGCATAGTAGCCAATGCAAAGAAGGGCTACTGAACAACAAGCCCCTCGTTACTTGCAAGGTTGACCAGGGGCATCCTTCTTTGACTTTGTGGGTTTGCTATGGCTTGGTGAAAGGGAAACCACAGGACAACCGCCAGCTTGGAGCCCCCATCTTGAAAGAAATCAGCATTCTAGCATGACCTCTGCGCCGCGACTTCTTCGGTCATCTGGGTATGGGTGAAAATTAAACCACCAGACAATGGTCCGTTCCATGTACCAGGGGTCCATTTTGGGGTTAACTCCCTGGATGAGTGGATGGCCCAAAAAAAGTCCAAGCTTTAGATTTACCACCAAAGTGGTCTTCCCAAAAAGCTCAAAGTTCATGAACTCAGGAAGTGAGTTGCCCAATTTTTGACCCACCGCCTTTTCTCACGTGAGGCGCCTGAGAGGCAATTCGTCTCATCGGCGCAGGCGCAGCCATCGCCCAAAGGGCCCGCCGCGCTGCAGTCAGAGGTGCCGTCCGAGAAGCCCCGGGACTTGTGTACGGTCCAGCGGTAGAAGCGATAGTTGGGCACTGTGCACCACACCTCCTGGTCTCAAGGAGGGCCAAGGAAGGGAATCCTGAGGGCGCCTTATAACCGCCCTTTAATCTCAGTGGTTCAGTGACCCTGGGAAAAAAAAGGGAAATGTTTTTTTTTTGGGAAGACCATTTTGGTGGGGCAGCCACTAAAAAAAAAAGGGGAAACAGGGGGCCACTGAACAACTGAGTCTTTGACAAAGGAAGTGGGAATGGGTCAACGTTTAGGACCGTGGGGTTAGGGGGGGGGGGGCGGGTCGGCGGGGGGGGGGGGGGGTAAGGGAATCCTGAACGGCGTGGATGTTTTTGGCGTGGGGGCCTGGGAACGAACGACTTCAGAGACCCTGAATCGGTTTGCCAGCAAGACCGAAGAAATGGACCAAAAGGGATTCGAGGTGCTCGAAAGGATGGCCTGAGAAGTAACATGCTGGAACTTCGAACTTTCGTTGCCAATCAACTTCGTGGAGAGTTGCCAATTCCTCCAGCGTCCCTGGATCAGGAACTGCACACAACCAAAGAGATCCCATGTCAGACTATCAGCTATCAGGCAGCCTCAAGAGCCATCTCGCTCTGGGTCCTTCCCAGGGGGCCGAACAACCCGACATCAACTCCCTGTTTGTCATAGAGCCCCACAACTTGGTCAAGGTACCCTCAACCCAGGCTGTTGATTGATTTTATATCTACATGTTCTGCCTTCATCAATTGAGTCCCAACCCAGCCAGGAAAAATATGGCTGTGGCTCAAAAACCGGTACCAATATATGGGTTGCCCTGGTAAGTGGAATGGACCAAAACCTGCGGTTTGCCCCTCCGATCGTTTAATCTTGAGAACCACCTAAATGTGTCTATCATTTGAGTCCAGGACTACATGCGACGGTCCCCAAACGTGAAAAAGCAAGACACAAAAAGGAAAAACAAAAAAAACACAGCTGGTGACGTCCTCCGTGGCGCCAGTAGTGAGCAAGCCAAGCAGCAGCCGGGCCATGGCCCCAGCTCCCAAGCTTTGAGCTCACGACCCTTGCGGGCATAGGTGGGCTTTTGGAAAGATCGACGGGTTTTGTCTGGTAAATGAAACCCATCACCGGTGGAACCCATCTACTTTTAATCAAACCTAAAAAGGACACCTATGCTTGCAGATCGCAAGCAAAGAGCCAAGCTCCGCCAAGCGGATTGGCACATGCTCCACCACTGGCGTCGGCAAGCTGGACAGCTGATCAAAGCTGCCTTCCCCCCCCCCCCCGCCAACCAAACAACACAAGCAAAAAGGGAAACGGAATGCAAGCAAGCAAGCAAGCAAACAAACAAAGAAAGAAACACGGGACCTGCATGAGGCCTGGTTTTAATGCATGATCAATTCAAAGGAACCCCCTCAGGCTCCCTTCTGCTTGCTGTTGGACATGACAAACGCACGCGGGCACCATAGTACAGCACAGACAGACTGCATCCAGCAGGCTGTCCATTAAACCAATCCAACCACAGCAGCCATGGCAAACGAATAACAGCAGCAATAGCAGCAACATGCCGCCAACCAATCCAACAACACCGACCAAGCCGTCAACGCGAAATATATCATCCAAATGAACAAATCAACTCATACCAGTGTCAGCCTCTGAATCCCAGGCAGAAACCGGCTATGGGGGGTTGTTTCAAGGCACACCGCAAACAACTCAACATCACTTGCTGGTGCGATAGGGAACGAGTTGGAATGAACCTGGGGATTCCGTTAAAGGAAACCACCAGTTGGATGGTTTCTATTCGGGTCATATGCAACCTGTTTCCCTGCATCTCTCGCACCGGTCAGCCAGCCAAGGCGCCAGGATCAGATACTGTTGCAGCGCCCCGGGCTCTGCCAGGGCCATCAGCTCATGACGTTCTGCGGCATCGGTTTGGGCAAATCGGTCATGGCTCAAAGGGAAGTTCAACAGGAACCCTGTCATGTGGCATTCATTGTGAGCCAATGTAGGTGTCATTCAATGAAACGTTGGATACATTTGGATACTCATAAGATACTGAAATGCTGTTGCCCGTGACAGTCCAGTGCTGCAAAACGTACTGGACCATCCGGCTCAGGACCAAACATGGTCCCTGCGTGGGTATATTGTCACACAATGATGTTCTACCTCACTTCCAATCGAGTGGACTCTGCCCATGTCTTCCCAACAAATCTCCAGTCCAGAAACTCAGAGAGCTACTTGCTCGCAAGCCAGGAAAAAAAACAGCTAGCATGGCAACAGTTCTTGAGAGAGGAGAAGACGCTACAACTTGGGCACTGTTCTTAAATTAAAGGGAGCCTGCAAAGGGATGTATCATTCTGCCAATTCCTCATTGCCCCCTAAATGCTCGACTGCGCAAGTGGTCAACCCACTTCAAAAGGGTCATCGCTCTCTCGAACATCAACCTGACTTGTGACTTGGTTGTGGCCTTGCTCAATGCTAGTCCCCTCAAGGAAAACAGGCACCCAATGTGTTCCTCAAGCAAGGGAAACAACATGGATACATACATTGTCTCAAATCAGACATGAAAAGGTCATCGGAGTGTTTCAGCTACGGTACGTGGGGGGACGGTAGGGGACCCACAGCAAATGTCTCCTGTTACCCATGTTCATTCAAGACAAGCGCCCACGGGCTTCTGTGAGCCTAAGAGAAGAGCAGCACACTGCCCCACAGATATTTATTTGGGATGTGTTGCTTCAACATGCACAACCCCAGTGATCCTCACCAGCAGATCTGAATCCCATCACAACCCAGGCTCGGTAACAAACACTCATTTCAGCACCGTCATTCCGTGGCTCCTGAATGGGCACAATGAGTGGTCGATCGGCCCTTTGGCCCTCCAAGACGTGCCATTGCGGTGACCCAGTAATCAAAGCCGCGGATTTGAACAGGCAAGATACAGCAGCGCAGGGGGGCTGCACCGACCTCTGAGTCATAATCAAGACCCGGTATTAAAATGGTCTAAGCACAACCATGTAAAGAATTAAGAAGGCGGTCGAAGCTATTTCTGGTTGGGATTGTCCCTTCCTAACCTTCATCTACCCGGGTCTTGAGCACGTGGCTCATCTGGGTTCAAAGTGTGGAGCAAGGCAAGTGGTGGCTTGGTTTCCAACTTCCTGGCCCAAAGACCTTCAGCCCTGGCCACATCAAATCGAGGCTTCGACTCAGCTCAGGGGCGCACCTCCACACCAAGAGAACTCAGACTTGCACACACAAATCCCGGAAAAGGCAGTTACCCAAGCCTTGTGGTTGAAGATATCGTGATGAAATCTGATTGTTAAAAGCAAGAATAGCTTGCAGACACGACTACTGCGGGCTCAATAGTTCCATGTAGTCCTTTCATATCTGTTCGCTGGGCACAGAACACAGACCGTGCCTCGCCAAATCACGATGGGCGCTAAGGTCAGAGACGATGCAGGCGACCTCATGTCGGATCAGTTGGGGACCTGGTGGCTGGTTGCATGCAACAAAAGCAATAATTCTGACTGCCACGTGGTACTTGTTTCCCCCACATTGGGCATGGGCAGGAGGCAGCAAGAGGCACCGATCGAATTTCTCCTGGCTCAGTCAGTGGTTTGAAGCGCTAACTTCAGTAACGTGTGTGGATCCAAGCTGTTTGATCGGATAGTTTGCTGTTATGCTAGGCATAATTCATCAGCATAATGAATAATTTTAACCGGTGCCCACCTCGATTCACACATAAAACGTATGTGCTGCCTCGCAACATGTAGAACACGGTCTGCATCGCCTGAGTCAACCAGAGCGTGACGACCAACTGGCAATATCTACGTCATCACGCCTCCAATGAGCAAGAGGCAATCTGTCCCAACATGTGTCTTTTGCAAACTCCTGCACGCCAGCGATCAAGTAGGCAACGATAAACACCACTAAGCACGAACTACACTCAGCCATGAACCACCCGGACAGCCACGACAACAAACTCATCGCAGCAGCAAACAGCATAAGCCGCATACAACCGGCCAACACCTCCCACCAATCACAAGGTTGACGCAACCGCCCAAGCCGGGCTTACACAATTCATTCCGCCCTCATGTTGGGCCCGAAGAAAACCACCCAACATTGTTGCAAAACGCGGTGCTCGCTCTGCCTCAAAGAGAAAACTATAATATACGGTGCCAGTAGTCTACCTTTCAGCAATCATTGGCTGAAGAAATTAACGTTGACTGCATGTTCATCAAACCCCAGTTTATTAATAAGGGATGTCCAACTGGGTTTAGAGGGAATCGTCACTGTTGAAAACCAAAACAACCTTTAAATCAGTAAATGTGAAAATGTCTCACGGACCCTTTCTCTCTTTTCCAGCATTGTGTGGGTGCCTGATTTGCATTCCCCACTCAAAAGTTGGGTCCCCTCCAGGGCCCCCCCCCCAGTCTAAGCCAAAGAAACGGCGCCGGTGCGCCTGGCCGTTTTAGAAAAACCATCCCTGCCCAAGTCCGAGTGTGTGAGTTCATCAGCCCAGGGGTTGAATTCCCTGGGAGTGTGATTTGGAGCCATGGAATATCCGTGCTTGTGAAGTTGCAGGATGAGCTCCATGAGGATGACGGCCGTGTTTGACCACAAGAATCCAAACCTTGTCGCGTTCAGGTGGTCTCTGGAAGCAGGCCTCGACTGCCTCGCCCGGTATCCCGCGCATAGCCGCATAGACTTCATCTTGGAGTTCCTGGTCTTGTAATTGAGCGGTTGCGTTTTGCACCACGTGCAGCTTCCAAGCAAGAGGCCTAGCATCGCCGCTGCCATCACCAGCACTTGCCCTGGCCGCTACTTATCGGCGAGGCTTTCCTTGAAAGACCAGTTGCCTGAGGAATCTGTCTTTCCCGACGCCGTTTGCTGTTGCCAACTGAGCGAGGCGGTCTTCCAGTTGCTCAAGCCTAAGCGGGACCGCGTCATCCCTATCATCCATTCCAGACATACAGAGCGCCGTATCGGGGGTTTGAACCAGTGAGCGCGAGGGCGGCAAACTTACAAATGTGTATGCGTGATGCGATACCGAAACTGCCTATCGGTTTTGTTGTAAAATTGGATAGGCCTTCCTCTATGCACAATTCGCAATTGATGGGGCACGCACGTTCATGGAGCGGGTGAATAAGCCTGAAGAACACCAATCAATGAACTTGATATTAGAAGGAATGTTTTGAGGGCTTCATAGAAACATGAACCCTCAATGTTTGTGACAGGAAATGTTCAGAACACCCACAGAAGCAACTTGCCACACCCGACAGCCCAACATGAGCAGCACAAGCATGAGGCTCCTTCAAGCATAGGGTTCGAACGATGCTGACGTTTGCCCAAGTGCTTATGCCAACAGAAAGTCTCCTGCCCCTTTCTTTGCACGTGGCCTTTGGAAGGCAACATTTTCTGTGCCCGGCGCATGTGGGGGGACTTGGGATTTGGAGGGAAGTGAGGGTCATCTTGCGGAAAGCCCACTTTGCTTGGCCAAGTTTCCGGATCTTCTTTCTTGACCTCCCTTTTATTCGCCCATTGTCTTCATCATTAACAAAACAAATCACGTCCCACGAAGCACAAGGGTCGTGGGACAATGCTTCAAAAGGTATTGGGGCCGGACTTGGGTCACCGTCACCAGAGCCACAATCAAAACCGGGTAAACGAAGATCAGAAAGGGATACTCCCAACCATAAACAGCTGCGGCTGCCTTCTTAATTCCCTACATGGTTCTGGGTAGACCATTCTACTGGGCTGTGCTTTGTGTTGTGCTTTTGTGGTTCATTTTTCCGACGGCCGGCGTTTCTTTTTGATTTAACCTTAGACTTGAGGGTTAACTAGGCGCGTTCCGGAACACAGTTTTCAGCAGGCAGAAGGCGCAACGCCATGAGCCATCTGGAACGAATCAAAGCACGCAAAGCGAAATGAGCACGCGCATGTCAGAGCCACGTTTGGGCTATCTATCACAGATGGCGTCCAACACAAAAGTAGCCCCCGCAAGTTTTCCAGGAAGTTTGCGCTACGAGGCACTGCCCCAGAAACGGTGCTGCCTAGAGTGTGCGTGCAAAAAGTGCCCCAGAAACGGTGCTGCCTAGGCGATGATATCCGATGACGAGGTGCTGCAAAAGCGCCCCAGAAACAGTGCTGCCAAAGCGCTGTTGCAAGATGATGGGGTGCTGCGCTGCAAAAGCGCTGTTATAAGATGATGAGGTGCTGTAAAAGTGCCCCAGAAACAGTGCTGCAAAAGCGCTGTTGCAAGACGACGAGGTGCTGCAAAAGCGCCCCAGAAACGGTGCTGCAAAAGGGCTGTTGAACGAAGACGAGGTGCTGTAAAAGTACCCCAGAAACAGTGCTGCAAAAGAGAAACGGTGCTGCAAAAGCGCTGTTCAGGGATGATGACAAAAAGCACCCCAGAAACGGTGCTGCGTAGCTGCATCTGAGAACCTCCTGCGAACCACCGGCAGGTTCGGCACGCTATAGCTCAAATCACAGGTGGGGAATGGCCGCTTGCTGGCAAGCTAGGGTTGACAAGGTCAAGGCGGCGCTTGCTCAGCACCAGCTACCTGCCCCATCTTCTTGGTGCAACCGCGCCAATTCCCAAGCAAATCCTGTGTGCCTAGCCCTTAAGATCCAAATGGGGTAAACTTAGGTTTTTGAGATTTTACTCCTTGGCCGCGGGGTAAATGAACAATTTGTTCGTTTTTACAATACGTCGAGGTTCGTCAGCCCAACAGTGGAAGAGTCATTTACACGCATTGCCTGGCACTTGCGTGGCTCGATGTTCTGCTGCCAGCTAAATGTGACGCAGCTGCCTTCTCAGCCTGAGTCAACCGTGCTTCACAGTTCTTGCATCTAGTTCTTGCTTCTGTTGGTTCTTGCTACCGACCATGATGATCCATGAAGATTTATGAAGCCCCCGGCATCCCAGACCTTCCTGCCCATGAAGGCGCTCCCATGAAGGCAATGAAGGCAACACCCAAAAAGTCAATGAAGGCCATGAAGTCAATGATGATATTTATCAAAATGTTGGTTTTTAAAGCCTCTCCAATTCATGAAGAATATGTTTCGACAGGGCAAGGCTGGTGGAGCAATTGCTGGTCCTTTTGAGAGGGCTCCCGTAAAAAGATCAGGCGAAGAAGCCGTGAGACGCCTCGAGACTGCAGAATGGACAGTGCAGGCTGCAGGCCGGAGGCTGCAGGCCGGAGGCTGCAGACTGCAGGCTGGAGACTGCAGACTGGAAACGCAGACTGGAAACTGCAGACTGGAAACTGGAAACTGCAGCTTGAAGATTGCAGACTGGAAACGGCTGCAGACTGGAGACTGCAGACTGGAAACAGACTGGCGCAGACTGGAAAATGCAGACTGGAAACTGGAGACTGCAGGCTGCAGGCTGGAGGCTGCAGATTGCAGGCTGGAGACTGCAGACTGGAAACGCAGATTGGAAACTGCAGACAGTAGACTGAGACTGATTGCAGACTGGAAACTGGAGACTGCAAGCCGGAGGCTGCAGTGCAGGTTGGAGACTGCAGACTGCAGGCTGGAGACTGCAGACTGGAAACGCAGACTGGAAACTGCAGACTGGAAACTGGAAACTGCAGCTTGAAGATTGCAGACTGGAAACGGCTGCAGACTGGAGACTGCAGACTGGAAACAGACTGGCGCAGACTGGAAAATGCAGACTGGAAACTGGAGACTGCAGGCTGCAGGCTGGAGGCTGCAGATTGCAGGCTGGAGACTGCAGACTGGAAACGCAGATTGGAAACTGCAGACAGTAGACTGAGACTGATTGCAAACTGGAAACTGGAGACTGCAAGCCGGAGGCTGCAGTGCAGGTTGGAGACTGCAGACTGCAGACTGGAAACGCAGACTGGGAACTGCAGACTGGAAACTGGAGACTGCAGACTAAAAGCTGGAATAGCTATCAATCGTGCGCGCCAAGCTATGAGTCGCTGCGAATCGTGCGCGCCGAGCTGTGAATCGTTCGGGCCTGTGATTTGTAATTACACCGTGCGTGCGTAGGGGTACTGAGACCGCGTGTGATTTGTACAATGTGCGCGCGTGGGGTTGTTGAAAGACTCGAAAAGAGCGATGCCAACAGCTGTTTGACAGGAAACGTTGCGAGTCACACATCCTCACTTGCTGTGTTTCGTGAAATGACCACACGTGGCCTCTATGGATGGTCTTGGGTGTTGGGAGCGCTCTTCAAATAAAGGTCAAAGGCCCTGTCAAAGCTCCCATCGAAGAAAGAGGTTCCGCGCAAGATCTCCCTGGGAGATTTTATACGGAATTTCTGCAGAAGTTGCAGGCAAGATTCGTGTGGAAGGATCCTTGCAGAAGCAGAGCTTTTGGTGGGGTTTCTTGATCGAATCTCTTGGCTAAGATCTGAGCGCAGAACCCTAGAACCCTCTACAAGCTCTCAGCTCAGGATTTGTAGATCTGCAAGATTTCTTGAAGATCTCAATACAGGAGGATCTTTGCACGAAGCCCGTTCTGGCCACCTCCAGTAATGTGGCCAGGCACAACTCCCTGCACTCCGCCCCGGGCTCAACATCTCCTCAACCAGCTCCTCCTGCGCCTTCTTCTGGGCCACCTGCTCAGCCTTGTCCAGCTGCCTCATGGCCTTCGACTTGGCCGTCTCGGGGTGGAAAATCTGGAAGGTCTGCTCCTCCTGCATCCGCAGGTTGTTCTGCAACTTCGCCCACTTCGTTTTGGTGCGGGGGCGCCTTGGCCTTCCTGTCCCGGACGGCCATGCGGAAACGCATGGGCACCACATCATGCCCAACTTCCAGCGACTTGGCGTCAATCAACTCGTTCCGGCCCCCAGCATCGCGTCGCCCAGCCTTCTGGGAGTTTGCGCTCGCCTGGATCCACTGTCCACCCGAGCCAATGATGAGGTGCCAGCTCCATGCGCCCACCGACGGTCCCTGAGCCCTGCTCTGCGTCTGCGACACCTCTTCCACCATCAGCAACTTTGCCACAGATCGACGGGAAGGAGTCAGGGAACATCTCGAACTTGAAGTGCCCCGTCTTTGCCAGGTCCGGCTTGAAGCGGACGGTCTGCGGGGTCTGTTCTCCTCGGGGACCGACCCTTTGCCGACATCTCCGAAGGCCGCATGCGGGGTCCGGCTGCTGGGAACCGAACCCAGGCAAGAAGTCGTCCTGAATCTCTGTCTTGTCCTCGTTTGTCACGTTCTGGACCGTCAAGTCACTCAGTACTCGCCTCCATCGCTTGGGATGCCTCCATGCTGGGGGTCGCTGGGGCTCACGGCCCCCGAAGGTCCCGAGACAGAGAGAGCTTGGCAATGCAGTCGGAGAGCTCCGACAAGCTACCGGCTCCTCTTCCTCCTTCACCAATGTGGTGTCCACCAACTCGAAGGAGTCCACGCTGGCTGCAGAGCGAGACATGGTCGAGTGAATGAGAGGGGTAGCAAATGCTACAAGTTTTTCAGTAGGCGATGCCCCAAACACACTTGAGCCAAAATGGCAGGGGGCATTTTGGCTCATATTAGTGATTTATAAAATGGCAGCGCTACGCTCTTCCAATAGAAACATATTAAGAAACTGATTGGTTGATGAATAGCAATTTCGCATCACCGTTCAGAAACCCCTGGTTCCTGACTTGATTCCAACGTAAATACCCAGAAACGTTATGGTTTCCACCATGGTAACTCATTTCGTGGTGCTATGGATAGACGAAATCTTGCACCACAAAAGAGAAACCCTGGTCTCTGATGATTGCCCTGTAAATACCGACGCTGGTTTCCTATGGTCTCAAAAGCTATGTCACCACCTAAGAAAAGCTGGAATGATGATTCTCTGGCAAATACCAACAAACAATGGTGTCTGCCTGGTTTCCAAGTGGTGCGGTTTACGGATTTCGCAACCATCCACAGTATGTCTGAAACCCTGGTTTCCGATGATTCCCCTGTAAATACCAACCCTGGTTTCTTCGTGTCTTCTGGTCTCTCGGCTATGTCTGGGTTTCGCCCGTCGCCCACCCGTGACCGCCGCCAGAACAGCGTCGACAGAAAGCCACGGCGCGCTGAGGCCGCTGGAGTGCAGCGCTCTCTGCGTCAAAAGCCACCGCAGCGCGGCGAAGACCTCCGAGCCTCGCTGCGCGCGGCTCGAAACGCTATGGGGGGGGGGGGGGGGGGGGTGAATCCGCCCGGCGAGTTGCGGAGGAAAGAAGAGATGAAACCCATTCTTTCTGGGGGTGAGAGGAAAAACTACACAGGGAGGAAACATAATTTAAACTTCTTTTTTTATCTGAGTCTGAGCAGAGGGTGCTGAGCAAGTGGGCTTGCAAGCAACTACAGGACCTGACAAATCAAGGTTAGCGCTTTGAGGCCAGTACTAAAAGTCACAACATAGGCTCTTTCCGTTTGCGCTGATGGTTCGAATTGAAAAACAAAAGTGGATGGAATACTGTTTCTGAACACTTTGACATAAGACTTCAGACTCGACTTTGATGCGCCACGCGCGGCTAGCACGAGCCAGCAAAGACAACCACATCTACGGCTTATCAAGACACATCACGCATGCACACCTCATTTCCTCGTACCCGAATGCATCCAACTTAGGCTGAACCGAACACCAACACATCGGACACCGAACAATTCCTCCAGAATTGGTCATCGTGAAACCCAACCTAAAAAGGGTAGATTTCACAATCTTATTGGATCGACCTAATGATGTTTGCTCAGCTCATTTGGTAGGAGCCCTATTGAGCATGATGCTTGCTCTTTGTTAGTCACGTGGGTGTGGCTCAAAATTAAAGAGCTCGGGTTACGCAGGTTTTAGTCTTTGGTTCCATTTACCCAGGGGCCATTTGGGTACATTTTATTGAGCCACAGTGTGCAAATTCCTGCATTAAACTGCCTGCCACAGTCTCGAATTTAGAAATCAGGGCCCCCACTGGGCCCCCAGATATTTTCCTGTCAGAACTTGACTCAAAACTGACTCATCCGGATGGGCGGTTTCCCTTTGGCCCGAAAAGGAAGGAGCTGCCGAGTGCAAAAAAAGGGGTGTGCCACTGTGCCACTGTGAGTTTCAGGCGCTCCAAATGTTGAACAGGCTTACAGGACTGCCTGTGTTATATGGCTGTGGCTCAAAAAACCGGAATTCCAAAATGGGTGGCCCTGGTAAGTGGAAACATGGACCAAAACCTGCGGTTTGCCCCTCCTGGTTAAATTTTGAGCCACACCCATATTTGCGCAGTGCATCAAACTCAACATGTTCCCTAAAAGCCAGCAGACGGCTTGACATCGCGTCACTCTTGCTTTGCATGACCCCCCCTCCACCCAAGTCCCTGAAATCCTTAAGACAATACCCAGCCGGAAGCACCCAGCAGTCGCCTATCTCGCCCGCCCGGGCGCGAGCGAGTGCGTTAGCGCGTTAGCGCGCGTTCTTAGCCCAGTCGCCCAGCACCAGCCAGAAGCCCCGGGCATCGAAATCGCTCTCCCCGTAGGAGGTGATGAAAATCCCCGCGGCGATCCTCACAAATTGGGCGCATTTCGGGGTATCTGCCCAAAAAGATGAGGGGAAGGTTATTCCTTTGAGCAGGTTTAATCTACACTTGCGTGCTGAATGGACCCTTCAAGATCGTGAATGTAGACGCCCCAAAAATCGAAAGTCGCCCATAATGTCTGCCAGCAGCCTCAAGTCAGCTTCAACGAGTTTGGTTCCACTGGAGAACTGTCCGCTTGCTGGGGTTCTGCCCGCAAGAATACCCAGTTTGGCTCGGCAGCGTCTGGCAAGCGCGTCAAACCTATGTAACTTGCTTGGCTGTGGGTCAAACCCTGCACCTTCAGTGCACATCGCAATTCCCACTAAAATAGACTAAAATGGGTGGTGCACCTACCCCAAAATGGTACCCTTGGTTTTGACCCCTGGCCACTTGGACATTGCCTGTGGTCGGCAGCAAGGCCCATGTTCAAGTTTGCACTGATATACTGAGAAGAGGGCACTTACCACTGCCTGGAATCTCTGGATTGATTCGGGAAATCCAACAGCAGCTTTTCTGCTCCGGTATGCCCCATGTGGGCCAAGGGTACCAACTAAAGTGGTTTGCCGTGTGTGTTTTCCCTTCCCAGAGGCTCCCGATTGACCTAGGGGCTTTCAAAGAACCTGGTGTTGAGACCCCCAACCACCAATTCCCGGAATGTCTACAGTAATGGAGGGGTCGGGTCTTGCATTGAAAGCCGAAGCCAGGAGCCTCTGGGTTGAAACCAACCCCAAAAAGGGCACTAACAACATGTACTGCCGAACCCTGTTGATGTGGGCCCAGCGGCAGGAGGACAGTACCTGCAATCCCGCAGCTACCTCAGTTGGGTGATGTGTCGTTTAACGAACCGAAAGTAAACCAAAAGAGAGGAAAGGGAACCAAATTGTCCGGCCTGGAAGCATGTAAGTGCTGATACTCCAACGAAAACAAGCAGGAAACCAGAAACGATCCAGTTATACAGCAAACGAAAGCCTGCAGGACAAGCAGGCAAAAAACCAATCGGTGACACATGTACAATTGCCAGCTGAAATGAAATGACCAAATGACAAGCAGCTCCAAAGCCGAGGTGGAATCTGGCACACAGTGCTAGAGCTCCTTTCAGAAGGACCGCTTTTTGGTAGATCCGCACCACGCCCCTGCTGGGTCGGAGCCCCTGAAAAAAATAAAAATAAATTTGTCCCAACAGATTGGAAACAAATCAGAGAAACCAGCCACACATGTTCGGGTTCTTTCTCTGTTCTCAACAACGTCTTTGGGATTTCTCCCCTACATCGGGAACCCTTATGGCTTGAACCAGCAACCAGCTGTTTCTTCCGTGTCCCCCCAAAATCGGGAACTCTTTCGCTCTGGGCAGGAAATCCAAGCAACCAGCCACATATTTTCAGGCCCCCCCCCCCCAACCGGTTTCTCAAGAAACACATCTAGGTCCTCCAGTAGAGAGGAGAATAAGGGCACCAACTCTCTTCTGTCATCTAATTTAGTAGGGGTCCCCACCAAAAAAGAAATGGCAAAAGGGCACCTAGCTGGGGGACCTAGACATGTTCAGCCCCTTTTGGTTTCTCCGGAAAAACCCGCTGGAAGCGTCGCCGGAGACCGGCGGCTTAGCCTCCGCCTTCTCTTCTCGTCTCTTTCGGCACCCGGGCAGGGCTCCATGCGCAGCAGCACGCCCAAGACCTCACGAAAAGCAAGCACCCTGTTTTTTTATGGATTTGGTCCATGTGGTAGATTAGATGTTTCACTGCAGCCGGTGGATGGATTTTCAGCCTAATACTCACTTGACTGTCGGCAAGCGCCGTTTTTGATTGCTGGTGCTCAGAAGGCAATGAGAAATGGAATGAACGAGAAAAAACCATGTTTTTCTTTGCAGCTTCCTTTAAGGGGACCCCCAGGTTCATTCCCACATTCCCTGAGCACCAGCAAGAAAAACGGCGCTTGCCGGCAGTCAAGTAAGTAATAAGCCAAAAATCAAACCACTGGCTTCAGTTGAACATCTACATGCTGGATGGACAAAATCCACTAAAAGCACCAGTCAAGTGAGTAATCAATCCACTGGTTTTTCAGACACAGTGTTTGTAGGGCTTCATCTATAAGTGATGCGAGATGGAAAACTCGTCCACTGTATTGAGATTTAAGCCACTGGTTTGAGCAGAAACCTACATGCCAGTGGTTTGAGTTGAACATCTACCTACCTCTGGTTTCTTTATTGAACATATTTATATAGACATATATATATATATAGCAATGTAATTTTGAAGGTACAAGCCGCCTTGGACCGCTTGAGGCATTTGGAGAACGCGCTGGCTCTGGGCATGTGGCTGGGTTAAGGCAACCGAACGATTGTTTTGGACACCCTTGACATTGTGGAAAAAGAAACCAAAATAAATCCATTTGGGACGAGTTGTTTGGAGGCCCCCTAAAAAAAACTCATGTTGGGCAAGTTTGGAGGACCCCTGAAAAAACTAATGTTGGACAAGTTTGAAGTTTGGAGGCTTGAGGAAACCCATGTTCGACAAGTTTGGAGCCTCCCCTGGTTTGAGACAAACCCAATCCTCGCAGATCGGAGCCTCCAGCCACATCTGAACGACCGTACGGCCACGTGAACAAAAGGCTTGGCTTCGTGTCCTGCCGAGGCCACGGCCAGAATGAAGATCAAGGAAGCCGACCTCGGGCGAATGAAGCTGAACTCGAAATGACCATCCCACGGATCCTGGGGAGGTTCCAGAACAAACAGGGATCCTTACATTATACACCTGAACATTGCCTTGTCTGGTGGAAAAGGCCATGTTTCAAATGGGCAAAATGCGTCTTTTGAGCAGCCCTGACAAACTGAGCGTGTATTCTGGTGCAATTGGGGGATGTCAAATTGAATGACAGTCGGTGAGAGCGTATGTGAAGATTTGAGTGAAGCAATCAGAATTGCACACAAAGCGGAGACGACATCTACGACTGCAGGGTTTCGCCTACGCAACCCCCCCCCAAACCACCACGACCTGCGCGGACTGCGGGTTCCCAGTCATCAGACCCGAAATTGCACCAGACCCCTTCAAGCCAACAGCCCATCCATCCTTAGCATAGGTGTCCTTTTAGGGCAAATAGATGGGTTTCCCAGGTAGATGATTGAACCACCAGGGAAACCAGGAATCGCCATCTATTTGTCCACCAAAACAACCAAAAAGGACACTATGCTCCTTAGGGTGTGCCGCCGAGTGGCTTCAGCATGGTGTAGAAGGCGACACTAATGAACAGGAAGCCTCAGTCACCGAATCATAGGAGCAGCCCGGGCACCTCCGTTTTTAGTCAAAAACGACAAGATTCATTGCTTTGAACTGTTCACGTGCATCAGCAGCGCACGAAATCTGCACGGCATCTTGTAGCGCACTCCGAATTTCAACAGCAGAGCTCCTGATTGCTGGGTTCCCCCTTGCCTTACGGTCGTGGAAACATCTACAAAGCACTAACCGTCTGCGTTGTTGGCCCTCCAAATACCAAAAACCCACCGGTCGGGTCACACATATCCCCCTGATTAATTCCATATTTAATAGCATGTGTATGTGTTTTTTCCTTTTTTCTAATTATAAATCATTTGCATGGCTTTGGGTTCATATTCGTGGTGTCAAAGTGCCTTCGCGAACGCGCGGGTGACGGTGACTGAGTCCCGGGCTCATGTTGGAGGCGGCGACGTCCAAGGCGGTCATGACCCCAACCATTGAGACCCCGCAGCAGACGCTGCGCCTCGAACGAGGGGAATTTTCGTGCTCCGGGGCTCCGGAAGCTCGGGGGGGCTCCAGGGCTCCCCAACTTTGGTGAGTCAAATCTGCACCTCATGTGGACTGGACTTTCACAGAAATCGGGGCGCAACAATTCCTTTTCATGTTACTCATAGAATTCGCCTCATCACGAAGTGTGGTTTTAAAGCATCCAACCGGATTCTATTCGTTTGGCCCGTCACATGTTGCTCCTGGAGTCGCACTGCGTGAAGTCACGTCCAGGCCTCTGCGGCTTGGGGGGGTCGCAGCTCACCAGCAAGTAGAGCAAGGCGAAGCAGCCCTTCAGCACCATGTGGCCTTCAGAACTTCCCTTTGCTTAAGCCCCCTGGAAAAAGATATATAAAAAATATATAAAACATATGTCCAGTAGGGATAGATTCCCTCTAAAAACCGCCAGGGGAAAATAAACATATTCTTAAGCAAATGGATGAGAACTAGGAGGGGCCACCGAAGAGATAAAGAAACATATCCGAGCCAGAAGCCTCAAGCGGGTTTGTTTTCCCCCAATCCGATTGCAAGCGGATTTGTTGGCTTTTTTTTAGTTCAGCCCCGCTGCACTGCAAGTTGTTTGTTGCTTGTTCCGCTGCTCCGCTCAGTTTTTTTGTGTTTGGGGGGGGAAGAGAAACTACCCGGAAACAACAACTGGTGAGCAAGATGTGCGACCTTGTCCTCAAGGTGTCCCGAACTTGGGCAAGCCCTGAGGCTCAGCCACTTAACGTCTGAGCTGATTGCTTAACGTCGAAACAAACTTCCGAGCTGTCCTTCAGACCCTGCAAGTCCCAGTGCGGACTGATTGGTCAACCTCCAAGTCCACTGTCAAGCCCTGTGCGGTTCAGAAAGGAGGGCTTCAAGTCCGGGAACTGTTTCGGGTTTGCAACTCACACGAAGCCTATCACCTGATCCGCCGATCTCCGTCAAGCCATCGCTCTGCACGTGGCGATGTTCTCGAGTTGGAGACTCCGTGTTGGTAGTTGCGCGAGAAGAAAGCCAAAGCTAACCCATGGACCCATGGAAACCAACGCGAACCAAGAGCAACCAGACCAAAAGTACAAACCAACGCGAACGCCTCCCTACCGCAACCAAAAGGTACCGCTACCATTTGGAGGGGCCCGTTGCCTTGCATTCACCCCATGGAAAAGAAGCCTCATGGAGGCCGCCGATTCATCGCCCAACTCCAGCAGGCTCTCACACCAATCCAACGGCATTTCTGGAAACCCGAGGGCCGAGCTCATGGTGTAGAAGAGCGGAAAGGGCAAGCCACCTGTGCCAGAAAAAAATCAATAAACATGTGCCGGGTGTGATTCGGCACTTTCACGGGAATGACTGGATGTTGGCTTGAACATACCCTGCACTTTCGTGCTTCGCCTGTTTAAGGAAAACAACAATAGCATCCGTTTGTTGTGCCAAATGAGAGGTGAAACGGTGAGACGTACAATTACGCCTTCGAGCTAGCAAGCCTTCATCCACGCCCATGCTCAATGTTACAGCTTCATCATACCCTTCACGTGGAACGCAATGTTCCTTGACAAACAACGCCGCATCAAGTTTCACCCTAAACCCTAAACCCTAAACCTTCTTTGACAAATAACGCCGCATCAAGTTTCAAGTAGGGTGTTTGGGGTGAACGGAATCTCACTACGACGGTAATGCTCAATCTGGCAATGGTAACTGCAGGAACTGTCCTGGCTGAAAGTCAAAGCCAGGCAAATGCAGCCCGACATTTTCAATGCCCTCACGGCCTCTCCAGGACATCATCACCCATTTGTTGAGCAACACCAGGGTGATGGACACACCTTGCACCGGGAGGGAAAGCTGCAATCGTTGAAGGGTGCAGGCTGAATGTGTGATGTTGAGAGTACCTCAAACGCAAATATCAACTCGCTAATAGATGGTTTGTTCCTGGCATCGTCCATCGTGAACAGCGAATGGCCTGCCGGTTCCGTGGAAAATGCTAGGACTGGTTGCGTGAAGGGTCGGTTGTCTTAAGGCCATCAACCTCATCCAGTATTTTGTCCATAACCCAACTGGCGTTGAATCTGACTCCGGCCCTCGCCCTTTCGCGAGGCTGACCCACAATCTGTTGCATACAGCAATGTTCTCTCAGCCACTTACTTGAGTACAAGGCTGGTCGGACGACCTAAAACCCTGGTAAAGGGTGACAAAGGCGGGTCAACAGGTAAACGATCTGTTGCATGCAGCAATGTTCTCTCAACCAACTTACTTGTGTGCAAGGCTTGGCACAGGCAAACGCTTGCTGGTTCCTTCTGGTGCTCCTTCTGCGAAAACGCAAGGTTTGTGCGCCAGATTCTCCGTCCTGCCAACTGCAGCCAAGGCTCTGTACCATCCTCAGCGGAGCGCAGTGTCGGAACGTGTGACGCAAACAGCGGAACCTTCCCCCCCCCCGCCCCCGCCCTGTCATGGAGCCATACTAACAAAAACCCGCAGGCGAACAAGTTGCACACCGGCCTAATCAATGCGGTCAAACAAACTGATGCTTCGTTCCTCAGCATTCCAGTAGAACAATCATTATAGTAGTGTCCGAAAAAGAGTGTTCACCAGCAGCCGTGATTGGCAAATCGACAACTGCTAGCTTGCACTCTGCACGAAATACAATCGTGGCCATGCCCTTCATCGCAGTGTTCGCCCGCAAAAAACTCAGGCAACGAAAGCCACCTATTGGAGCGAAGGTCATTTGCCAGGCCAGCACTACATAGCCTAGCAAAACCTCGCCTATCAGTTCTGAGGGTTTTGGTACTACACCCTGGGACTACACCCTCGGGACATGACCCAGAATGGTTCAAAATAACACGGTTCTATCCGGAAATGTGCCTAAATGGGGCAATACCCAGTGGGTGTATTCCCGGGGTGTAATACAAAAATCCTTAGATCTTAGATTTCTCCAGCTTGGCTCAGGATCATGCGCACACGCTCAACATAAGGATGCTTCTCATTTTCGCCCGTGTAGCAAATCCTTCGATGCACAGCTATGAGATCCTCGCCACAACATGATCTGGGCTGCCCTCAGCTCGATCCCCCGCTAAAGGTTTAATCTTTAGTGGGTTAAGTGGAAACTACCACTTGACACGAAAAGGATCTACCAAGCTAAGGAACCGGATGGCTGGCCAGCAAGTGATGAAACATCTCTGCGGACTGCCTGGGCCCAAACCTCCGTGAAAGTTTCGCAGAGGGCAACGGAATGGCTCGTGGTTCTGGGGCAAATTGGGTCAACGCAGCGGTAGAAGCGGACACGAGGCTTCTAAAAGATGCTGATTGCTGGGTCCCAGAAAGCGACCTCCTGAAAACCAAACTTTGGCTTGCATGGGTTTAGTCCATAAGTAAGAAACATCATGTTAATGAAATGGATATCATTCAGAAGCAAACAAAAATCATGTTGACCCCCCTAACCAAACCAACCAACCCAACCAAGAAACCAACCGACCGACCGACCGACCGACCGACCGACCAACCCATCATAACCAATCCACCGACCAACCAAACCAAAACGTTCACTTGGGTATGTGTCGAGTTGGAGCTGGCAGAGGGTGGTGGTTTCGCTGTTGGCTTCCGTTTAAGCCAAACCGCAACCCCATATTAATCAACCCCAGTTTATCAATAGGGGGTGTCCCTGGGTTTAGTGGGGAATCAGACCACTTTTGAAGAGCCAAAACCAGTCCCCTATCAATAAACTGGTTGGTTGATTAATACGGGGTCAACATTATGGGTCAAAGTAAAACTACCAGGAACTGCACCAGCCCTTTTTGTTTACCAACCCATTTTGGGGTTACCCTATTTTTGTTGGACCCAATGAAGACCACGCACCCAAAATGGAACCTTGGTAAATGAAGACAAGGACGCACCTGCGGTCCCCTGGTGTTTACTTTTTGACTCGTACCCATATGGGGTCAACCTTCAAGAACGCACAGACCTCCATTTGCTTAAGTCCAGTGGAAAACAAGAAAATATGTCCAGTAGTGATGAATCGAGTCCCTGTTAAAACCAACAAGAAAACAAGAATACATATTCATTTCAGCAAATGGAAGCAAAACACAGACCCACCTCAAGTGACCCCAAACACACACACACACACACCTGTTTGAATTTGGACTTCTGGGGTCAACATTCACAGACCCACCGAATTCCAGCGACTTTCGGATTATTATTTTTTCGGCCCAACCGGCGGCCCAACCGGCGACCCGAACCGGCGAACGTCGCGCTTGCATCGCATCCGAAGGCTCCCAGCACCAGGCTGGAGATCCCCAGCGCCTCCGCAGCGCGGCTGCCAGGCCGGCCCCGCCGCACCAAGAAGCGCAGGCATTCGCCTAAAGAGCCCCCAGCCGCTGGGAAAATTCGCCGTTGGACTGGGGGAAGGGTACAAACTCTTCGCAAAAAAAACAAAAACAAACACAGACAAACAGTATAATTATTGTTAGAGGCATTTATTTGGTTCAAAAAAATGGAACAAAAACAACAACAGGACCCTTGGGGTTGTTTGTGGTTGACCACCCGTTTTGGGGGGCTGAACATTCTGGGAGACAAAGAACTGGCTTTTGCCCCCCCTTTATGGGCTCAAGAGTCTGGAGAACTAGAGAACACTCTCGCCCTTCGCGAGCGAGCTGGTGTCTGGAACCCTGAAATCTCTGGGTGTTTCAAACTCGGGGAATCCCTAATCTGCAAGCCGAGGTGGGACACCACAAGGGAAACTGATGTCTATCTGTCATAAGGTTGAGGATTGATCTGCACGACCCAGATTGTGGCTGAACAATTCGGAGGAAACAGTTAAGCAAATAAATCATTGGCGCTGGCTCATTGTCCAGCGAGCCAGGAAACCCTTCGCACAAACAACAACAGGCCCTTGGGGTTATTTGTGGTTGACCACCCTTTTCATGACGGAACTGGGAGACCTCAAATGTGCCGATTGTCAAGCCATCCTAGTCAACAGGTTTTGTTTCTGTTGCCCAGGTCAAATCAGCAGAAAATATGCTACGCGGGTTTTTCTCAAAGGGGACAAACCCACAATAAGCTTCGGTGATCTTTTGGCTTCCGTTCAGAACCATCCAACAAGGTGCCCTCCGAAAAAGAAGCCATGTATCATTGTATCATTGTCCTAGGGATTAACTGATTGGCTTTGCCCAAAGGGAGGTTTGCTGAAACTTGCCCGAGCGTTGCCCGCTGCCCGCTACTCCAAGGTGACATATTTATTTCAAGAGCGCAAACAAGTTGCATGGCACCGCGACCGATGTCCAAGGAGTCAGCATGAGTTGGCCAAAACCGGATGCGCCAATCTCTAGAATGCGTCCCATTCTACATTCTCACAAGTCCAGGGCCGTTTTGCTCTGGGGATATGATTTGGACAAGGTGAAGAAAATGACAGGACAAACACATCTTTGAGACAACCAGTTTACCCGGCTGGCAAGGGATGCAAATAGCAAACGTTCGCGGCCATGCTCGTTGAGCAATTCTGCCTAAGTGTGAGTGGCATGTTCCCACCCCTACTGTATGCCGTAAGCCATTTTAGCTGCAATTGCAGATGTTACAAGCTAACTGCACTACAAGAGAAACCATCAAACACTCATGACATGAGTGTTTGATGGTTTCTCTTGTAGAATGTGAGTTTGAACCCGCAGGCAAATATGCTGCCCACGCAAGCGGTTCAGGAGGCCGCTTACTTCAAATGAACACAGCAACTTGACTTCTTTGCTAGGTCCTCCAGTAAAGAGGTTAGAATCAGGGTACCCTTTGTTCTGTAGTCTACTTTAGGGGAACTGAATCTCCCCCAAAAAAGAAAGAGTAAAGGGGCACCTAGCCGGGGGACCCTTGTTGGGGAAAGCATAGGCAAAATACGTTCGCTCCTTCCAGCACCTCTCACATGCGTCCCAAATGCTTGAAGCCGAGTTTCTGACACCCACCAGCGCCAGGAAGAAGGCGAGCTCTTCCAGTATCTTCGCCACATGCTCGTTCATCCCATGTCGATGCGTTGCTCAAATCGGGAACAATGCTTCCTGCGACATCTCGGGAAGTGTCGTGAGATTTTCAATCTCACGAAGCGTTTTTATAGAAATAACAAAAACAAACATTCACAAACAGATTGCAAGGTCTGTGCCAGTCTGTGCGCAAGGCACGGCAAGTGGAAGCGATGCAACCCATGTGGAACAAATTTCAAGTCGGTCCAAGCATGTTGCGTTGCTTAGCTCCAAGCTATTTTTCTCAACTGAGTGATGCCTTCTCTATATCTCAGAAGCTTGTGCGCCGATGCTCATTTGGTCATTGTGTCGTTTTTTCCTGGTGTCATCTAGACTCTCAGCCAATGGCTGTGCCGCCAATGCAGACTTGGGAGAGACGTAAGGTCGCACACCCTTTTTCCCTGAAGAACCCGGAACTTGGGTCCCCCTAAAGCAAATTCCGCTAATGTGACATGTGACGTAGTCATTTTCTTCCAGAGCCATTGTGCTCGAGGGTATATCTACCAGAACGTGATTTTGCATGTTCTTCATGGCTTACACACATGTGACTTTGGGAGGACCAAAAATCAGGCGAAAATCACCAACATGCTACACAACGCAAAGCAGCGACAGGAGGTTGATGTTTTGGCGGGACCTCCAAATATCCGGAGAGCCTAAGAACGGACCCAAACTAACCATTGGAACCCCTGTTGCTTGGTATTTCACAAGGAAACCAAAAGGAAACAGTTGCCATTTGAAGGGTGAAGAAGGGAAACACCCCCCCCTCCCATCAGAACCTGCAAAAGGGCCTATCATTTCCATGCCTCTAGCCCCTGAGAGGTCACTTCAAAAACCCCAGTCAGTCAGGCTCAGGTTCCATGTGAACAGGAGGTCGCAAACCTGCTTTTCAGCCTCGTTTTCGGCGGCGACTTGCACGGCTGCAAGGCCTCTGGGACTTTTTAGGGACCCCTGACCGTTGAAAAGCCCCAAGTTTGCTACTCAAATGGCACAGCCTCCTCTCAAGAAGTTCTGTTGAACAACTGGAGCCACACATCTCTTGTCGGCTTTTCTTGGGGTCAACGCGGGTCAATTTCCACGATTCGGTCGCTGGCGCTTCACCGGCACATGCACACACACGCGCATTTGGCCAGTTGCTACTTCAGCTTGCCAAGCTCGCACACGCCAAGATGGGTGCGTTCCAACAGCTTCCCATGACTCCTGGATCCGAACAGCGGAACAACCTGACTCCGCAAGTTGCTTTGTTCAAGTTCACCGATAAAGAAAGTGAGCCATGGTATGCCATCGGAGTGCTTCCATCCAACTCGGCCCCGCGAACTTCAGGCGCGTGTCTCGCAGCCTCTTGGCGCACATCGGCTCACCCAGGTGGACTGCTTCAGGTCCTGCAACGGGCTGTGCTGATGTGGCTGAGCCAACAGAACCTGGGAATCCGACAGCTCCGCAAAGGGAGCAGCTAGACATGATCTTACAAGCAACTCTACTCTCACATGCTTTCCATGCGGGTCTGAGGCCCCGGGTCTGAGCAAAATAGCTGACTCAAGGTCAGGCAACGACCATGATATCACGGTTCGCAGGGCCAACATCACCAGCGGCATCACCAGCAAAGGCAGGCCAAAAATCCCGGGATTCGACTACGAATGCCAGGCATTCCTTCGGCACAGGTCAGCAAAACAGAAGCACGACTGCGGCTGAGCACCTTCTGCAGATTGCAGGGCGCGCCGTCGTGGGGGTTCTGGTCGAAGATCCGTCTGGCGAGCAGACAAATCAAGCAAGCCCAGTGCCCGCAAGCAGGACCAGCTGGGGAAGCCCAACAACATCCGTGGATTGCTTCTGGTTTGGCTTTGAAACAACTCCCCATCTATATACCCCAACTTGCCTGCTTTTCTGGCCAAGCGGCTTGGTAACACGAGTCCCTCAAGCCAAGAGGAAATCAGGCTGTCCGTGCAAGAACCCTGCGAGACACAAGCTTCGTTGGGAGTGTAAATCATGAATGTTGACCCTCGATGAATAAACTCCTGTGTATTCATTCGGGGGGTTCCCCTCCAAAAGTGATGAATCAACCGGGCACACCCCCCATACTAATAAACAGGGGTTATTCTTCTGGCGTCAACACTACAACTTAGGTGTGGCAGCATATCGCCATGGTGGCACAACATCCCATATGCCTTTGAAATAGGCGAAGGGTCAGGAGATTTACTATTATTATTATTATTATTTTGAAGAGGGGTAGATTAAAGCGCCCCAATCATCATAACAAATTATCAACTTATTGCTCCTCTCCTCATCTTTCTTCCCTGGCTGTGGGATCAGGCCCGTCTACGTAAAAACTAAGAACTGCAGGGTGTCACCGGACCCATAACAACCTTGTGAGATGCCTTTCCCTCCAAATCAATATAGCTTGTCCCATCAATCTATAGCTTCCAAGGCCGGTTCAAGCTACCTTGTGCCTCAGGAGTTCCCTCTTTCTTCCATGGCGGTGGAAAAAGGGCCGACTTAAAAGCCAAGAACTGCAGGGTGTCACCGGACCCATAACAACCTTTTGAGATGCCTTTCCCTCCAAAATGCAAGCGACCCAAGGCGGGCGCAGTTCCAAAGCAAAACAACCCACCGCCGCGGGACCCGACCCGACCCGACCTCATCGATTCCGAGGCTGGCCGCAGAAGGTCGTCCAAGCCTCAGCCAGTCGATTGATTCCAGGCTCTCATTTCAGGGCGCCGACAAAACTCCTTCGCCTTACTTGCCCCAGAAAAAATGAAGGGCCAGTTTGTTGGCAAAGCCGCGAAATACCCGGCAATGTTACCACCTGCTGGGGTCCCTTGGTTTCATTTCAGAGCCGAAACGCAGCTGGCGAGCGGCTGGCGACTCTGCTTCAGCCCCCGGCGTTATCGAAGGCCACCTCCAGCTGGATGTTGGGACCTCCAGCTACGCCGTTTTGCCCATCGGGGGAGGTTTTTTTTGTTTTCTTTCGGAAGCAATCAGGTCACCCAAGCCATCTTGGGCTTCAGCTTGGCTTCTGAAGTTGGATTCCTGTATTCTGAGACTTGTTGCTGCATCCATGAGCCCGCAAAAACATGAGCAGCAACCACGGTGCACACAGCAACCACGGTGGACGCAGCCTAGAGTAGAGGGTGAGCTTGAAGCGTTAAATCGAGCGCTTGAGGTCGGTGCAAGGAGGGGAAAACGGTGAGCAACCTGGTGGAACGCCTCAAAAGTCATGCCAACTGAGAGAAACCCCTTTGAGCGACAGCATCTACTGGCGGGTCCACTGGAGCAGCACTCTCAAAACTACCCTTTCAAGAAGTAGATTGGACAGACCCGAGAATCTTGATATCCCGCAGGAACCGTCCGCCTTACTGACCCCAAATCCACCAAGCATTGCTGGCTTGGTCAATATTCGCGGATTAATTGTCCCACCTCGCATGAGTTTGAATTTTAGGAAGTAATGCCATCGCCCTGGCAATGTTGTCCGTTGCTCATAATTTGTCAGCTGCGAATAGTACAGGTCGAATAAAGATAGCCCACAAAAACATACCATATAAAAGCTCCAAATGGAGGCTTCCTCATGAAGAAAGAGTCATGGCTGGTTTACTGCCATTTCCCTGCAAAAAGGCTACGAGAGCGTTTCTTCTAAGCTGGCTCACTGCCAACGGTACAGAAAGGAACGAAAAGTGGCCGGGCAAAGCAGATAGAAAGATAGATCTGCCCACTCCCAGGCAATGAGTCATCCGACATCTTCCCAACTCTTTCTCCATTCCTTACTTCTGTATCTCGCCAACCATTTTCCTGTTTCATTTCAGTGTCAACATGGGGACAACCTCACGACCGGTAGTTAGCTTCTTTTTGCTCAAGTCCGTCGAAGAAAACATGAGAAACAATGTCCAGTAGTACTAGATTCCTTTCAAAACCAACAGGGGGAAATCCCGGGGGAAATAACGAAAAATCTTAAGAGCAAATAAACCACCAGACCAAAATACACCAACATTCTTAAGCAAATGTAAGTTAGGAGGCATAAAACCTCTTAAACAAAAAAAGGCCGAGGCAGCCCAAGCAGGCGCCAAGTTCACCTGGGGCCACGACACCTGCGTCTGAACTGGCAGAAGACTGCGAGGCAAGACCTCAGCTGAAGCTGATCCAAGCAACGTGAAGCAAGCACCCAAAACTTGTTGCTCATAGTCGGCGTCTATAAATATATATACATATATATGATTGATTTGCTCTTAAAAAAGAAAACAACATAATACTCATAGTCTATCATAAGGAAACATGTGCGCCTGGCTGCTCATAGTTCATAGTCTATCATAATTGGTAATGAACATGTGAATTGGTAATGAACATATGCGTTGTGTTGCAAAACAAACACGTTGTCCATGGCTATGTCGATTCATCGATTCTCCATACAGAGATAAAACTTGGGCTGTTCCTGGGCTGTTCACAGCATTTCATTGCAAGTCAATACCAATTTGTCGATCCTGACCAAAAATTGATAATAGGCCGTGCAGGGCCTTCAGGATCCTAGAACCCCTCTGCTGAAAGCGCTTCCACCCTCAGCTTGTCTGGAACATCGAAGCGAAACCACGTCACACGCACCGCGTCATTGAATGCTTGGCACCTGGCACACAGGGGTACCTCAGCGGGTGCTCAAATCAAAATGTGCTACGGCTCTGAACCTTGTCAACAGTGGTAATGCTCGTTGTTCAGGTGAGTCATACTCAAACCTGGTATCAAAATGGTCGTTATCCCAGAACCATGTTAAGAACAGCCATTTATGGCTGATGTGATCCCTTCTGCTAGCTGTCGACATCTAACTGGCGACCTTTAGCCTGGCACTCCTGGCCTGACTGGTACAATTGAATGGCCGCCGCCAAGGCATTTCCTTGCAACCTGCGTTCTGGCCCAGAAGTTCGCCTGATGGGCACAACATCCCTCACACTTACTGGCAAGTCCAACTCCCAAGCCTATCATGCTTGCACTACCAAGCGGGGGCCTTCAGTGTCGTCACACGGAAGATCGGCCATTCGTCCTTTTCCAGCGCAGCTTAACTGTGTGTTTGACAAGGCAGCCAATGTCGCGGAATGAGAATGTACAAACCAAATGGAAATACCACCTGGACGCGGCATCGCTCCGACTTCCTGGACATCGAAACCCCAAACGCATCGACTGCTGCAGCAGGGTGTACCTTGTGCTCAAGCAACCCCTTTCAGGCAGGCCTGCTTTTGGTCTTCTTTCCCTAAATTTGGCGCATACCCAGACGGCCGTATCCGCGGCTGCAAGGCAACCGGATAACTGACCAAGAGGAACTGTTACATGCAGCCAAATCAGCCGTATGGGCGCCAACCCTCATGCAAATCGGAAACCAATCTTTGTGGCAAAACGCCCCGCCCGCAGAACAGGCTTGCCGCTTGCTGGAAGCGGGAAACTCGTGTTTGCTCGCAGGTCAGCCAAAATCGATGTGCTGGAGCTGTCCAAAAGTTATATGGCTCAAGACTTGCAAGGCTCAACACGCATCGTGGGTGTTTGTTTTAAATATAACAAAATGGCACAGAGGCACGCGGGCCTGGCTTCTTTTTGGGTGTGGCCGCTACTTGCTCAGCACGCGGATTGGATGCCATGGAAGCGAGGGTTGGGCCATCAAAACCACAATAGCCTGCTGTTGGTTCTCCGCGGAGGCAACCGAGAACCACTTCTTTAAAGGTCTTTCGTCGAAGGCGAGGGCTTTTCCACTGGGCGCCCAACTGCGAGACATAAACCTGGACCCGTCCCTGCAAAGGCGCGGGTCCCGTGCACACGCATGAGGATCTGAGGGGACCTGTAGTCCACATGTTGTGTAGCCAAGAGAGCAGGGTTTGCAACGGTTGATTGGTACCTCCAGTGGTGCATAGAGTAAAGCCGGGGGGAACTCGTGCATTTGTCGTTGCGGATTGCTGGCGCACATCAACAAATTGTTCCCATCGTGCAAGATCAATCTCCAGCGCCATGCTGTCCCTTGAAGGGTTCAGAATCAAATCAGTCAACATAAGGACATCTACGACATGGTAATTGTGGAAGGGTAGTGATGTCAGACAGCCCGTGGACAAACTATATTGTTGCCTGCCTGTACTTAGTGTCTGCCTGCTTCAGATCTCGGCCTTGCAACATGCCTGGGCTTTCCTTCGACAAGTTATGCTTAACCCCTTGGCTTGCTAGTCCCCCCAAAGAAAATACTGCATCAGGCCATATCGGGCCTTCGATGCTGTTCAAGTTTAAACACGCCATTGCACGAGAGGTGACGGTTCCCTGCCAGCATGTAACTCTCCAAACCTCGGACAATGTACTGTGAACATTTGTCGATCTTAACTACGGGTTCCAACATCTCAACTTTGAACATCACCCCCCCCCCAATGCAAGGTTGTTTAACATGGATGCTAGAAATAGTCAGCAAATCTCTTTCCAACAAGGTTGGTATGTCCGAAAGGGGACTCCCCAAACCGGGCTTGCCTTGGCCTCCCATGTCAACCCCACACGAGGCAAAAGCAATTTCAGTAGCACCCGTAAGTCTGATGGCCAAACTGGCCCCATTCAGCACTCCAGTTACCGCCTTTCAAAGTGGTCCCCTTGGCCAGCGCAAACTGCCAGCCTCGCACCGCTGCAGAAGCCTCTCCTCAGCCAAAAAATTAAGCGGTGTCTTTGCTTCAGAATGTTGCTTCAACCCCCGAGTACAGATCTTTGATTGAACACGCACCGCGTGAAGTACTTGCGAAGTGTGCGTCGGGCGAATCAAATACCACGGGATACATTTGGCAGGCTTAACCGTTTCAAATACGGCCTTGCAACACACATTCTTCTCTGTTTGCCGTCTCCGCAAACACGCTAGAATTCAGACACCTGTCCCTAGACCGACCGATGACAGGGCTGCACGCAAAAGTACCCAAGCCACTTTTTTTGCTAGTCACCTGACACGTGTCTCCTTGATTGCGATGCTTTTTCAATACGTCGAAGGAGCCCCCCTTTGGCATCGTCATTGTGGCAATCCCCTAGATAGTGTGAATAAAATGTATTCCGCATGGGTAGGATGCAACTTGGCTGGCATGCCAGTCTCCCTTCTCAGGAGGGCTCCCATTCCACCTTATCACTATGCCACAGAGAAATCTGGCCCCCACAAAACAAAAAACAACAACAAGAAGAAACGAAAAAATCAGACAACTCCCAATTTTCTACCTTTGTGGATGTTGAAGTTCCCCTCCCCAAAACTGAAGCCTTGCGCAATGCGCGCGCCGCCCGTCTCCTCGTCCTCGCCTTCCTGACCGGCAACCGGACATTGGGTTTTGGGGCTCCGGACACTGGTCACAAGACTTCGTTCAAACAAAACCCCACGGTACCAGTTGGGGCGCTGGCTTTTGCAATGTACCCTTTTCGGGGCTGGTTCAAAGGGAAGCCAAAGGCAAACCAACCATTTTTGGAGGGCCACCTTATTTTGACACAATCCCATTTGTTGGACCTCAAGTACAGGCCCATTGAAACTTGAGAGAATGAAAGTGAAGCCTGGCTGCTTCATCCAATCCAACATGTCCCTTGTTCGTAGCAGCTTGGTATCCATTGGGAACGTCTCTGACTACTTTCAAGCCAACGTGATGCCGGCTGGGAAACAGTTGGCCGGGAAACCATAGAAACAAAACTTTCAGGACGCCTGGCATGTGCATTGGAACAACACCTGCTTGAAGGCTGGGTATGCTGTGCTCAAGAAGGATCCTTGCATGTTTTGTCTGAATGTTCTACGAATATAACAAATATGTGATTGGGCACGTGTGGGCTGGGCCCAAGAAATGTTGTCTACTACTGGCTAAGTCCTTCGAGTTGACAACATTGGGGTTGAACGGGTGGTGCTTCAGTAGTCTGTTTAAACTTGCATAGTCATCTAGATTGATACTTGGCATGCTGCACATCCCTCAGAGTACCGGTATCTATTTGTGGCATTGTAACTGCTAACCCCTCCATATCTTGTACTCCTAATGGTAGATACTGTGGATGGACGAAATCCTGCACCACTTGCAAACCATGGAAAAACACTATTTGTTGGGAATTACAGGGGAATCATCCTTCCAGGGTTCCTGAGGTGGTGCAGGATTTCGTCCATCCACAGTAGCAATGGCCAATGTCTGTGTGATTTAGGATTTGTGATCTTGATTTCTATCTAGCCATTTAGCCTCAGGAAGGGTACAAACTCAATCTTGATCCAGTGCCTTCCAAAAAAAGAAGGCAATATTCTAATCTTGTTCACAATCATAGATAGGGTGCGTCAGAAACTCTTGCAGTTCGGCCGCACTTGCCAAACCACAAGTATCACTAAGCCACTGAGCCAAGCAAAACATCCTATTCGCAGCGTAGTTTGTTCTCCTTTTGTGGACTGCAAAACCCGGTTGGCGGAATGGTTATGTCAAGTGTATGACATGGTCTTGGAACCACCCGATTACTTTCCCGATGCTCACCTTATTCCTGGTATGTAATTGTTGTAATTATACTTTTCTGAACTACCTCAAACGATGCCGTCCAAGGGAAATAATGCAGTTCCAAGTGTAGAGAATCGACACCTTTCACGGTGCCATAGCTTCTTAGACAAAACCTCAGAGTGCCCGACCAAAGTCATCCCTCCTGATCCAGGTGTTCCTTGTCAAATGCGCGACAACTAATCGTTCAAACCAAACCAAGCCAAGCCGCGCAAATCCAAACAAACCCAAGCAAACAAAACCCCAACGAACCTATCTCACCTCAAGCCATCTCAATTGACCAATGCTCCAGTTTGGCCAGGCGAGCAGTTTCACTTTCTAAACTCAGTCCCCAACCACACCGACGTCCAGTTGTTAAGTGACCCTGCCTTAAAAACAAAGGTTTGAACTTATATTTGTTTGGTTCCGAGCCCACACAAAGCAGTGGAATCCACTGAGCCACTGGAGAGTCCTGTATTGAAACGGTGGGAACCTCCCCGCCACCGGTTAGTTAAGTTTTCGGGGATACCCTCGCGGCCCCAACCAAACCGATCCCAAACGCCCAACAAGCGCCGGCGCGGCATCCGGGCCTCGGCCCGGAGGTGCTCCAGCAGCTCCAAGAGCGCCAGGCGCTCCGGGTGCATGTCCCGGCGCAGGTGCTGCCGCAAGGCCGGCAGCAGCTCCTCCGTTCCGATCCGGGGGCTCCCAGGATCGAAGCCTGGAAACCTGGAAGCCCGCAACCGGTTTTGGGCGCATCGCCTAGGGGAGCTGGGGGAGACCCGGGAGGTTGGAGTTTGTTGAAGGGCATCAAGACTTTTTGGGGCAAATTGGAGAACAAGGTGGGGTCTGTGGGGTGATGTATTTGAAGGGCCTTTGCACGGCGGCTGTGAAAATTTGTGTGTGCTTGATAGACCGGTCCAAATGTCCAAAGACATGCATAAGTGAAGTTAACTCAGCGGATACGTGTTTGAGATAAAGTGTTCCGGGCTACATCTTTGGTTAAGGCCATGCCTGGCTGCGTGTCAGCTGGGGGTTCTAGAGACACGATGTCCGCCCATCCTTTGACCCTCGCATATCTCCCGCTGGCCAGGCCTGTGTATCCTGCCTGAGACAACTGGGGCAGCCAGTCCAGCCCAAGTTTGGCCATCGTCCGCCTTCTGCTTTCAGCGCCAGCACCCCCGGGTCGCTGCCACCTGCGCCAGAAGGCTTCGGATAGCCGGAGGGCGCGACCTGGCCTGGCCATGCCAGGCCACGTCGCGTTTTTCGGGTCATCCACGAAGCGGGGCTTCTCCAATGGCTTGCCAAGCCCGATCTGCTCAAGGTCCTCCCGACTCCCCAAATGGGACAGTGCGGACACGTGAGACCCTTGAACCTCCACAACTCCTCGCAATGTAGCCAGAGACCAGTGCTTCTGAAGCTTCTCCGGCAACAGCCGCTGGCCCGCCCAAGCCTGGGCAGCAAGCACTTCAGTACAGTTTTCCCCACTATTGCCGTGCATCTTTCCAAAATCACCAGCAAAAGTCCAGTGGCCAGGCCTGTCCATCCTCCTGGCCGGCTTGGCACGTGGGCCAAGGCGAACCACAGCGAAGCGTTTACAATCAGAAAGTGATCCATATATATATATATGGAAGGAACCCTGGGTGATCGCACATCCGCAACCTGACGCCATAGTTCCCCCGAAATCCCAACAGAACCGACTCGTCTCAGTCCCAAAGAAAGCTCCTCGGTTTCCTTCTTCAGCTGTGGCAACTGCTCGCCCCGTGCTTGTGCTCGTTGCGACGCGGCCTCAGCATGGCATGGCGAATACTTCGAATGCACCTGAGCGACGAAGTGAATGGTATGATGGGATGTGTATATGAATGTAAATATAACATTGTATAATTATGATACGCAGCGCTTTTGAGCAAAGCTTAAAAGTCGTGCCATGGCTTCAATGGTGCTAGAAGCCTAATCTTTAAAGTACTGAGGCTTTACATCGCAACACCTACAGCTGCAACCATGCTGTCAGATCATACCTTCAGGGCACCGGGCTGCAGCTCAGATCAGGCAAGCAAGAAATATTTGAGGGTTTGCGTAAAACACTGAGAAAAACAGCGGCGATCCCTCCGCTTCCGCGCCGCTTCCGCGGCGCAAAGCGTACCTTCTGCAGCATCCGATCCATGACTACGAATGCTCTTCATCTGCTCTGGTCAGCTGTGAAATTGCGATTGGTTATTCAGCAGATCCAGACCAAGGCATCTCCTTAGAAGATCTCGAGAACATTCCGGGACAGGCTCTTGATGAGTTGGGGGTATCGGTTGGGCATCGGTTTGGGTATCAGCTTGGGCCCTGCACATGTCTGATTCCGCCTTCTTGGTTTGCGACAACAGCTTGGACCTGATGTGTGTCTTGATGGCTTCTGGGGGTATCTTTTTTTCTCCTCTCTATCGGTTCACAATGGTTTGGGCCTGCAAAACAAGTTAAGGGACGTCCCCTTACATAACGAAAAGGCGCGGGGATTTTATTTCAGTACGCGTCGGGCACTTTCCGAGCTCCGGCTTGAGAATCGCAAATTTTAGTACACATGTAGTACGCGAAGGCCACTTTCTCAGCTCCAGCTCGTTGATCTGGAACTTTTCATACACAGATGTAGTACGCGAGGTTCACTTTCCGAGATCCAGCTTGAGAATCGTAACTTTTTCGGTGCAAGCGTGTAACATGTTTAAAGACAAGCCAATAGTTCGAAAGACCATAGCAGGTCGCAGCTTCCGCGCCGTTTCCGCGGAGCTTCCCCGGCCTGCGTTTCACTTACTTACCAACATAACCACCGCCACTAGCCACAAAAAAACGAATACAGCTATTTACGGAAAGCCTCAGTTACAGGAATCCCAAGTAGACAACCTTCATCATGGGTGAGCATCTTTTACCGCCAGCTCGCTAGAATTGCACAGACTGTTCGTTGATGGGCTCGAAACATCACCTGCACTCGCCCCTTGCTGCCACCATGGTGCTCTTCAAAGAAACACCGCGACGAAGGTATGAGCTCCTTAAACACACACCACTTTGTTCCCACGTGAAAAACACGCACCAAAAGCCCGCGGTCGCCTATGCCCACGGTGCCGCTTTGTCGTGGCTTGCCTAACATCCATGGGAGCACAACTTTGAGCATCGAGGCTGAGTTGGAGTGAGATCCAACTAAAGGCTTCATCCGCTGGATGTGCTTCAACTGAAACCATCATTGGCGACTCCCACTCCCTTTCCGAAGTTGAGCGCACGGCATGGTAGACTCGCCCTGGGCAAGGGTACTCAGCCATGTCTCTCCAAATTCTCCAATGTGACATTACGCCTGAGCGCAACAATGGCTAATGCGGCTGGAAAACCGCAGCAAAGTCATAAGCTGACAAACAATGCGCGGCAAACAATGCATCAAGCAGGCGGCGCACCATCGTTGCGCCAGGTGTTCTCCATGTAGCAAACGTCCCAGCGCACGTGCGCCACCACAGTATCCTGTTGTGGCAGCTTTGGCGAACCACGGCATGTGCTAGACTCACAGGCAAAATAAACAAGATACCTTGTACATCTTGAAGGAACAATGGAAGGGGAGAAGCCTTAACCATCCACTTGGCCGCCAGCGAGGTAGTACGGGACAGCCGCACAAGGAAATCGGTCGCCTTGAACAACGTTGGAAACGTAAAACTCAGAGGCAGCGCTTCAGCCCGCTTGTGGTCCACTTCAAAAGCTCGTGCAGGAAGCCGAAAAGCATGGTACGTGCATCAGGCAACTGGCGCCCTGCCTATCGGCAGTTCTGACATGCAAAGTTCAACATGGGACATGTGGACTGTGCTAACAAGACCCAAGGGCCCAAAAGCCGCTCCTGAAATCAACACAACTACCTCCCCTTACTCCTCTAGCTTAAGTCAAGCAAATTACGCCTGCAGCTAGGCAAATCAATATGGCAGCATGTGAAGCAATGGCAGCAACGTCAGAATCGAACTGAACCGCATCGCAACTACCCTGAACAGCAACATGCGCACAGAAAGCGAACACTCTAGCAACCTACCCAACATGACGCTGGGATCCCATGGCAGAAGGGAATCATCTAAAACAGCCATCCTCATTTGCAATCGTTAACAAACTCAGCTATCGATTGAACATGTCTCGAAATTCATCGTCTTTCCACATTTCGCCGACTGACAACCAAGAAGAAAAAAACATCAGCTTCTTCGGGCTGCCGGAGTCCAATCGGACCGGGGAGCACACCCCCCCCAGTTCTGCCGAGTCATAGAAACATCCACCTGGATGAATCATATCTGCCAAAGGAGCACCTTTTTTCGTGCAACCGGGTCAAAGCAAAGGAGGTTGACACCCCCCCTCCAGAAATTGGTGGTTCCCCCCCAAAAAAAACACAAAACTCAACAACCCCCCCCAAAAAAAAAACAAAACTCAACAACCCCCGCCCCACCCCCCCAGCAATTGATTGATTCATTTGGGCATGGGTCAAAATGAGACCACCAGGGACCCACAGAGTTTAGTCCTTGGTTCCATTATCCAGGGCAAGCCATGTTGGGTCTTTTGGGTACCCATTTTTGACCCACACCCATCCTTTTTCAGGGGGGCGCTTGAAGGACCGCTCCCCCCTCCGCTGCAGGAGGCAGTCCGTGGCAGGGATCTGCCACACAGCCCCATCGCGGCACCTCAGAAAGCAAAGGATTGAAGGCTCAAGACCTCCTACTTGGTTGACGTTGGAAGTGGAGCAACAAATTATCTTTTGGTAGTGATGGGACACTTTGTACCTAAGCGTGCCTGACATGGTGCTCAACTGTCAAATTCTTCACATGAGCTTTTTTTTGCATACCCAGTACTAAAAGTCGCTGCACTCTACGCACCAGTTTTCTTGTCTCCCGATGGGTGTGTCTAAACCAGGGGCACCCCAAACATGGCCGGCTTTCCTACGGTTTCCCTAACTTTAACCCCGAAATGGGCCTCAACAAAAACATAGCCCCAAACCCAGAGGCTCCGATCGGCTTCGGCTTTCAATGGAAGACCCGACCCCTCCATGAGACACGGAGGTCTCAAAACCAGGTTGTTTGAAGGCCCATCAATCGAATAAAAAAGGGGGTTCATTCGAAAGTGAGATTCCGCACAAAGGGGCTAGTTGGTCCGTCAGAACCAAAAGGTCACTGCCCGCATCTTGCGAGATCAGCTGTGAAACAGGCAAAGGGCACAAAGGCAAGTGAGACTCCTCGAACCATTCGCGACTCTTGGGGTTTCAAGCTGATTTTTCATTCGAAAGTACCCGCAGGAATGGGAAAAACCCGTGTACAAATTTTCTCAGCCTCGCCGTGTTTCACCCTCCAACCACATATGCAAAAAAAAAAAATACGCCTTCGAGAAAATAATGCGGAAGCAAATGGCATGGTTCTTTCAAGGCGCCTTGGTTTTCAAAGAACGCATTCGCAACGCATTGCCTGGTCTGCCTTCTCCCTGAATTGGATGTGAGGACCTTCTTTCTTCACGTTGCTGTAGGTTGGTTTCCACCAGAGCGCCGTCTGAATCCCCTCATGGCCAGCATTGCCAGCTCGAGGGGGGCGATTTGGAACGAGAAAGCTGGCGCGAATGTCAGCCAGCACCGTTTTGCATCTTGCTTGTTTTTTTCCCGGCAATTTCCGCCTTTTTCCGGCAATTTCCGCCTTTGTTTTGGCAGTTTCCGGCTTTGTTTGTCAGGTGCAATTTCTCGAGCAACTGGCCACACATTGCGCTTCTGGAATGTAGTGCTGCTGACGTGCTGACGCAATTCGTTGAGCAAAGTTGGTTTTTCCACAAAGCTGCTACAGAAGCATGCTCGCAATCCAACGAGGAAGCCACAAGCAACGCAAGCACGGTTTCCAAGCACGAGCCCCTGCGAGGGCTGAGCCCTCATATTTCAGAGAAATGTCCTCGATCCAAAAAAAAGGTGCCCAATCCAAGTTTAAAGAAATCTCTGAAAAGGCAAAACACAACTGCACATTTAAGACGTTGCAGGGCGTGGTTTCTTGCTTTTTACATAAGGGCTGCACCCAGGGCAATGAGAAAACCTTCAGGGAATCTTGGAGCCGGGAGGGCATGGCCAATGGCCCGGGCTTCAGCAAGAACCAACCCACCAACTAACCTCGGAGACATCACATTTTGGACATCACGTTTTGATCTCATTTCTAACACGTCGGCGAACCCAAGGGGGGCAACAAGGTGAATGGGGCACTCTTGCAGTCCATGGAGTCTCACAGAGGGGCTCGAAAACAAAAATGCTGAACGGCTCGTTGGTGCCTAGACCTTCCACAAATATCCGGATAGGAAATGTTGTATAAGAGGGGGTCATCCTCAAGCTGCGACTTCTTCCCTGCCCGCTAAATTCATATGCCGAGGTGACAAGGTAATGACGACGCTTTAGTTGTAGAGCCAGCACAATCCAGAAAAGGCCCAAGATGTCTTGAAAAAGCAACACGATGTGCAGCAAATGGAAATCAGGCTGTGATTGAAATATTCCGCAACATTGTCGGGAACGAGGGGTTGAGTTCTGAAACATAGACAGCAAAGCGTCAATAAGCATTTGTCCTTTGTTTTCTTCTTCTTTTCGTCTGAACATCACTCGTCACTCGCCTCCCACTCTTGGCGTCCCAGCAGGTGGCGGGCCTCTTCGATCCATGTTGGCACCACCTGGCACTTCCGACCAGCTGCACCACTTCCGCAAAAAGAGTTTCTGACTCAGATGCCCTGTGGATTTCCATGGGAAGAAACGGGCGTCCTTTTTGGGTTGATGGAGTTTAAAGGGGAACCCTTCCCAAAACAAAGGAAAAAAGGGCGCCACGGGGCAAGCGAGCAAACTGGGTGGTGTCAAATGTGGCAGTCTGTGAAAAGGGTGGACCAGCATGTGGTGGAAATTGAGTGTGTGCTGTGGCAGCCCAACCAAATGAGAGACAGAGGCGCGGTGACAGATCTGTCTGCTCGCAAGGGACGGGGTCTTGTAAGAATACAGGATTCTTGTGCGCAACGATTTCGCAAAGGAAACAAACATGACATCGGTGCACGTGTCCTATCAGCTGAAGCCTCCCAAGTGCTTCATCCAAGCAATGAGGCCTCCAGCAAAACCAGAATACAACACACGCTCCTCATGATTTCAAAGGCAAGCAGTTGTGTCAAACTTCAAGGTAGCAAGCGAGACCCATAAACAGCATAGTGCTTCAGACTGCAAAGCGAGATGTCCTCTTTCTCAGTGGTAAGCTCAAGAGGTCCGGCTCGTATTTTTTTAAACGGGCTGTTTGGTGCAAGGAATCCGTCACAAGCAACGGTGCCGGCAAACGGACACTCAGCACCACGCGCCTCCTCACCAGGGAACCTGCAGTGATGCCGTTTCAGCTTCGTTGCATGAAAGATTTCAACTCAAACTGGAGAATCTTGTCAAAAAGCTCGGGAGGAGGGGGTTGTTGCCGAACGAAATATTTCAAGGCTGTCAAAAAAAAAACGGATGAAAAAAGGAAACCCGTTGGGCGGACCAGTATCAAACCTGAACGGGTTGGGCGGACCAGTATCAAAAGCGGTTGGGCGGAAATCTCCAAAAAGATCGCCTCTTTTGGGACGGTGCCGCCTTGTGCCGACTGTTTGGATGCGTGTTGACAACCCGTCAACTGATGCCGTGTTTTGGCGTGTAGGCTGCAGAAACTATGACTCATGTTGCGGCTGGGAAGGGCACATGCATCCTGAAACCGCGGAATGGAAGCTGGTCGTCTAAAACGGCAATAGCGACAAGTACAGGAGGTTGCATTCTTCCAGCGAAGGAGTAAACAAAAGGATGCAGGTCTCTACAGCTGGTCTGTTCATCAAATGTTAATGTGGGAACTCAACAGCATGACATCGCTGACTGGTAGCACTGCGTGGCCATGAAGGCAAGTCGCACGTATGCAACCGACCTCAAAGCTGAATGTTTCAAGTCGATTCGCAAGTTTCGCAGTTCCAAGTACTAAGAAGGCTGGTATCCGCCAACATGGGCAAGTCTCAAACAACTTCTCATCGGAAATTACCTGCAAGGAATGCACTGCCAATCTTACAGCTAATACAACTGACAGGAACAGCCACACAGCGACCACAGTGACGGCTGTGGTTCCATGGATAAAAAAGCCCTTGACGCCTCAGTGCCACAAGTCCTTCCAGTCTCTTCACAGGCAATGTATTGGCCATGGGCGGTGTAATTTGTGGTAATCCTGAATCCTAATCCGCGATCCTGCGAGGGCACTACTACAACAAGGGAAACCGCTACCATCTGGCACAGGGGCAAGGAATTGTTTCTAGGCAATCCAGTTCATATTGGCGGGCTGGGAGTAACGGTTTAAGGACAGCAAGCGTATCAACGCCACAGACAGTTCACGTGTAAAGCAGCTGCAGGCATGCAGAGGGCATAGCAAGATGTCCCGGCAAGAAGTTGGTACGCGCACTACCAATTCCTCTCCACATCGCTCTTTTTTCTGGAACCGCTCTCGGCAAGCCGGAAACAAAAGCCTCCATCAAAATGATGACAAGGGCGGTGGACCAATATAGAAGCAACCACCTTAGATCTCCTGCACTGAATACATGCGATAAACTCAACAAACCCGTACCAAAGTGCTTGATTGCATCAATGAAGCCTCGATGCAAACATTGCCTTGGCATGTTGCCTCTACAAATCTTGGCGTTTTGGTGCAGAGACCATCACCATGTCGTGTTTCACCGACACTTGGCTTTTGTTTTGACGGAGGCTCGCGCTTGGGCCGCCTGACACTCGCCGCATTCAAAGGCGACTAAGGTCCGGATCCAGGCTAAGGCGCTGGATCAAGTGCTCCACCAACTCCTGGCCATACCGCGGCAGTCCGTCTTGAAAAAATCGAAAATCGAACGCCTGGGTCCCTCCAGTGGAGAGGTTAGAAAAAGTTGGTTGGTACCCACTGATTTTCGGTTTAGAACTGTTTTAGTGGGGTTCGGAACCCTCCCACCCAAAGTTCAAACGGGAAAAGGGCACTACTGGGGGACCTAGAATCATAAACCGCAAAGGGCGTTGAAACACCAGCAGTGTTTTAGGTCCAAGGTCCAGCCTTCCCCCTTCCACCTTTTGTTCACTTCCACCAGGCCTTTCACTTCCACTGACTGGCTTGTACGCCCAATTTCCAGGCTTCCACCTTCCAACCCTTTCACTTCCACTTGATTTCCATTTGTGATGAAGGAGTTGGGGACCCCCTAGGAGACTATATAGAAGACCCCCCAAAAGACCATATACAGAGGTGGGACCACCAAAGGAACCCTTCCGGCCCTCCCGCCTCTGGCAGCCTCGCCATCGTGGCGCCCATGGAGTGGCTGGCCACCGCCCCCCTCGCCGCCGCCGCGGAGGGCAGGCGCGCCGCCAGGAAGGCCGCGGCGGTCTTGGGGTCGCCGAAGCTGAGCAAAGTGGCGGCCTGGGCAGAGACGTTCTTGGAGGAACCCCTCGCTCTTGCTTCTCCGTCCCCTGAGAAAAAAAACAGAAGATAACATATGTCCAGTGAACCCCTTTTTTGAGGGAACCCCTTGGTTGGTCTAGAAAGGGAAACCAAAAGTAGAACCACCTTAACATGGGGATTGTCAGGTTTGGTTTGGTTGGCTTTTTTGAGGCTACTCCTTGGTTTGGTTGGGTAAGCTTCTATTTGCTGATTCGTTTTTTGCAACAAATATATGTCCGGTGATCGATGTTCAGTACCTCGGGTTGGGTGGTCTATAAAGGGGGGTGGGTTTCTGGGTTGGTTTGGTCGGTTGTCTTTTTTGAAGGTACCCCTCGGTTTGGTTGGTCTATCAAGGGACCAAAAGGAGAACCACCAGTTTGAGGCTTCCCCCAAAAAAAGTGGCACACCCATGTGGGCAAAATGTGAGCAACGTTTTTGAGGCTACCCCTTGGTTTGGTTGGGTAAGCTTCAATTTGCTTCTCCGCCCCCTGGAAGAAATGAAAAAATATGTCCAGTGATACATTCCCTGTACCAACAGGGATAAAAGAAGAATCGTCTTAAGCTAATAAACGAAAGGGAAACCAAAAAGAGAACCGCCATTTCGGGGGTCCCAGAAAAGACACACCTATATGTGGCTATGTGTTTTGAAAAAAAAGAGGAGATGACAATGGTTTTGCTCTCCCTTGCAATTAATGTCTGGTAGCGATAAGGGACGCTATTCAATGGTAGAACGTGACTAGCAAACCGCCTGTGATTAAAGCCGCCCGGTGTTCCGTTCTTAGCCGGCTGACAGCCAAGACTATACTTCAAAGCCCACAAGCTTTGGCCAACAAATCCCCTCTCAACTCCTTTGGGGCACATTAAAGACGCTGTCCGGCGTCTAGATTTCAGAAAAAGTACGAAGAAACATAAATTTCAAGTTGCCCAAGCTGTTGCCAACATATTTTGCCAATGCTAACACTTTTCATAGTCTTCAGGGCTGCCATTCCAGAGAAAAAACAAATCGGCTAGCCGGAAAAAGCATTTCCCGAAAGGCATTGCGAAGGGTTCTTCCGGTAAAGTCGTTGCGTTCTGCACAGCTCGACTGCATAGGGAAAATAGACAATGAAATGCATAGAGGCATGCGCAGTCAAAGTGCACAGCAAAATGCATAGGGCAAGTGCAGAGCGAAATGCATAGATGCATGCACAGGGGAAGTAGACAGTGAAATTCAGAGAGGCAAGCACAGGGAAAGAAGACAGTGAAATGCATAGAAGCATGCGTAGGGCAAGTACTGAGGCAAGCGCATAGATGCATGCACAGGGAAAGTTGACAGTGAAATGCATAGAGGCATGCGCAGGGAAAGTAGACAGTGAAATGCATAGAGGCATGCACAGGGAAAGTAGACAGATAGAGGCACGCATAGCGAAACTACACAGTGAAACGCGCAGCGATTTTGCATTCCTTCTCACACAAGCATAGCTTGCACGAGGAAGCCTGCACGCTTCCTTAAAATTAGTATCTTAAGGCGGCGCGGTGGGACCAAGAGCACTCTGCGAAGATAAGACCCTCTAAGGGACCGGCCTGGTCGATGTGCAAAAACTGGAGATTTTTTGCGATGTTCAACTTGCCCGCGCGACCCTCTGCGGGGATCGGCGTGGTCGATATGCAAAAACTGGAGGTTTGGCGATTCTTGCGGCCGCGCGCGGCGGCCCTCTGCAGGGATCGGCGTGGTCGAGGTGCAAAAGATAGACTTAGAGTTTTTTGCGGTTTTCGACCTGCCGGCGCGACCCTCTGCGGGGATCGGCGTGGTCGAGGTGCAAAAACTGAGTTTTTTTTTGCGATTCTTGCGGACCCTCTGCGTGGGTCGTGCGTGTCGGGTCGCTCTCGCGATGCTCACGTGCGAATCTTCGCAGTTCGCGCGCGACCCTGTGCGGAGATTGTGCGTATCCCAGATCGCTCTTGCTGTGGTCCCGTGTGAATCTTCGCATATCTTCGCGGTCTGTGCGCGACCGTCTGCAGGGATCAGGCTGCAAAGTCGCAACTTTTAAGTACGAAAGTAGTGCGCGAAGTACGTCCGCGCAGCTCCGGCTGCAAAGTCGTAACTTTTAAAGTAGTACGTGAAGTACGTCCCCGCAGCTCCGGCTGCAAAGTGGGAAAGTAGACAGTGAAATGCATAGAGAAAGTGCACAGTAAATGCATAGAGGCATGCACAGGGCAAGTACAGAGTGAAATGCATAGAGGTGCATACGGAGAGTGCACAGTGAAATGCATAGAGGCATGAGGCATGCGCAGAAAAAGTAGATAGGGAAATGCATAGGGGCATGCGAAAAGCAAGTACAGAGTGAAGTGCATAGATGCATGCAAAGGAAAAGTAGACAGTAAGCTGCACAGAGGCATGCATAGGGCAAGTACAGAGTGAAGTGCATAGATGCATGCGTAGCGAAAGGAAATGCATACAGGCATGCGCAGAGTAGACAGCGAAATGCATAGAGCATGCGCAGGGAAAGTAGACAGCAACATGCATAGAGGCATGTATAACGAATTACAGAGTGAAGTGCATAGGTGCATGCGCAGGGAAAGTAGACAGTAAAATGCATAGAGGCATGTATAACGAATTACAGAGTGAAGTGCATAGATGCATGCGCAGGGAAAGTAGGCAGTGAAATGCATAGTTGCATGCACAGAGTAATTAGACAGTGAAATGCAACGGTGGAAAAAATGGCCCGATTCGGGCTGCGTGTCATGGAAAATGCTTTCGGGCCCCGTCTTCTAGTTTGTTTTACATGCGTTGCTTAAAACAAGAAAACAAGGTTTGACATGCACGTCAAGGGTACACCCCTTCAATTGCTAGGCCCCCGGAATAGCACAAAACCCCATCAAGTCCCTCTCCATGGAAAATCAGAAATGTCCTATTGCAGTCCGATTGGCAAAACAAACGCAATCTCAGAAGTTCAGGGACCCTGCTGAATCCGTTTTCTCCGCGAGGGGAATATCATTCATAAAACCTTGGTCTAAGGTTTCACTCATACCTGAAACCTCACGCTACCCTTAACAACGGGAGCTCCCCCCATTATTTTGGGGCAACCACCCATTTTTAAGGTAGCTTAAGGGTCCAGGTCAGCAACCTTTTCTTGGCAAATTCTTCGAAGCTTTTTCAAAGGCGTTTGAACCGACCGATGGCCTCACACCCCAAGCCCCTTCTTCGGGCGCCGGAAACTGCCGGCCTGCAGCGCCACCGCCAGCTGGTCCGCCACCTCGCGCGCATAGGGCTCCAAGGCCTCGCGCGACGTGAAATGGTCAGCTGTGATCTTGTGGCTCGGAGGTCTGGAGGTTTGGAGGTTCGATTTGTGGCTTGGCTTGGCTTGGCTCATAAAAAGCTAATGCTTCTGGTTGTGGCTTGTAGTGTGATAGTAGTTTGGAGGGGATGCTTGAGCAAGCTGTGGCTGGGCGAAACCCGTTGGCACGTGCTTTCTTGATAGGGCGTCGTTCTGCCCAGCTTCGGGAACTTGTCTACTGCACTTTTCCAAAAGTTGGGGCTCGTGCCTTGTGGGGGATTTGGATTGTCCCATGCAAGTCAGGTGTCGCCGAGCTTCAGCCCTTGTGGCGCCTCGAAGCGTTTCACATAGGCCAGGGTTACCCCAAAATTCTTGTCGTTTTCAATTGAACCAACCCAGCAAAACATGCCGCCAAACCAACAAAAACAGCCCCACCCCCTCATAGCATCAACGGCAGGACATCTACAATGACAGACCTCCCCTCTTGCCTGAAAAGTGTTTGTCTCCCCAAAAAGGTCTCCCCCTCCCCACAATCGGTGACTTGGCCATGGTTCAAAATCCAAATCGTACCCCCAGTGAACATCCCAATCCCCACTAAAATAAACTAATCTGGGTGCTGAATGCACCTACCCCGAAATGGGATCCCAAAACGGTCTTGACAAGCACTCCCACTTCTTGTTGGCTTCCCGTTAACGCCCACTGTGACAAGGCTCCCCCGTCTTCCCGTCTCCGTGGCCACTCGCGCCTCAGGCTCCATGGCCAACCGCTGCTTCACCGCCCGCAGCGTCTCCCCGTAGCCGTTCGCCGCAAACAACGCGCTCGCTGCCTGCGAACGAACCCTTTTTGAGGCTCTCGGCGATTCGGAGGCAAGCAAATCATCATCCCGGAGGCGAAGGCTTGCAGCACAAGGGCTCATGAGACACGACATCAGGCCACCAAAATTCGCCAGTCACAGGATCACAGTATTCCTCAAAGATTGTACCTGGGCGCATCTCTGAAACAAAGTTTCGAACCCACGGCGCCGTCTCCGCCGCCTTCGTCTCCGCGGAGCTCAGCTCACGCAGCAGGGCCTCCGCGCTCTCCGGCTCCCGGCCTTGGCTGGAGTACATTGGCGAGCTCCTCCAGAGAGGTTAGAATAAGGGTACCCACGTTTTCCCGTTTGGACTATTTTAGTAGGGGAAGCCTCCCCCAAAAAGGGGTGAGAAGGGCACTTCTGGGGGAGCTAGTTGGTGGTGCAAACCGCTTTACTGCGCACACTGGAAGCCTATTGTCGACTGAGGCTTCCCAATTGTGGCTTCCATTCGAGCACAGGCAGGCAGGAGCAGGTGGGCCGTCCTGCCTGACTACATGTCCCTGCATGAGCACCTGGACCTTCATTCGTTAGATAAATTTGTATCCCTTGGGTGTTGCGCAGCAGAATTTTCGAGCGCTTTTCGGCGGAACGGGCGCAAATCCATTTTAAGGGTATCTGCGCCCGTTTTGCGGGTATCTGCGCCCGTTTTGCGGGTAACTGCGCCCGTTTTGCGGGTATTTGCACCTCTTTTGCGGGTATTTGCGCCCGTTTTGCGGGTCTGTGTCCACGCAACAAACACTATATGAGCAGAGAGAGGCCGCGTGTTCATGAAACGAGCGTTTTCTGGGGAACGAGCACGTGTTGGATCATTGGGCAAAAATAGTTGGCCTGAGCAGTTTTTCTCGCGACACAAATTTATGTAACAATGGAAGGTCCAGGCAAAATGTATTGCCTTGAAGCTGAATGGAACCGTATACAACAAAGAAGTGCCGGGGCATGTTGTTTGGTGCGGCGAACTGAGGCAGAAAGCACGGGCCACATCGACTCCTCCCGCGCAACCCAAGAAAAGCAGCACACTATCTCCGACAATCATGGAAACTGAAAGAAAGAATGGTTTGGTAAGACTATGGTATGACGACTCTCCTTTTGAAAAAGCCCCGCGTTGTTGGAAGGGGAAACTCGAGCACACAACTTGCCTCACAACTCGTCGACTCCGCCACAGCCAAGCTTCGTAGCGCTCGAAGGATGTCGAGGCAAATCACATTGCCCGAACCTGCGACTCGAATGGCAGCTTCGGTGCTTTGAACTTCCACGGAAAGCAACCGTGGGTGTGTTGTTAGCGTCCTTCAATGATAGACGAATTAAAACAAGGCCACTATGCTGCACTGCCTGAAGTCGCAACATCAATGATGCAGCTTGCAATCCTACCAGGCAGGTTTCGCTCATTGATTGAACCATGTTGGGCGGGGCTTAATCGTTGCAGCTTCAAAGCGCTGCCGGACCACTAGAACTGCAGGCAAGGTCCTAGAAAACCAAAACCGGTAATAGAGGAACATCACGGGTCCTTTGGAGGATGTCGTTTTCTAGCCGCCAATTATTTAGTGTTCAGGGGACTCATCCTGACTTTGCATATATGTTTGCATAAGGCAGCTTTTGGCAGACTCCTCTAAACTGGCACAAAACCAACGAAGCAAAACACTGCACAAAGCAGGCCGTTTAAACCACCTGCAGCTCATTGGCCCTGCACAGCCCCCTTCAAGACACCCAGTTCCCTAGATGTCACGTTGAAACATCACCCAAACGGAAACCCACTTTACAAGAAGACCAAAGGGATTGCTTGCAACCCAAAGGGGAACTATCTGCACCCTCAAACTACCAACTTAAGAACGTGTCGTTGCCCCAAAATGATGTGGGGATTTCCCATTATTCAAGCGTGGTTTGAGGGTCAAGGTATACATCTTTCATGTTCTCCGAGGTATCCTTGGACAGGTGCCATGTTTGTTGCGGGGGGGAAGGGAATATTTTAAGGAGCACCCCAACCCAAACCACCCCCCCCCCCCCCCCGTTTTTTCCACTGAATCTATCGGGGTCCCGTTCTTCCATTTGCAAAAGTCCACTGGAAAAACAGTGTAGTGATAGACTCCCTTTAACACCAGCAGGGGAAAATAAAACATATTCTTAACCAAATGATTGGAACATATGGCCATGGGTCAAAATCCCCACTAACCCCCAGGGAAAATCCCAATCCCCGCTAAAATAGACTGCAATGGGTGGTTCTTAAGCAAATCCCTGTTCATTTCAGCCAATGCTCCCGCATGTTTCTGGGGAAGGGACACTTTTTAAGGATCCCCCCAACCCAACCCAAACCCTCCTCCCCCCCCCTTTTCCGTTTTTCCCGCCACATCCGCCACATCCGGCACCACCCTGCGACCCTTCGGTTTCCCTTCGGACTCGGTTTCCGCGGCCTTCCCAAATGGCGTTCAGCGGGCTCTGGCGGAAGAGCCGCGCCATGGGCCCCTCCGCGTAGCCGTTGCCGCCGTGGCACTCCATGGCCTCGTAGGCCACCGGCACCGCGCGGCGGCACACCTCGGGGATTTGGGTCAGGCGAGTCATAATCAAAACCCGGGATTAAAATGGTCGTAATCCCAGAACCATGTAAAGAATTAAGAAGGCGGCCGCAACTATTTATGGCTGGGAGTCTCCCTTACCAACCGGCATCTACCCGGGTTTTGATTGTGGCCCAGGTGGCTCAAAATTAAACTGGAGGGGCAAACCGCGGGTGTTGGTCCATGTGTCTACTTACCAAGGTTCCATTTTGGTACCCGTTTTTTGAGCCACGGCCATTTGTCAGGAGGCAGCCCTCAGATTTGAGCCTTGAGCCCTGTGTACTGTGGGTGGGTGCAAAATTTGGAGAAATCGATTCACCTCACATTTGTGAGGCGGAAGCAGCCCCCAATTGAGCCCCTCAAGCTCAAGGCAGTGATACTGCGGATGGTTGCGAAATCTATTTCGCGCCACTTTGAAACCATGGTTGATACCATTGTTTGTTGGCATTTACAGGGAATCATCATTCCAGGGTTTCTTAGGTATTGCAGGATTTCGTCCATCCACGGTAATGTTAGATAGCGATTAACAAAACGGGAGTGAATACAGAAAAAAACATCTCAAAATTATTCACTCTCCTGAAAAAGCAAAAAGGGTAGGTATTACAGAAAAAGAATCTGCCCGAAATCCCGAAAATATGTCCCCTTCCAAGAATGGACTATTTTTGAGGGTTGAAACTTTTGAGTCCAGCCAGAAATGTCCAGAATTTCTGGATTGCTTCCTGTCCCAAACCACAAAATTCCTTATCAATCCCTTTACTAGAAGATGCACCCTGACAAATTTTCAAGGGGTGGCACACGGAACCCCCAGGAAGGCAATAGTGCAGTTTGTTTAAGGGTAGGGAATTGTGAAGAAAAAAATGGCCAGGGCAGCCTGCCAAGAAGAAAGCCCTGCTGTTCTCAGATAAAGCCAGAAATGTCCAGAATCTCTGGATTGCTTCCTGTCCCAAACCACCAAATTCCTTATCAATCCCTTTGCTAGAAGATGCACCCTGACAAATGTTCAAGGGGGTGGCACACGGAACCCCCAGGAAGATAATGCAGTTTGCTTAAGGGTAGGGAATTGTGAAAAAAAAAGGCCAGGGCAGCCTGCCAAGAAGAAGAACCAATAGTAAACCAATTCTAAACTGTAGTGAGTCAACTGAAAAGAATACTGAACTAATACTAAACCAATTCTAAACCGTAGTGAGCCAGCTCAAAGGAATACTAAACCAACACTAAACCAATTCTAAACAATACATACTGGAAAACTACTCAGGCAGGTCCCAGTCTGACCCCCATTTTGTTTTTGGGGGTTCTCGCTATTGACCCCCGCCAATTCGTTTGAGGCCTTTATTAATCACTCCCCAACATTATGGTGGGTCTGGGATGGGAGGGGGGTTGGTTTTGGAGGCTACCCTTTTCACCTTGGGCTAAAGGGAAACAGAAAGGCAGTGTCTTGTTTGGAGTTCAAAATCCAGAATTCTATTTCACCATTCAGAATCCCAAGGGAATGATTCGAGTCCGCACCGAGAAATGCCAAGAAACAGTGATTTCAACCATGGTTTCAAAGTGGTGCGAAATGGAGTTCGTCCATCCACAGCATCAAAGTGAGATTCTCTTGGTGTCACAGAAACTTCCGTGGATTGGTCTGAAGTCCAAATTTTCCAAAATTGTATTCTCAACAAACACCTAAAGTCTTTTGACAGGGAAGTGAGGGTGTCAGACCCATGTTGCGCCATCCCTCAACCAGATTGCCCAGCGATCGTGGGGCAAAAAGGGTATGTTTTTGGGTAGTAGGCCTTTTGTTGTGGGGAACTCACCAAAATAGGAAACAGGGTGCCACTGAACAGCTGGCCTCAAATCGGGGTGAGGCCTCAAATGGAGGGTCTCGATTTGGCTCTTGTCTGTAAAGCATGGACAGCGCCAAACTCCAGCGCAACCAAAAGAAGCTCACAAAGAGTAAGGTAATGTGAGGCATCCAAACAAGCAACACACAAACATAAGAACACATGCGCACACACGCACACAAATACGCATCACAAATAGAACACAAACACCCAAAAACACAAGGATGCACACATGCAACCACGAACCATCAAGCAGCCACGTAATCAAGCAAGCAAGTCGGGTGTTGCAGTGCTCCTCTGATCAAACCTGCAAAGGATGCCAAGACACGAGATCAATCAATGACAACGACCTGCCCCACGCCAAAAAGTACTCACAAGCGACAGTTTGAGACCAATTCGTATGGAAATGCAAGCTGTCCTTGGACATATACAGAAACAAATGCTACGTGTTGCGACGCTTTTCAATGCAATCCAAGTGCCGGTAGGCCGCCGCTTCACGCAGCGGTGTCTTCCAAGCTATGTAGGCATTGCGTGGCACAGCAGAACATAATCTAAATGTGGCTTGCCGTTGCCGCTCGTCTCCAACCATAAACTACCCAGTCAGCTCCTGCCAAACGAGGAGCGTAGTACTTGCTGATGGCCGTGGCAATCCGTGCAAAGGCAGCTTCTGACTCCGACTCGAGCGCTCCTCAGATGGGCTTTCTCAAAGTGGAGGAGCCCCCCTTTGGATTGATATTTCAATGGGATGAGGTCTCTTCAAGCATCCCCTACCATAGAAGAGTGCGCCAAAACACTCAGAGATGCAGCGCCGGCCCGCAGAGGGGCACGGGGGGGGGGACTTCCGGTTGGCCATGCAAGACTCCAATGATCTCCGGCAGAATGGTTACATGACTAGAGTTAGGCCCAGCTATAGAATGTATATGTTATTGTTTGCTTCACTTTGAGTCACTGGCAAATCGCAACATGTATCCTAATTCTACCCCAGGTTAGTATCTACAGTACTTAGTTGCAACACAGTTACACCAATGCAGCCGCGCAAAACTAGCAGTCCGGGCAAACCGCAAATACCCTTCCCTCGCCTCTGGCCACAGTCCTGCTCATGACTCCACAACAATACTTGGTTAAGACCCCCGGAAAAAAAAAAAGAAGAAAAGACACTATTCCAGTAGTGATAAATTCCTTTTAAAACCACCAAGGGGAAAAACAACTTAAGCAAACGGAAGTGTCCCTCTGCATCCTTGGCTGATGGCCTGAAACCATCGCAAAAAGCTTGGCCGCAGGCTGGCGCTCCGATCACGCGAATACTTTTTAGACACATGTCCAGCTCCAGCCTCCAGGAAGCCCAAACCCCCATGGACCATGGCAAGAAGTGCCCTGTTTGACCAAGGGAAGCCCTCCCAAAAAAATGAGAAAATAACAGGTATGTTTTTTCGTTTTTTAAATAAAACAACGAGAAAAGAACAGATGCTAGTTGATTTGCTAGTTGCAATTCAAACTCTACAACAAAGACAAACAGATCGCTCACCCCGCTTTGCCTCTTGCAGAGGGATGGCCGGGTAAGGGTTTACAAGGGAATTTCTGATTCAAGACATTCAAGCAAAGGTTCCCATGTGAGCGGTCTAACTGAAAGTTCGAGGCAACGGAAAACCTCACCATTCCTGCTCAGGTCCCCCCCCCCAAACAGGTGTCCTTCTTGATCAAACCCTTTTTGGTGTTGGTTTTACAGGAAATCAACGGACACATCCCAATATCACTCAATGTTGGGCCAAAGCATGTGTAGATGCCTTATCTTTGGTTCCTTGATAAAGCAAAGCCAAAGTCATGGACACTTGTTTCGGAGCCTCCAGTTGGCACCGGTAGAAAATTGGGGCCCTGACCCTTGGCAGGCCCTACAGGCGGCCTACCCTACCAAATGGGCGGCCTGGTGCAAAAATGACCAAAGGTCACTTTCAATCCCAGGATCTCCAGATTTCTGTTCGACATTCAACCCCCTCCCTCCCCCCCCCCCCGATTTGCTGACAACCCCCCTTTGCTCCCCCCCTCCCCATGAACCTCCCATCAAGCTCAACCCTCTCCCATTCGCCCCCTCAATCTGAGCATCCCCCCCCCCAGCCCCACAGCGAGGTACTCGCCAAGCGCATCCACATGGCCAGGGCTGCCTCTGACTCCAGCGCCAAATCCGCCAGCACCTGCTTCGCTTCGCTGCGCTCTTACAGCGAAGGACGCATCCCCCTTTTTGTGAAAGGGGAGGACTAAACCAACATATCTTGGAATTGCGCCACCTTGCACCCAACATATCTTTAGTCCTGAAGTGGTTGGTCTTCTGGACTAGGCTTCCCTTTAAAGAAAGCCAGCCCAAAACTGCCACCCCCTACTTCGAAAGCTCTGAACAAACACTCCCAGTCCCGTGGCCTATTTTGAGGATTCACCTGGGTCAAAACGGGGTCAAAGTGAGTGGACCCGGGAATCTTTGAGAAAAGGAACGTGTCCAAAAGAATACCCTGACATATCAGATTGTGGTGTTTTTTTCTTTTGGATGTCCTCCAAACCAACCCCGAAAAAGGTACCTTACAAAACAAACTCACACACACAGACACAAACGGCAGTTTGATTCCGTGCATTCCAGGCAGTTTACACACCTCCCCCTGCCTGGCGCATCAGCGGCTGCTTCACCTCGCTTCTTCAAAATGGGGATCTGTACTCCTGATCCGTAACCCACCTTGACACCACAGGGAAATCGCCGCCACCGGTGTGAGCTAACAAAACATGGAAAATCCTGGCTCCATTAAAGTGACATCCTCTCAGACTACCCGCAAAAATGCGAACCCCTTATAAGCCCTTTCCAGGACTCGCCGGGTAGCAACCAGCTACCCCCGGCAAACCCTTACGGCCGCCCAACTCCTGGAATATCCTTCATTTAAAGGGGCACCTTCGCTTTTGGTCATGTGGACATAGTCGGCATAAGAAGGACCCGTTTGTGTTTGCTTTTTGCGTAAAGCAAAAAACAACAAATCTACTCCAACACATATCCGCCGACCCCTTTCTCCAAAGGGGGGGCGCATGGGAAGGGGTTGTATTCGTCCTTGTCCTCGTGATGAGTATCATTACCACTGATGCTGGGTGATGATTCACAACATCCGGATCATCATCATTCTTCTGTTTCATATACGTTTCAAGTGTGCCGTTAGACCCGGCTTGGAATGCAGGTGATGCATAGTCATGATTGTTATGATAACTGCGATGCATAGTGATGATTATCATCAGGATGTCGTCACGGTAACTACTGATGATGCTGGGGATAACCTTTCATGACTGCTGGCGATGCTGCGGATGCATAAGTGATGATTATCAGCATCACTGATGTTGGGTGATGATTTGCATTATCAGGATCATCGGCATTATCGTTTTTTTCATATACGTTTCAAGTGTGCCGACAGACCCGACTGGGAATGCAGAGGATGCGTAGTCATGATTATCATGATAACTATCATCATCATCATCATCATCATCATCATCATCATCATCATCATCATCATCATCATCATCATCCCCAACATCATCATCAGCATCATTACCACCATGACCCGACTGGAAATGCAGGGGGTGATTGTCATGATAACCGCTGGTAATGCCAGGGCATCATGATCATCATCATCGTCATCACCATCTGATTGCTTCTCGAAATTGTTGCATCCACGGCAATACGACGAAGTCTTGCGAACAACAAAGTGCCCCTAACATGGTTTTCCTGCCCAAGTTTCCACACTCTAAAATCCAACAAGGTGCTCATTATCATGCGAATTAATCCTGCAGTAGCTTGTCTGAGATGCAGGGAATGCGTCGTCATAATTCTCACAACAACTGCTGGTGATGCAAAAAATGCAAAGTAACAGTTATCATCACTCCTCCCGTGATACCGGCATGGGTGATTCCTACGACTTTATCACTTTGAAGGGGGATTCCCTTGGTGTCACACGTGCAGTCGCCCTAAGCCTTCAGCCCAGTGAAATTGAAAACAGGCAACCAAGTATGGCCTGAACCCCTGACCCGCGTCCTCAGTAGGGAATCACCAAGGGGTTTTTGGAATATCACCAACCTTGTCAAAGCATGGCATTTGGGGGGGTTCAGGCACCTCCTTTTTGCTAGGTGTTCAGAAGCCGAAGGGATTTCCGGAGCCGTTTTGGGGGTTCCGAAGTTCGACCAGTTTGAAGACAACCCCCGTGTTCCAGTCTCAAGACGCACCCCCCCTACTGTGGATGGACGAAATCCTCGCACCACTTGGAAACCATGGTTGAAACCATTGTTTGTTGGTATTTACAGGGGAATGAACGGTGGTGCGAAATGGATTTCGTCTCTCCACTGTACTAATCAACCAGGGGTTCTGCTCAGATCCGGGGTCCCATACCGGTCCTTCCCCAAAAAAAACCTTGGAGTCTCAGTTGGTTGACTTGAAAGGGGAACCCTTCCCCAAAAAAGTTGAAAAGAGGGCACCACTGGGCAACTGGTTAAGACACCCCCACGGAGACAAAGCTTCCAATTGGTTAAGACCCCTGGAAAAATATATTTCCAGTAGTGATAGATTCCTTTTGAAACCAACAAGGGAACAAAAACATACATATATATATATATATAAGAGAAGACACACCAAACAAAAAAAAACTTAAGCAACTGGAAGGCGGTCCAGGCCGCCAAGGGCTTTCCGAAGGCCCAGCGGTGCGTGGCGTGGTGGCACGCCAGCTGCGCGCTCCGCCGCATCAGGGCGCAGCTGCCGATGACGCAGTCCAGGCGGGTGTGGACCACCATCTCCACGATGGTGCGCACCTCAAAACCGCACCGTTCCGAAACCTAAGGGAAGGATTCGACTCCGCCACGAGAAATGCCAAGAAGCAGAAAGGTGTCAACTGGAATTCTTGCAACTGAAAACCGTGGTTTCAAGGTGGCGCGAAATGGATTTCGTCCATCCACAGTATGCTAACGCGGAGATGGGGAGGGGGCTTGCGATTTCACCCTGGGCGAAAGGGAAAGTTTTGTAAGTCTAAATTTTAATGGTGGTTCCAGCCAACACTAAACGACTGCAACAGACAAAAGCTCACCCGTTTAAACGCTTGGTTTTGGACGAGTCAGCCTTCGAAGGAAAACAGTGGTTGGTCGTGTTTGATCAGCACACTACTCAAAGGAACAGCAGAAACACATCTTCTGCCAAATGCAGTACAAGTGAAGAGGCCCTTGTAACTACGTAACGAGCCAATTGCTTTTGTTGGATAAGCGTAACCACTGTTCAGAGAACTCTCCTGCAGGTGACGCTTTCGTTGACAACTTCCAGCCCCCGCATCGCATGCCCACCGCCCCCCAAAGCAAAAAAACACATGCTCCCTCCGGTAACGACACATAGGCGTGCCACTTAAATTTGATCAAGGCCTCCCTGCTCTCAAAATCAACAGCAGACATTACATGTCTACCACTAAAATGTTGTTGCCAAAAACCTGTTTACTCACCACCGAAATGATCCAAACACAATCCCGGACACTTTATATTTTGAGTATGGTCAAATTCCCCCCCCTTAAAAAGAAGACCTCGTTAGTTTTGCCTGCTTTTCCCTTAAACCCAACCAAAAAGGGATCCCCCCTTTTCCCCGCCCCCCCCCCCCCCCACAAAAAAAAAATGACAAGAAGAAAACCTACGTATGCTCCCCGACGTCCTTCACGGTGCAGCCCAGGAGCGCCGCGGCCCAAGGGTCCCAGCAACACGCCCCAGGCGTTGCGGTACTCAACCTCACTGGAGGCGTTGGACTTGTCCCCCAGCTTCTCCTGAGCCAAAAAAAAAGCAGCGAGCCAACCCTGGCCGCCGGTCGTAAAGTTCACCCGGGGACCAAGAACCTGAGACAGCATGCTAATTAAACCAAAAAAACAGGGCCACTAGCCACCTGCAACCAAAAACGCTGGAGTTTTGGAGGGTCCCCCTATGTGCGGGCCCCTTTTGGGGAACCACTTTTGCCCCCCCCCCCCATGTTTACACCAGACAGTATCCAAATTGAATGAAGTGTTTGCAGGGGGTTAACCATTTTTCCAGAGGGAACCCAAAACCAAGAAAAACAGGTGCCGATGATAACTGGTGAGTCCTTCCAAGTACAGCTATAGCTGGCCAAGGGACATCACTATTCAAAACTCGCAGGGAACAAGTCTGGCAATCTACTGTATCTGGGATTTTCTTTAATTGGATAACATTGTTGCATTCCCTGGAGGCTTCCCCATTGTCACACAAAAATGACTGGTGGCAGGCCGGCTGAGTTAGAACATGTCTGGTTTGAAGTCTGGAAGGTTGGTGAAATGAGGCAGGGGATCTTCTTCACGACTTTCACTTGAGAGCCCAGCAAGGTGTATTAGTCGCAAATCCATCTGAGAAGCTCCAGCTTTCAACCGAAGCCAGCTTTTATAAGCCCCGAAGCCCTTAAAACATGTACAACTCCGCAGCTCCAGCTTGATTGCAGCTATTCAGCGCAAGCCAAGCTGCGGCAAAAACAGGGCAGTCAAGTCACGCCTGGTTTGTTCATCTGAGGTGTGTAACGAGGGCGTGTAACGAGGGTGTGTAACGAGGGGTGTGTAACGAGGGGTGTGTAACGAGCCAGCTGGTTTTGTTACAGAGGTCTGTAACGAGGTCTGTAACGAATGTCCGCCGCGGCTCTGTTACAGACCCCTCAAAAAAATTCACTGCCATTTTCCATGCTTCAGCATGATCAGGCCGCGGCAAGATTTGCAAGCCATTTGAATCAAGAAGCTTCAACATACCTGTACACATAGCAAGCTCCGGCACATAAGAAGCCAACTTGTGAGCTTCAAACGAGAAAATAACAAAAAATAGCAGCTGTCGTAAAAAGGACCAGCCTTTGGATTCCACCTTGGGAGGCCAATCGCCTGATGAAACTCCGCCTCCCTTTGGTGTCCTCACAAACAAGAAGTGTGCCAACCCATTCAACATGTTTCGGCTCAAGGTCGTGTTGAGAACATGCAAATTCACGAGGTTTTTTCGTTTAGGACTATATGTCGTTGCCAGTTCGCTGTTGAATCCAGGCATTGGTTTGGAGCGCGTCACCCAAAAACGACCCCTTCTTTATTGCTTCAATTTGGCACAAAATAGACACCCCCCCCCCTCAAGAAAAAAGGGGGCTTTTCTGTTCGGGGTCACCTGGCCGAAACATCGGCTTTCCCCGCCTTCAAGCGCTGGACGTTGAAACCTGCGTTGCGGCGCCCGTCGGGCAGCCATCGAGGCACCAGGAAGCAGGAGAGACCCTCCTCAGGCGAAACGAAACACCGCTCCAGTGGCAACCCAAACAGCTTGGTTCTGACACCAAGAACCCAGCTGCAAGCAGCGACCCTGGCAGAAAAAAAATCTGCTTGGGGGGGACCAGTAGTGGGAAGCCCACCAAGGAAAAGGTTGGTGGCTGGGCTCCGACTGGCCAAGGTGCACCCATGGGTCCCCACAAGCTGCTTCCACTCCAACCTAGGCACTGTTGAAAGGATCAAAGCCTGAAGAAGAACCATGTCGCTTTTGGGGATAGATTGGGGAGGGCATCAAAGGAAAGCAAACTAAGACTATGACTTGCAAAAGTGCAGGCCGGACATGATGCCATGGACACACATAGATACTTCTTGGGTGCCATCTGGGTCATCAGGGCTAATTGACACAAACATGTTGGTTGGAGAGAAAACAAAGCCTCCAACACCAAAAAGCCCTCCACAAACAAAACTGCCCTCACTTGACTCGATTGCAGCCAACTATTGGAAGGAAGTGTGTGAACACGTAAGCAGTGGTTAAGATTGGAGTGGTAGAATCAAACGCATCTGCAAGAACACAGCTGTCACCTGCGTGCAAGTTCTTGAGTTCTCATATACGCGGCCTATGCTGAATTGCAGGTCAGGGCAGTTCTGTCTTTCATAGCAAAACGCAGCGAACTTATTGCACCATCTGAGCGTGTACAGGTCATGTTGTCATCCATGGCGTGGAAGAGCGGTGTAAGCTTTCCGCAAAGCCTCTCATCCATACTCTTCCCATGCGAAACATAGCTTCGAACTTACAAACAATGCCCCGTGTGCTCCCATTCCTAGGACCAACCGAAATAGGCTGAGATGCTTTTGCCTAGCCTTGGCAGTAGCCTAACCCTGCCACAGGGGGTTTAGTGGCAAGCTTCGGTCGGAAGGTGTCAAGGGCTTAGGGTTGGCGTCAAGACACCGGACGAAGGGTTTGGGGTAGGTTTAGGGTCTTAGGGTAGGTTTAGGGTCTTAGGGTGGTTCAGGCCCGGCATCGTTTTAACATGGCTGGGTTCTAGGGTGGGTTCCTGGCTGGTAGGCCTGTTGAGAGCAAATTGGGGGTGGCTGCGCTTGAGGTACTGTAGATGGTTTAGTACTGATTTACGGTGGGGCCCACTTCACAACCATATCCGAAACCAACTTTAAACAACCACACCCAAGTTTGCTCTCAACAGGCCTGGGCCCACCGAAAGCCACCCTGAGCCAACCTGGAACCCACCCAAACCTTGTGATGCTGAGGATATTGAAAACAATCACCAACCAACCAACCCACCAACCCACCAACCCATCAACCCACCCACCAACCCGCCAACCCACCAACCCATCAACCCACCCACCAACCCGCCAACCCACCAACCCATCAACCCACCCACCAACCCGCCAACCCACCAACCCACCAAACAACCAACCAACCCACCCACCAACCCGCCAACCCACCAACCAACCCACCCACCAACCCACCAACCCACCAACCCATCAACCCACCAACCCACCAACCCACCAACCAACCAACCAACCAACCAACCAACCAACCAACCAACCAACACACTAACCAACACACTAACCAACCAACCAACCAACCAACCAACCAACCAACCAACCAACCAACCAACCAACCCACCCACCCACCCACCAACCAACCAACCAACCAACCAACCAACCAACCAACCAACCAACCAACCAACCAACCAACCAACCCACCAACCCACCAACCCACCAACCCACCAACCCACCAACCCACCAACCCACCAACCCACCAACCAACCAACCAACCAACCAACCAACCAACCCACCAACCCACCAACCAACCACCAGCCCACCAACCCACCAACCCACCAACCCATCAACCCACCAACCCACCAACCCACCAACCCACCAACCCACCAACCCACCAAACCAACCCACCAACCAAACCCACCAACCAACCCACCAACCAACCAACCAACCAACCAACCAACCAACCAACCAACCAACCAACCAACCAACCAACCAACCAACCAACCAACCCACCAACCCACCAACCCACCAACCCACCAACCCACCAACCCACCAACCCACCAACCCACCAACCCACCAACCCGCCAACCCACCAACCCACCAACCCGCCAACCCGCCAACCCGCCAACCCGCCAACCCGCCAACCCTCCAACCAACCAACCAACCCCCAACCAACCCACCAACCCACCAACCCGCCAACCCACCAACCCACCAACCCACCAACCCACCAACCAACCAAGTAACAAACCAACCAACCAACCAACCAACCCACCAACCAACCCACCAACCAACCAACCAACCCACCAACCCACCAACCCACCAACCCACCAACCCACCAACCCACCAACCCACCAACCCACCAACCCACCAACCCACCAACCCACCAGCCCACCAGCCCACCAACCCACCAACCCATCAACCCACAACCCACTAACCCACCAACCCACCAACCCACCAACCCACCAACCCATCAACACACAACCCACCAACCCACCAACCCACCAACCCACCAACCCACCAACCCACCAACCCACCAACCAACCAACCAACCAACCAACCAACCAACCAACCAACCAACCAACCAACCAACCAACCAACCAACCAACCAACCAACCAACCAACCAACCAACCAACCAACCAACCAACCAACCAAACCACCCACCCACCAACCACCAACCCACCCAACCCACCAACCCACCAACCCACCAACCCACCAACCCACCAACCCACCAACCCGCCAACCCGACCCCAACCCGGCCGCCAACCCGCCAACCCGCCAACCCACCAACCCACCAACCCACCAACCAACCAACCAACCAACCAACCAACCAACCAACCCACCAACCAACCCACCAACCAACCAACGAACCAACCAACCAACCAACCCAGGCCTGCCAGGATTAGCCCTGTCATGGCTAAGCAATAAGCTCAGGTGACATCCCCAACAGCACATGCATCCGCACCCGTGCGGGACGTGTGGCATCCTGGCGGAACCCTCGTGGAACCCTCGCGGCGCCTTACCTCAGAGCCAAAGCAAGGTGCCAACGTCAGTGAGGTGAACCCAGGTGCGAGAGTTACTACATTTACTCATGAACTAGCTCCGCTTGCTATTTAGACCCCGCCCATCAACCTACTTCTCTCACAAGCGGCACACGAGGGAGCGACTCCGGCACGCGCCGTCTCGCCGGCTCCTGGGTCTGCGCCAACGTCAGGAAGGCGTCGCTCATGGGCGCGGAGGTGAACCATTTGTGGCCCGTCAGCCAGAAGGCATCGCCCGGCACCGGGCGCTCAGCACTCACCTCATGACTGGAACGCTCCCGGGAAGCTTTGACCTACTGTGGATGGAAAAAATCCACTTCGCACCACTTTGAAGCCATGCGACAACCATTCTTTGTTGGTATTTACAGGGGGATCATCATTCCAGGGCTTCTTCGGTGGTGCAGGATTTCGTCTTGCGGCTTACTTTGTGATGAGAAGGAAACACAGGTGAAACCACCTGGCAAGTGCCATCGGCAAATACTGCTTGAATATGGTTTTGGAGGCATGCGCGCGCAACCAAACTGTTGTTCGTAACCAACTAGAGAATCCCAGAAAAAGGATTCTATTGTACTCGGTCCAACCTACCTGAAACGTGGCATCCAAGCGTTCCCTGAATTCGGGCGACTTTCGGGGAACAAGTATTCAAATCTGATGGAGGCTACGAACCCGACACGCCCATCTCCGAAGACAGCTCCGCAAACGCCCCAACAGAGCCCCAAAGCCAGCCCTGAAGATGTCTCTCAAGACATCCCCAAGACGTTCCTAAAACACTGCGGAAGACGTCCCCTAAGATATGTCCAAAGACAAGTTCCAGAGACAAACTAAAAAAACAGATGTTCTCCAAAGCCAACCCACCAAAAAAAACTCAACTGACTTTTTGTCGAGACACTCCCCAAGGCAGCTTGCCACACATGCTGCGAAGATACCCACAAGTACAAACCGCAAGCAAAGACCGCGTAGATGCCACCAACGACATCCCGATTCACAATTCCCAAAGACATCCACGAACCACAAGACAACCCAAGACGATCCCCCAAACACATCCCCCCAAGAAGTACTTTAAGAGACCTTCCAAAGACATCGTCATCACCCAAAGGCACCCCCCCCAAAAAACAAACAAAAAAACCTCAGAAGACATCCCCAAAGACAACAGCAACGACATCCGCAAAGACATCCCCAAAGACGTCCCCCTGAGCGCGTCCCTCCAAGACCTTTTCCAAACACCCAAAGTAACATTTGCAAAAGGCACCCCCAAACGTACCCACAAATATCCTCCCAACATCCGTAAAGACAAGCTGTGATGAAGAGAAATCCGCTGCTACTATGCCAGTGTCTCAGGAGTATCTTGATGATCTGAAGCAAAGGCGACGGCCGTCGGCTAATGCAATTGCTGGTGGAATGTTCAACAATGGCATCACAAACGCCATCGTTCTGAAAGCAGTCAATCTTGAGGCTTAGCTGCCACTGCCCCGGGAAAGACTGCCCATGCAGAGACTCCCAAGGTGCTGTCTGAGAACTCTGCGATTGCCTTGAGGGGCAATCCGGTCTGAGCGCTTGCCTGAGGAATCCCTAGGCATGCAAGAAGCAGTTGCAGAGGAAGGATGCGCCACACCTCCACACCCTTGAGACCTGGTTGCGCGTGACCGAGAAATCCGGGCGATGGTCTTCTTCCTGCTCTGGCAATTGAACGCCAGCATTGACCGCGTCAAGAGTGGCAGCTTCGCGCCCGGCTGGGAGGGGAATCTTGAGGCAATGGGCCACCAAAGTTCGAACGTGACCCTGCAGCCACCAGCAAAGAAAATGCAGCTTCATAGTTTCCCACTCGCCTGGCTGAAGCACAGTCTTGAGTCTTGCTCTCAAGTATCTTGCAGCGGTCACATGGCAGGGATCCCAGCCAGGCTTTTGTCAGAGTGATGCTGAGCCAAGCCTTGACCGACAGACGCCGCCTGTGACACGAGTCTTGAGGCTGAGTCAGAGAGCCCTGCCCAACCTGCTTGATCAGAAATAGCGCCAACCCAAAAACATCCCCGAAGAAACCCAAAGACACGCAGCGACAACCCAAAAACATCCCCTAGAGACACCACCCAGGACAGCCCAAAGACATCCCCCAAAGACATCCCCAAAGACATCCCCAAGCAACCCCCGAAAGATAGCCTCAAAGTCATCTCCAATTCGCAAACTCATCCCCAAAAACAACTGAATAGACAACCAAAGACATCCCCAATCACGCTCCCCAAAGACAATCTGGGTTTGTGGTTGGTTTCCATTTCGCTTCCCTTCAGAATAATCCCACCAAGGCGTACCGGCAAAGACAGACCAGAACCGCATGTGAAGTCCACGGCCAAAGTTTCCCTCCTCATCCCTGGGCTACGCTACGGCGCTCCCGGAGGCGGCTTTAGTCTTGCTCCAAGCGGCTGGGGTGGCGCGGGTGTCGTTGGCCCGCACATCGGAGCCCCCCTGCTTCTCCTCAGAAAACACCCCTGGCCCTGGCCATGAGCGAGCCTGTTGGCATCCACGGTCAATCCATCAACACAGGTCTGCCATCCATCCACAAAGGCCACCGAACCAGCAAAAGCCATAGGTCTGCCATCCAGCAACCAAAGCCGCAGTCTACCAGGTACCCTTTGGTTGGCGAACTCTGATTGAAAGGAAAGGACATCCTTACCGAAAGAAAGAGGAAACACATGTGCCACCAGGTCTCTGTCATGGACATGCCGCAGGTGGCCCCGGTCTTCTGCGACAAGGGCAGGTCCTTGCTGCAGTACTCCCCGGAGACCAGCTTCCTCAGCATCTTCATCCAGAAACGAAGGCCTTTGAGCGCCAAAAAAGAACATATAAGTTTGCTCATGCGCAGTGAGGCCAAATAGGGAATCAGGGAAAACATGAAAACATCAAACCCCGTGACAGCTTGAGGACGACTTGGGGCCAAGTTGTGCTTGAACTTCCCCTGTTTGCTCAACAAGGTTCTCCTCCAGCCACGAGAATCCATTATCATGTTTTTTAATCCGTCCTGTCTCATCATCTCTCATCTTTGTGGTGTATGGCAAAATATTGGGTTTTAGGTTGCCACTTTCTGGAAGTGGCCAAGGGAATTCCATTTCCGCGTACTTCTTTGGTGCGAGCTTGGGTTTCAAAAGCTGCCAATGGGATGCATTGGTACTTGGCCGCTGGATTTCCCTTCAGGAGTTGCAGTTTCCTGGTGGTGTCCACTAAAACGATCGCCACTTTGGGGGTTCCAAAAAGAGAAATTGGAAAAACCCGCACCAAGTAAATCGAAACGATCGCAAATGTTGGAGGTTCCGAAAAGAGAACTTGGAAAAACCCGCACCGATCAAAAGGTATCGAGGCCTCGGGGGTTGGATTGCCAGGCTTCCGGGCAAAGTCCTGCACAAAGCCGCCAAACTCCCCGCCCTCTGCGTTCGCCGCACGCAGCGCTGGCACCGCCGCGAAGGTCATTACCAAGGGGCAGCACACCTACCAGGACTGTTTAAAGGGGCCACCTTTCGTCTACATCACCTTTGAGTAGGGAGACCTAGGGACTCTGTCTCCCTCCCACTGGGAGGGCTCTTGGAAGAACCGTTTCCTCGTGGCTCAGAGTGCCATGGCAACGCGGGGAGAGGTCACTGCATCAGTGTTCGGTGGAGACTCGTATTAAACCGCTTGTGGCTAAGTTCTTCCAGAACAACCTTGTACACGTCTTGTTTGGTCCCCTCTTCAACCAAACTGCAAAGACCACGCAAAAGCGCAGTCTCCCGAAGGAAAGGCACCCACATACCGTGGACGGGCGAAGTCCTGCACCACCTAAGAACCGTGGGAAACCATTGATCAACATTCCAGGGTTTGCTGGGTAGTGCAGAACAATCACAACGCACTGGGTATCCCCATCCAGACGCCGAGATGGATAGAGAAAGCCTACTTTGGTGACTTTGGTGTCCCCCCGATCTGTTGCTGCCGGATTTTTCAGCACGGTCACTGGTCTGGGTGACTTGTAATCCTGCATTTCCCTAAGTTCCCCGGGGACGAACATAAGCATATTTCCATCAGTGACAGATTCCCTTGAATCTAAGCAAATGGAAGTATTCAAAAAACCTGAAACTAGGTCCTCCAGTAGAGAGGTTAGAATAAGGGTACCCTTTTGTTTTTCTCTTTTCAGTAGTCTATTTTAGTATACGGGGAACCCTCCCAACCAAACAAGTTGGTAAAAGGGCACTACTGGGGGACCTAGGAAATTTAAAGTTTCAAGAAAGACACTCTGTCGGAGGTCGCGGACGTAAGGAGGCAACCACTTGCCACGACTGAAAAAGGTCGTGACGAGTGAGCCAGGGTCAAAAAATCTGGGCTCAGCATAAAGGACAGCGACAGAAAACATAGTGAGTCCCCCGGTTTCGGGTTGGAATTTCGTGGCTCATCCCAAAATGGACTATGAATCTTTCTGACATTTGACACCGAACCTATGCTCCCTCGGTTCACTGGTGGGGCCAGGTCAGAAGAGTAACAACAACAACGTTTGGGTGTGTGAGTCTCAATGTGGAATGGAGCCTAGTGTTCTGGTTTGTTCCCATTGTCAGGACCGGCCAAGTTTTTGAAGAACCGAACCCTGGCCAGGGCAAAAGGGGAAACACCAAATTGCTTAAATAACTTGTGTTGACACAGATTGAATCACCCCGCATCTCCCAGTCTCTCTCTCACTCTCTCTCTCTCTCTCTCTCTGTCTCTCTCGATCGGCCAAAGGACCCCTTGGTCCAGCTGGTACATGAGATACATCAGAGCGCCGCGGATCACATGAGCTCCTGGCCTGCCGTGAAACCCCGAAGCCTGATGCGTTTTCGCTGGACCAGCGCATTGCTTTGGGGAGACGGCCCTTTCTTCATGGTTTGCTTCACAGCGGATGTGTTAAAGCTTGGCATTTTCCCAACACAGAAGCCAACAGTGCCACAAAACGATCCAGACTGATATGGGTGGCATCCTTTTTGGTTTCTCGCAGCAAAACCATCTCCTCCCACAACCCCAAAGAAAGGGTAAATGAATGAATTTCAGAATTTACAGTATCAACAAATACATGATCAATTATAACTTGGTAATATAACGGTGAAGCAGGTGTATTCAATACTGTGGATGCATCAATATTACAAACATTACTTGATGTGTTTGGTACTAACGTACTAATATATGAGACTGTTAAACAAAATATTCAAATACAAAACATGTGCAGCAGGTCGATAAAATAAATTATGGCTTGTGTGAATGTATAAATGTCCTTTTGAGAGGAACCTGGCCAGGACCCACCTCGACCATCCAATCTTGACCTCGCCCTAAAAATTGCAAGTACACCAACCATACTCAACCACACAACTATGGTAAATTGGCAGTAAATTGTATTTAGGCTATGTCCTCCAGTAGAGAGGTTAGAATAAGGGTACCCTTTTTTCTGTAGTCTATTTTTGGTAGGGGAACCGAATCTCCCCCCAAAAAGGGGAGAGAAGGGCACTACTGGGGGACCTAGTAGGTGCACATGCCTCTGGCGCGGGCGTCCAGCGCTTCCAAAAGCCCCGGCCTGGCGTTCTCGTGTCGCCAGGCGAAAGCGCTGCAGCCTGAGCGCAGGCCCAATGCCATGAGCTCGTGGTAGCTGGGGTGGAACACCGCCGCGTCCTGACCTCACTGCTACCGTGGGTGGAGGAAATCCAGAAGAAACCATTGTTTGTCAGCATTTACGGGGAAATCGCATCATTCCAGGGTTTCTTAGTTGGTAAAATAATGGATTTTGTGCGTCCACTGTATGTTTGAGGCTACCCGTTTCACCTTGGTTTAAAGGCGAACGTTGAGTTCGAATGGCGGATTTCTGTATGGGGGAGGAGCTCATATTTTGAGACATGCCCCTTTTAGTTGGAGCACTGGCAGCGGGGAGTATCGGGCCTTGCTTCATTTGCGGCTTGACCTCAACCCAGCGGCCTTTGGGCCCAAAGGAAAACCATCGCTTGTGATGCAGAATTTGTGTGTGTCAAAATAGGATGACTCCAAGGCTTGTAGTTTTCATGTTGGTTTCCTTTAAAACCAGCCCGAAAGGGATACCCTCCAAAAAAAAACACTTTTGTCCACAGTACGGTGGACGGACCAACCCCACTTCGCTTGAGTTGCGATCCTTCACGCCCTCTGGTTCATAAACCAGACATTCGGTGCAGCATCTAGTCCATCCAAATTTTCCCATTCCCTTTCGTTTCAGTCTTGGGTAAATAAGTAAATAAGTCAATCAATTATTACCTGTATACATATATATATATATATGCATATTTATATATATACATACTATATATATATATGCTTGCTATATATATATATATGTCATGTGTCTCTTTGTTTGGGGTGCTTGACCCCCATGTCTTTCTCGTTCTGAAGGTAACGGCACATCCCCGCCTTTCCGGGGCGGAGCGCCGGCCATCGCCCGCCGAGGCGCGGAAGCCCCGAGGGTCGAAGGCCTCGAGGCGCGGGACTTGGCGATTCGCCTCCGCGGCCTTCAGCTGCCACTCCTAGCGGCGAAACGAAGTTGACCGAAGGAAAGTGGACAAAAGCTGGGAAATGGAGCCGAGTGTTCTGGTTTGTTCCCATCGTCAGGACCGGGCAAGCTTTCGAAGAACCGAACCGTGGCCAGGGCAAAAGGGGAAACACCAAATTGTTTAAATCATCTCTACTCTTGGTATGGGCTTGCAAAAAACCGTTGTTTTTTGCAGACCCCCAGTAAAAAAATGAACAGAACCAAAAAAAAAAAAAACTTAAAAAAAAAAGAAAAAACAAAAAAAACATGCCAAGAACAGTGAAGAAAGGAAAGTTGACAAAGCTGGGAATGAACTCCTTGGAATGACCAGCTTCCGCTTGAATGAGCGGGTTTGAATGTCGGATTGAATGAACTAAGTTGAACTCCTTTGAATGACCAGCTTCCCAAACCGACATCAAAGTTGAGCTTTTCGACCTTTTCGCCCCCGGGTCGGCTCCAACGGTGCATGATGCTTGCTGTTTGTTAGTCACGTGGGTGTGGCTCAAAAAAATCAGGAGCTGGGGTTACGCGGGTTTTAGTAACTTTGGTTCCACTTACCAAGGTGGCCATTTTAGTACCGGTTTTTTGAGCCACAGCCAAATGGCTTTACTTGCCGCTCGAGTTATGCCCAGAGGCTCCCGATTGAAGTCGGGGAAATAGAAGAACCTGGTTTTGAGACCCACCTCCGGGGTGTCTAATGGAGGGGTCGGGTCTTCCATTGAAAGCCCCAGGAGCCTCTTCCTTTGGATGAGACAAAACGATGAAAGGGTTCAACAAGCACAGGAGCCTTAGGGTGAGCTCGCTTGACTTTCAGGTGAGCTCTCAAGAAAAATAGGCAGAAACGGTGTCCTTTGGATGAGAAAAATCAAGTCAAGCAATTGAAAGGTTCAAATGCGTGGCCCTGTTTTTGAGGGTAGCCTTGGGGTGCTTGAAAAGAACACCGAAAGGAAAGCAATACATTTTGGGATGGGTTCCCCGGGTACTATTCCAAGCTGAATTATTGGATATTGGATAAGCAAAGGATCCTTGTGAGCTCGTTTTACCCCCAGGTGAGCTCTCTATAAAATAAGCAGATAGGCGTCCTTTTGATGAGAAATCGATGGGTGCCCCTGGTCAGGGCATACACCAATCTAAACCAGTGAAATCTATTTCTAATCAAACTAACCTCTCCTGTCGCTGTCGGAAACCCCGACTGGCGAGACCCCCAAGTTGAGGGCTTTACATGCTGCTCAGTAGGGAATGAGACATGGAATGACCCCGTTTGAAAGAATCTGTTTTAGTTTAAAAGATGCACCAGGTTCATTCTTTCATTCCCGAGCACCAGGGTTTATTTCGTCCATCCACAGTACTGTGGACGAAATGCACTAAACGCACCACTTGGGATAGATGAAAACCTACAATCATGGGCTAAACCACCTACCAGCTGGTGCAGGTGCAGGATTTGGACCTGGGGTTTAAACATCAAAAACGGGTACATCCAAAAACAGGGGTCCCTCTAGTTCTGTGTATTTCCCCCCAACAAAGTGGGTTCAAACATGAGATTTCTTGGCTATGACCAACAGGTGAGCTCCCCAGCGAAGGGAATCACCACAAGGGAACCACCCAATGAATGATACCTAGGGGTTTGGGAATGAGCCTAGGGGTTCCTTGGGCTTCCCTTGCAAGCCAGGGAGTTCAACAAAAAGGGATGGGTTCCGCTTCCCAAAGTGTCCCTTCGTACCCGTTTCTACTGTACCCAGGATGGGTTTGGTGGTTCAAAGGGCGAACAGTACAAGTACCTAAACCCCCAAACTTTCCCCTTGCCACTTTCTTCGTGGACCCCTCCCCTCCCCTCGCCCCCCGTTTTGGGCGTCCGCGCACATTTTTTTTGGGGGGGGTCACGTCATCTCGCGCCTCGCTGCCCACCAGCTGCCCCAGCTCTCGCAAGTCCTCATGCCACGTTGCGCCGAAGTGCGCCAGGAGCCTCGAGCCACCGTCTCAGATGCCACCCACATTTCACCCAGGGAGAAGCACCCCCCTACTCAAAAAGCTTGACTTATATTGAGTCAGAATCAAAACCCCGGTACAATGGTCGTAATTCCAGAGCCACGACTCAAAAAAAGGCGGCCGCAGCTATCTACCCGGGGTTTGATTGTGGCTTCGACTTTCAGGCCACTGTGTAAAAATCGGATAGACATGGGTATAGGTGTAAGATAGGAAACCACCTTTACAAGGTGACCCAAGGTACTTGCTTACAACCCAAAGAAAAAACTACCTGGACCCTCAAACTTCCAACTCAAAAATCGATAATTGCCCCAAAGTTGTGGGGTGATCTCCAATTTTTGAGGCTATTTTGAGGGTCCAGGGACTCTCCCTGTGCCACCTGGCGTTTGGGACCCGGCCCCGAGAGGAAAATTTGATCTTCCAGTTACCCCCCGAAGCGCTATGTTGCTCCGGAGGGGAAATGTGCACATTCTGAAGCACGTTCTGACTCTGTCCATAGTTGAACTACCAACTTCAAAAAGTAAGTGTATGTTTGGAGAAGACCCAGATTGCCTCCCGTCACCTGTTGTTGAAGCTTCAACTTGTGCGGGATCGTCCCCCTTATTCTTGGACAGTCCGCAGAGCAAAATGAAAAAAAATGGAATGTCCTATCTCAGCATCCAAATTGTTCATTGCAATCATGCAATAGATAAGATGGTGATGATGAATTAAAATGTCTTTAGACAAAAAACATGGGATTGATATCAATTTGTTCCATTGGTGAGGTTTACAATGAACAGTTGCCTCTGACCTCCCTTCCTTTCTTCCTTCCCTCACCTCACTCTTTGGTTTGGTGAAAGCCAGATTCCAGAGGGATACATCGTAAACCACCCTCCCAAGGTAAAGGTGAAAATATCTTCCAGGACACATATCAGAATGGGTGGGTCATCTCAGTTCAATCTGGCGAGCTGTCTAAGCTTGAATGCTTCGCTGGCCTTCTTGGCGAACCTGATCACGTATGGTTTGCCACAACATACTGTGCATGGACGAAATCCATTTCGCACCACCTCAGAGACCCTGGTTTCGGATGATTCCCCTGTAAATACCAACAAAGAATGGTTTCCCATGGTTTCCAAGTGGTGCGAAGTGGATTTTGTCCATCCACAGTATGGTCTTCGCAGAAGCTCAGGAAGTCAGTTCAAATGGTTTCAGGTATGGTACGGTGATATACTATGCCCCGTCACACAAGCTGTCGATGGGCCTCCATGCCTGCAAAGTCCACTCTGACTCCTGCCTGACATGGAACCCCCAAAACCATAGATGCCTTTTGTGGAACCCTTTCTTTCTGTGTTGCTCTGTGCCTATGAGGAAAAGGTCCAACCTGTTGTTGTGAAGGAGCCAAGCCATTTCTTTCCCAAACACCCTGAGGCCTTTCAAATCACACCCAAGACTTCCATTAGCCCAAGCTTCTGAAAAAAAATATAAAACATTGTGATACATTCCGGTTGAAACCAACAAGGAAAAGCCAAACAGACTCATTTCAGCAAATGGCCAAAGAGCTGCTGGGCTTTGGGTTTTTTTCTTCCGAGCTCGCGCACCTGAAGCCCAATTCAACTGGGCCCCCGCTGGCGCAGCGCTGGATCTTCGAAGGCGTTCCCGTAGAGGGCTGGGACCTGGTTCCTCACCTCGCCGATGTGTGGCACCGTGGGTCAATAGGCGAGCGCCCGTTCCGGCCGCTGGAGGGAAGCCTTTTGATAGCTGGAGATTAAGCTGAAGTGGAAGTTGATGGATGCAATATACTTCAGTCAGACAAGAGTTGACGCTTAGGTGCTCTCCAAAGACCCTATCCGGCAAAAGTAACGAGCGCAATCCATGCGGCAGGCGTGGGACAGTCAATTGTCACAACGTTAAATCAATAATAATAATAATAATAATAATAATAATAATAATAATAATAATAATAATAATAACAAAAGGCTTTCAATAATAACAAAAGGCTTCCCGGCATTCAAAATTGACTGCTCGAACCTGCATAGGTGCTTCCGTGTAGGATTCTGGGGGCAATGGGCTGCAGTCTTATTGAACTTCAAGAAGCGCAACTTTGGTCAGCGTAGTGACTGGAGGTAGCCTAACATGAGGGCATGAGTAAATTCTAAATGCTGGGGACGTGCTTGGGTTGATTTTCGCGCCAAACAAAGGGCTACCAACCGCCTGCGTGGGATTCATTCCGAGGGCAAGGACCAGAACGGCCTTGGCCAAGTTTTCAATCCGTCGACAAGCCAACCGCAAACCCTGGTCGTTTCGATGAAGTCCCATTTCACTGACTTATACAAATCATCATCTTGAGGTTTTCCAGAGAGCAACTTGGGCTCGGGTGTCGCAAGCTCCATGTACCGAGTCTGCATGCCATCTCACAAGTCGGTGCCAAACCCGGCCTCATGAGTCGGCTGTCCGGGCGAGACGGACAAAGCCATCTGGCCGGCCATTGCTAAGAACGGACAAGTTTGGGAGATCCCCAAAATCGTTGGTTTCCCTTTAGCTTTCCGCTAAACCAACCCACTTTCAGGGGTACCCTCACACATCCCCACTGCCGCGTCGATTTGCGCCGCAAGAGACCAAGCCGGTGTGCCAGCTGTCTCTCGTCCACCGCGCTGTTGTCCAAGCAGTTGGCCCCAAAATACAGCACCCCTAAATTGGCTGGTGTCTGGGCCAAGCGAAAATGCACATACTGGCCTCATCATTCTACCATGATCAATGTCACCCCCAGAAGTGGTGGGTTAAGGGAAACACCCCCATTTTCTCACTTTGCTAACCCCCAGAAACCGTCAAAATAATGTCCCCAGACATAATCCGACTCGTTCCTAATGCGATGCCCGCGCCATTTTGGGAAGGGCTACCTTCTTGTTGCATCACAGGGCCCGTTCCTGGCTCGAGCCAAAGCTTGCCGGAAAAAGTGCGTGCTAACCACATTTCAGGGAGCGCCGGTAGATTGAAATGTGCTGAGGTAGATGTGAATGTGCTCAGATTTGAATCTGCTCAGCTCAGGCGTGTGCAGAACAAATTCCGAAAAAAGCCTGGCCGCAAGCAAACAAAGTATTGCAGAATTGCATCTCACATGTGGCTTAAATCACGCTGCTTGGTTCGAACCGAAAACTTCGTCCCGCACTCGGGCCGGCTCTGGGAGCCAGGCCATTGCTTGAAATCCTCAGGCTTGGGTGACAACCTGCAAAAGAGGCGCTCGATAGACACAGCCCTATCGGAAGGACAGGTCATATTTAGGGACCTAGTACCTAGAAACTCACCAAGCAAAAAGGTGAGAAGGAAACAAGACAGGAAACAATTGATCTAGATGGGATCATGCCCTGAGCCTGGTTGGGAACTGGCAGATGTATAAGACAGAACATGCAAACATGATCAACTCTAGGGTACCTTCCATTTCCATTCTTTCCAGGGATCCGAATCTTTCTAGAAAACCTCCTTTGAAACCGAGGGAAAACGGATCCGGTGTTTGGAAAGAACGATGGTTGCCAGGGACACCTGTGCCATTTGGCCATGAGTCAAAATCCAAATTGTGTACCCCCAGTGAACATCCACATCCAACCACTAAAATAGACTAAAATGGGTGGTGCACCTAGATAAACAGTTGGTTGCAGGGGTCTCTACATTTCCCTTTTGAGCAAGCAGCTCAGCTGCTCCCAAGACCCGATCGGTCTCTGAGGCAAAATGGGTGTCCGGTCTATAACGCCCTCTTGGCTGATAAAGGGAACCCCCAAAGGAAACCAACCATCTTGAGAAATAGACCATCAGGGAAATGTGTCAAATGTGAAAGAAAACCCAACTGAGTCTGGTCTCCTTTTGGCTTCCCTCCAAACAAAGCTTCCAAAAACGAGTAGCCTCCAAGAAAGAACCTCGCCACCCATCTTGAGAGGCGTTCCCCTCGTGGCGTGTGGACCTCCTCCGACAAAACCGGCTGCGAGCGCATTGAGGCCGCGGCTGCAAGCGATCCAAGACCTCTGCGGAGTAGAACTCCCCGAGGTGAGGCACACCTCACGGGTCCCGGGACCCGTCGGATACGTCCTAATCCAAACCCCGGAATGAAAAAATGGTCGTAATCCCGTAATCCCATGCTTCAAGAATTAAGGCGGAAATGTCCGCAGCTATCCATGGCAAGGGGATTCTCCCTCACTAACCTTCAATCCCCGAATCGGTTTTGAGCAAGTGACTCAGGTGTCGAAACGGACGGACGGGAGCCATGGGATTCATGGAGGGTCTGCCCGCAAAATGCAGAGGGTCGATGCGTGAATGTTTGATAAAAGTGTTTTGATGGACTGCTGGTGGCTGAGGCGCGTGGAGATAATGAGCATTGAATTGTGCTTTCATATCATCTCTACTCTTGGTATGGTAGCAAAAAAATGATTTTTTGCAGGCCCCAGGAAAAATGAACAGAACAAAAAAACTAAAAAACTACAAAACATGCCAAGAACAGTGAAGATATTGGAAGATGGTTGCATCCTCAGAATTGGGATCGGAACGACAAAGCAAACCGCTTTCGAGACCCCCAGGGACTTAAGAGACAAGGACCATGACGATCCTTTCGCCCCAAAAAAAGATCCCCCAAAGCGATATGTGTGAACCGAGCCTATCTTCTGCGAGACACGTGTTCTCACTTTGATATGCACTAGCTGCTAGATGAAGCGGCTATAAGGACTTCGTGAATGCGTCACTATGTTCACCTGGAGGTACAGTTTCATTCCCGGAACCTTGGAGTCTGCCCCGGAATCCGCAGAACCTAGAACCCTCCCGGAGCTCCACGGACGTTCAACCTGAATTGGCTAGAGGGGAAAACTCAAGATTGACGTGTCCTGAAGTGTTGCTGCATTTACAAAACGATCACCATGTAACACAAAGAAACGACTACAAATCGTTGAAGCGCGTTCGCTGGACGATAGTCCGCAAAAATGCGGAACCCGCATAAATCCAAATTCTCGCGAAGTTCAAAGAACATAGCCAGCATTTTTGAGTTTATGAAACTATGCGGACACACACATCAGCCACGCTGCAGAAATAGTCTGGTGGTACGTCACGTTCTTAGAAGTAGATACGGGTGCCCTCCTTAAAATCGACGTGGAGATACGTGGAGCCCTGAAACGGGGATCCCCTTCGTGTGTTTACAAACCCTGCCAACATCAGCTGCACCGCAGGAATCGTCTGGTGGGACCTGGGACGTCACGTTCTAAAATCGACGTGGAACCCCACAATGAGGATCTTCTTGTGGGTGCTTTGGGCGGGTTTCCCCCAAGCGAGACCCTCTTTGGCGCCTCCGCAGGCGCTGCCATCAGATGCCTCGTCCAGCACCTCACGTGCAGCGCCCCACGATTTATGCCACTCCTAAAGTCACCCTCTAAGCTGCCGAGTAGCTTAAAGGGAAACAACCGGTGACGAAATCCGCTTCTCTTTCTACCGATCAGACACCCAGGGGAATGATTCCAACAATGGTCTCAACCATGGTAACTTATTTCGTGGTGCACAATGGATTTCGCAACCATCCACAGTATCACAAGGCTATTCGTCACAGTTCTCAAAGCCCTGACGGAAAGTCTGAACTGCCCAGACGCCACAGTCCCGTGAGCACCAGACCTTTGATCTGATTTGTTTTTGCGTTTGGCGAAAAAACATGGCGGATTCCAAGCCAGATCAACTAAGTCCTCCAGTAGAGAGGTTCGAATCAGGGTCCCTTTTTCTGTAGTCTATTTTAGTAGGCGAACTCTCCCCAAAAAAGTTGGCGGTACAAGGGCACTACTGGGGGAGCTAGTCAAAGAGCTGATTTGTTTCAAGGCCACACGCAACTCTTCGGACCAACAGTCAAGCCGCCAGGGAACAACACCCTGCGAAGTGAGACGAGACCGCTGCCTCGAGCTCATGTCGAGGTGCTCCCCGCTCCCACTGCAAACAACAAGCAGGCCTCGGTTTGGTTCTTTCCCAGTTGGGGTGTGTTTTGGGAGGGGTAGCCTTTTTCAGTTTGGAAAGGGTCACCAAGAGGAAGCCGCCAATTTTCGGTGAGTTCCTTTTGACACACCCATGTTCAGGCATCATCCGCCTCCTGGAGCTTGTGTAGGCCCTTGCTGCTCTGCAAGGTCTCCTGAAGGCCCTGGCGCATAGATTCCAAGTTTCCCATATGAGTCACTTGCTCAAAACCTGGTACGAAAATGAACCCAGAACCATGTAAAGAATTAGAAAGGCGGCCGCAGCTATTTATGGTTGGGATCGTCCTCTACTAACCTTCATCTACCCAGGTTTTGATTGTGGCTCATATCTAGGCCCTAGTTCATCCCATGTTGTCCATCCACAGTACAGGTGTCTGCCGGTGCTTTTGGAGGTTGTCGTCTTTTAGGTTGTGTTCACTAAACAAAAGCAAACAACACACGCTCTGTTCTTTTTCTTGGCGGGGGGTCCCCTTTGTTCACCAAAACCCTCGTACATCGCGGAGAGTTGAAGTGTTTCTGTCATCCTGCCGGTGAAAAGGCCGTGCTCTTCAATGCAAGTGAACCAATCAGTCCATAATGAGTACACAACACGCTGTAGATTCAGACCTATGGAACCAGACATGTTGATGGTCCTATGCAAAAGCAAACAACCGGGAAGCGCAAGCATGAAGCCCTGTTGCTCCAAATGAGCATATATGGAAACATGAACCGCATTTACCTTGGCTACAAATGCTTCCGGTTGATCTTCCGCACAAAATGCTTCGAGGAAAGAGCTGAGAGTTTTCTCACATGATGACAATGTTCTTGGCGAATGTTCAAATCACTTTGTGGAGATCATGGAAATGGATCCCTCTGGGCAATCTGCCAACGCAAGGTGAACAGGCTAATGAGTCTTGCCAGTACTTCTCTAGGGGTTGATTCCTTTTCCATTCTTTTCAGCCATCGTTCTTTTCAAACACCAGCCATAACCAGACATGTCCCCAGGGTTTTTGGTGGTTTTCTAGAAATAATAATCCCTGGAAAGAATGGGGAAGTGACCCCTAGAACTTCAGGCAAGAAGTGTCTCACCGGCGCTACAAATCGAGCTGGATAGGTAAAAGGTACAGCAGGGGACAGGTAAAACCGACATGTAACTCTTGCAAGAGGAAGCTACTCCGGTAGATTCGGCCTTCGGGAGCGCCCAGACTGCCGTAAGATGTTTGGCTGCCGTGCGGGTCATATTCATACAAGTGCCATTGCCGGCCACGACCACGTAGTCAAACGGCACATATTCATATATGGTTTGCAAGGACTTGTTGGACAAAGTCTCCAACATTATCCAACTCAACCTCTTATGCCAGGGCATTACAATGCACAAACAGTATGTTTGGGCTCCAGGCAAAACCATGCAGGAAGCAATACCATCGCTGAATGCAACAGGTCTCGCCGTCGGAATCTGCAGATTTGGCCACAGAGCCACAAATGTCTCCATCGACTTCGTAGAGAATCCGTGTAAACTGCTCAGGTGACTCATTCTATCGGTTTCTTGGTACACGAAGACCAGGCATGTGGATAGTCACCAAGCCGCCTAAGTCGCAAGGAAGTAGTCACGCGACTTCTTCGTACGACAACCGCACCGACAAATGTCTGACTGCAACATAGTTTGCGGCTTAGCTCAAATGTTGGCAGCTTCATCCACACAAGGCATCATAAGTTATGGCCCTTTGTTGTAGTTGGGGACATGGGCAAGATCTGAAATACATCATGCAAATCAATTCCGAGCTAAGGTCTCCAAATTGGTCCATACAGCCCATCCAGCCAAGGCGCCTCCACCAAAGGCTCGAGGTGTAGGCGCCGAAAGCGTGCCTGACTGGCACTGTTCGCTGCCTTCTGCACGGAATGGACCACTTAGAACGATGGTTTAGTTCATGTCAAGACTCTCTTGGACAGTGTCCAACATGGCCGACGAATTAGGAGCCCCACAAGCAAACTGCCTTGGCTCATACAAACGCCAGCGTCGAAGAGTTCAGAGCATGACATCAATCCCTATAAGTCACTCAGATTCAGATACATCGGTGGCAGAACACCATCTGCCTTCTGTCCATTTGCTGATGCCCTCGGCGAAACCTTGGTTGCTCTTTCGCTTCAGGCACCGATGCTCCCGACATTGGATGTCCACCTCCCCAATAGGCCATAGGCAATGCAGCATGGCAAATCGCAGAATCGGGTTCATTCCTTGACTCCATGATGCATTTGGTGCGTCTTTGAACGGGGAGGAATCAATTCCAATAGGTGTCCTTGTGTCTCCCTCTAAGACCCCCTCCCAAAAAAGGAGCTCCCTCAAAGGACACACCACTCTGCCTGGGATTTTCAAAGTGTGGCGATCTCTAATCCCAATCACAATCTGGAGTGGGACACCACTGCAACAAAGAAAACCACCATAAAGATCACTCAAATTGGTTCTGAGCAGCCTAAACCACTATGACCGTAACTGGGATACCTTGGCTTAATCCCTCAACCGTGTGTGCGGTCAGTCACTGAGTGTCCTAATTTTGAGCTCCATCCATTCTACAACCAAATGTGAATAGACCAAATCCACTTCGAATCAGGTTGATAAGCAACCTACAACGGTGCCAATCGATTTGCGTGGCAGTTTGACCAAAACGTGGGCCGGTGTAGACTTTGGAAGGGAAGCCAAATCCCTCAACCATGTGTGCGGTAAGTCACTGAGTGTCCATCCACTCACAAGCCAGCAGAGAAAGGATTTGGAAGGGAAGCCAGTAGACAAAACCCGCGTGGAAACAGCGGATGCCCGAACCCCGCCTCTAGCTCTTTCAGCACCGGCGCGACAAGCCCCTCCTGAACCACGGGGTGTGCGGTTTTGAGGCTCGGTATCATTTCTAAAGGTTAGTTGAAAGGGAAGCGGTACCATTTTTAGATAGGTTGGTTTCAAGGGAAGTTAAAGGGAGGGAAGCCAAAGGGAAACCAAAGGGAAGCCAAAGGGAAACCACCAATCATTAGCCCCGCCCTCCCATGACACAGACTTAAATGCCATTGCCGTTCATGTCCTGCTCATTTAACGACTCCCAACCAGCCAACTGAATGATGTTCCCAACATGCAAGCTATCATGCAACCATCATCTGCAGGGCTGTGGGAAATGATTGAATGACCACTTCTATACAACAAAAGGGGCCGAACCCCAAAGACCAAGCCCCCATATAAAGAGGGAATCGATTCCCGAAGATACTGTGGATGGACCTGCACCACCTGAGAAACCCTGGAATGATTGGATTCCCCTGTAAATACCAACAAACAATGGTTTCAACCATGGTTTCCAAGTGGTGCGAAGTGGATTTCTTCCATCCACAGTATCACAGAAGTTGGATAAGCCCCGAGTGATCAACCACGACCATCATCTGCAAATTCACATGGCACCCGATGGCTTGATTGCTTGGGCCCCGATGGAACCATCGGGGCCCAGTTCCAATTCAGCCCAGGTCCTTTGAGAGGAACACTGTCAAATGCTTCAGAACGCAAGGTATCTGGGAGCTTCTGAAGAGCCATCATGGCTAGGGGAAGAAAAAACAACGGCTAGGGAAAAAAAAACAAAAAACAAACTTTTGTGATGCAGTTTGTCCTGTCCCTGCGAGGCTTCCTCCAGTATCACAGGCTGTGTGACTCGGCCCGGACATGCTTGCCGTGGGTTACGCTGCATGTCCGCCCCTTGGCCTTTGAGAGTGAAACTTAGAGCCCGCATGTGTTGCAAATATGTTCGATTGAAGCATGGACTGGTAATTCTGGCTGAACCTCACATAAGGTGCGTCTGTGTCTTGGGTGTGCCCTTGTTGGATGGTTCTAAAAGAACACCAAAAAGAAACCACCTAGATGGCCAAGTTGCTGCTTTTTTCAGTCACCGTTGCTGGTTTTTGGGGTAAAGTGCATGGAAGAAGAAAAAAGACAGCAACTGGCGATCCAGGCGCCCGTTTTTTGGGGGCGGTCCCCCATTAGCGCCCCATGTGCGCCACCTCCTCCTTGGCCGCGGCCGCCGCCACGTTGGCGAAGTCCGTCCAGCTGGCCCCGTCGCCGCTCGCTTTGCCTGAGAACGCGTTCATGGCCAACTCGGTACGTCTCCGCGCAAAAAGGGCCAAACCACCTAGAATCGGAGTGTGGGAAAAACGGATTGTACCGAACTGCCTCAAACTCATGGGATGATTGTGGAACATGTTGATGTTTTCGTCTTAGCTCGATGCATACCAGAAAACCAGCAGAGCCGGGGGGTGCAAGATTCAAAATGCAAGAACTATCGCTTCTTTGCCCCTGAAATTTTCTTTGTCTCTCTCTCTCTCTCTATCTCTCTCTCTCTTTCTGCTTCTTCTTCGTCTTCTTCTGCTTTCACCTCTTCCGCTTTGTCTATCTCCTTCTGCGCTTTGTCTCTTCTTCTTCTTCCTTTTCCTCCTCTTTGCCTTTCTCTTCCTCTTCCTCATCCTCTTTATCTTTCTCTTCTTATTTCTCTTGTTTATCTTTCTATTTTTGCTCCTTTCTCTTCTGTCTCTTCCTCTTTGTGTTTATCTCTTTTTCTGTCGCTCTCTCTCCCTCTCTCCCCCGATTTGTCTGTCTGTTTCTCTTTCTCTTCTTCTTCATTTCTCTTGCTCTTCTCCTTCTCCATTTTAATGGCGAGGCTGAACCACGAAAATCACCCAAGTTGTTTGAGGTCAACCCGCTCAAAGTCTGCAAAAGGTTCACTTTTAGGCTACAAAACAGAGCGCGCGGCTGTGCCAATGGGCCCGACTCCGAATCGCGACCCAGGTGGTTTGCCCTTCAAGAGCCGATTTGTTCTTGCACGGGGCCACGTTTTCGCCGCTTCTATTCCCCAGCTCTCGCGTGTTCTAGCTCTGGTAAGCCGTTCAACCGCAACGCATGCAGTTTAAGAGAGAGCGAAACTTAGGTAGTTCCTGGGTCCTAGTACCACAGAAGTTATTGTTAGACTTCTTAAATCATATGTAGCACTGTTTATTTTGACGCGATACACACAGAGATCGGCACATGAATTGCTCCAAAACAAGGATCGAGCGAGCTGAGTGAATCATCAAGGGAATCCCGACAAATGGTCATCGGTTCAATTGCCTTCCAAGGAAATCATACTGAATCAAAAACACCCTTTCGAGAGATCAGCAGTTTGAAACCAGACATCTTTGGACCAGCAAGCGGGCCGCGGTTCATCAGTAAATGACCGAACCAAAACAAAGTAACCCATCATATGCCTGGGATCAGTGGGCTTGATTCCTTTGTGACCCCTAGTCAAAACCTCACTGAGTGGCCTGATATTGAAATCAATCCATTGTATTACCCCCCCCACACAACCAAAAAACACGTTCAGACCAGACCAGATAGTCTAGGCATCCCTTCAAGTCTCTCAGTTCGCCCCTCCCTTCGCATCCAGGAACGGCAGAAGAAGCCGCCGGAAGCCGCCAGGAAGTCCTGCGAGGCGGCCTTTTGTTTGTGGCTGAAATGGAGCGAGCGCCTGAGGCGAGCGACTAGGTCCAGTAGAGAGGTAAGGGTACTCCAGTAGAGAGGTAGACCAGGTGCTCCAGATTTGAGAGGTTCGAAGAAGGGTACCAGCCTTTTTCGTGTTTGTCTATTTTAGTAGGGGACCCGAATCTCCCAACCAAAAAAGAAACGGTGAGAGGTCGGGCACCTAGCCGGGCCTAGTCAAGGCTCAAGGCGCAGGCAGATCTCAGATGCCCGCCCTGGAGCCTCGTGGTCGGTGAAATGGTCGGATTCAACCCGTGGAATGTGAACATCGCACCTATTCTCAGATGGGTGTGGGCCAAAATTAATCCACCAGGAATCGGACCGCAGCTTTTTTCGTGTTTGGTTCCATTTACCAAGGCAAGCCATTTTGGGTACCTATTCTTGACCCACAGCCAGATACCCAGAGGATTTGCATTGGCAAAAAAAAAGAAGAAGCGCCAGCCATTTTTGGTTGGTTGAGTTTAAAGTAAAGGGCAACCCGGCCCCAAAAAAAACGGAATGACAAAAAGGGCGGAATCCACTGGGCAACTGGGGCACATATCCAAGCAAATGAAAGCTGCAACCGTTGTAACGGTTGCACTTTAACAGCAGAGAGGGAATTTGTGGTTCGGTTCCCTAAAAGGTTCTGGGGAACTTGGCAACTGGGTATCGTGATTTGTCAAACTGTCATACTGTCTATAGAGATGATTCACCAATCTAGTGGAGCTCGCTCTCTCTCTCTCTCTCTCTAAATAATATTGGCATGTACCAAGGGCAAACCAATTAACAATCAGGGATCCCGGTGACAATAACCTTCATCGTGGGCGATGCCGATCGCAAAACCTGTGAGAGGTCGCCATGAATTGCTAGAACTGTCGACCGGCAAAAACACGTGGGAAATGTATGTGGACCGCAGCCGTCTTGAAGCGTCCCAAAATGGCTGCATAGTTTCAAGCCTACACTTGACAGCGAGAACACGGGCAAAAGACCAAAGGCATTGGAAGTCAAAGCTCAACTTCTGTCTGCGGGTTTAGTTTCCCTCCAACCGCAGCACGGTTAAACACCCTGCAAAAAGTGAACTTGTTGCTTCCCGCAGCGCACTGGTCCGTAACGTCGTCAGCGAAAGGCGAAGAACGAGCGGAGGGACAAGATGGACTACGCCCCAAGCTGCTGGCTGAAAGGGAACATGCATGGGTGTGTCTGTTTTGAGGAAACCATCCTCCGGTTCTAGCGGGAAGCCAACAAGAATCCGACCTTTTTGGTGCTCCATTCTGCCTAAGGCAAGTTCAAAGGGAAAGCCAAGGCAAGAAGTTCGGCCAAGTCTGGCAATCAGAGCTGAGACCGAACTCCGAACTCCGTCCATGAGAAGCTTCGCCAGGTCGTCCGCTTCCGCTTGCGCGCCAGGATCTTTGCTTTGCCTCTCTTCGAAAGGGACGGCTCTGGGACCAGGACACTCGCCGCCTCTTCGTTGTGGGTGGGTGATGCTCCTGGAGTTGTCTTAAACAAAAAACAACTGATAGAACCAACCGAAAAAGAACAAACCTGGAACGGCCACACGCAATAGATTCAATAGATTCCGCTCGCAAGTTGTTTCAGAGGGCTTCTCTTTGCTGAGCCGGATGCCTGGTCCATGGAAGGGGCCAAATCTGAAAGTAGCTGCTAAAACTTCTCGGCCCTTGGCTATTCCCAGATCTAAATGTCGGAAAATGGGAGTGGAACTCGGAATAAACCGAAGACCACTCGTACATGCGAAGCCATGACAAGCAATATGATCCATTTGTCTCGTCAGTCCAGCCTGGGCTGCGGAGCTAACCATCTGGATTGCAGTGCTGCGTTTTCATTGAGGCGGGAATGCAGCCACTCGAACGTCCCCTTCAGTGTTCTACTTATCCTTCTCTGATGAGATACTGTGGCTGGACGAAATCCGGCAATGGGAAACCATTGTCTGTTGGCATTTACAGGGGAATCATCATTCCAGGGTTTCTTAGGTGGTGCAGAACTTCGTCCATCCACAGTATGATCCGACTACACCACCGCCCGAGGGCGTTTCTGTTAACCGCATTCAGCAACACTTCATGCATATAGTTATTCCGCATGTTTACCGCATCGTCCGGGTCATTTCTGACTTGGAGTTTGATTCAAATAGCAGTGAATGACATATTATATATAACATACATATATGTACCCTCCCTCTTTCAAATCTAAGCTCCCAGGACGGTGTTCCTTTTAATGGCCCTTCTTACGGCTTCGTTCTGTGACGCGGCTGCACGGATCGGCCGTGATGCTTTGGTGACTGTCCTGCTGTGCAGCCTTCTTACCTTGAGCTGCGCTTGTCTAAATGACGCGAAACTTCGAAGCAACTGATTCACAAGATCACCCCCTCCCCGTGTACATCAACCAGCACGTGGCAAGTCCCAGACTTCCCCAAATTGTACTGCTTTGCGTTTTCAAGGCACCTGCATCGATGAAGGCATCGTCTATTCTTCCCTAGCTCAACCTTCACCAAGATAACCACAAGAAACCACCATGATCCCAACTGCGGTGGATCCGCTGTAGGTAACCCAACTCCACTTTGGGCAACTGAAGCAATCCCCTCAAAGCCCCCACCTCAACCCCAACTGCCAACCCCCTCGAACCTAACTTCCCCCAACCCAAATTCCCCCCCCGTGGTTTACACAAGGCCCCGTTTCCACACCCCCCCCCAGTGCCTCCGCCACGAGAGCAGCGTCCGCAGGCCGAAGGCGACGTTGGCGATCTCCTGGCCAAGCGGCGATGAATCTCATGCTGCGAAGGGAACGGGCGCCAAAAGCGGCCCTTGCCAGAGCCATTCACCGGGTTGCTTGCCAGTTGGGTGTTTCTGAACATAGGGCTCCCCTCTAAAACCTGTTTGGCTGTTTTCTGCTCCCCTGCTAAAAGTGACTAACTTGTTTAGTGGTTTAATACGGAAAACCCAATAGTTGGCAAAAAGTTGAAGTCCTAACATCCAAGCAAAATGCACCAAAGCATAGATGTCCTTTTTGGAGAAAATAGATGGCCCCTGTAGTTGATTGAACCACCAGGCAAACCAGGAATCGCCCTCTATTGTTCGACCAAATCAACCAAAAACACCTATGCTGAGAACCGTAATCTATGGCTGTGCTACACAGGAGAGCTTCCCTAAACACAAGACCTGTCACCCCTGGGTTTAACAAAAACAAGCAAGGATAACAAACAATAGCAAAAGTAGAGCCCTGGCTGTGCACTTTTGTTTGTTGGGGGGGCGCCTTCCAATAATCCGAAGTGCCGGATTTGCAAAACAGGGGGTCCCCGAAGTTGACACATGGGGTCATGACCAAAGAATGGCTTTCACCGCCCTTCCAGATATGCCAAACACTGAGAGCCAAACCATGCAGTTTATGGACAAAAACCATTTCGTGCCAGGAATGGATAAAGGATGTTGTGGGAACATGCCAATCAATTGCGCTTGAATGCCACGTTCAGAACAGTTACAGCTACACTGTTGGGCTGGGTGCTCAACCCCCCTAAATGCACTTACAGCCCTTAAATACTCTTGAAGTCCCTGAAATACTCAAACCTGTCCTTACATGCCCCCCGAGACATGCTTAAATGCTCTTAAGACAAAAACAGCCTAAACATAAGCTAAACTCCTCAACCCCTTTGCACCTACATGACTCCCAAGCCTGGAGATCGCTGTGGACAGAATCTCTGGGCCCAGTACTGGGCTCATAGACTCCATGACTCCACAGCTTCCCACTCAACCGACCCTAAACCCTAGGTCCAAGAGCACCCGCACATGTCGCTGAGCAAATCAGCAGGGAGAACCCTTACTCATGCGCCAACAGGCTCAGGACCCGCAAAAATGGTCATGTTTCATTGCCCTGACGAACAATGGCTGCCGCCAGAGAATCCCCAAAGCGCCCCAATGTCAAATTCGGTCGGTTCGTTTCGGGCAGAGGCACCTTTGGCCTCATGTCAATCAAAATGGGGACACAAAACAGCATGTACCCCAAGATGGAACCAAAACAATGTTCAACCTCAAACAACATGACCCTCACTGCGTGGATGGGCCAAAAAAGTAACCCAACTTGTTGTTTACCACCAAAATGGTCTTCACAACAAGAAACCAGTCCGAAGGATGGGCCAAAAAAGTGACCCAACTTGTTGCTTACCACCTAAATGATCTTCCCAACAAGCATATATTCGAAATGGAACTCGTTGGAAGTCAGAAGGTACCCATCAAAACCCAGGTCAAATGGTCCGAGCCAAGCAACTCGCGCCGGTCCAAGCATGGCAATGGGGTCCTTTGGATTTTCCTTGAGCCATCCACGTCAAAAAGCTACCCTTCCAAGCCATGTATGGCACAAGTATTGGTCATGTGACCAAGGTATCCTTTAAAACATACCAAGCTTGAACTTTGTCAACCTTCACCCTAAGCATAGAACTCAAACATTTGATTTCACCATTTGAGCCAAGGGCAAAAATGCTTTCAGCTGCCACCAAACGTCCGAGGAAAGGGAGCCACGTCAAATCACCTCCGATTCAACGGAACCTGGACGGTGAGCTCGCTGGCATCGGCCACAGCACGGCCACCCACTGCCTCGAGCACGGATTGAAGGCATGGACAACATGCTCCATGCCTTGACTAGGTCCTCAAGTAGAGAGGTTAGAATAAGGGTGCCCTTTTTTTCTGTATAGTCTATTTTAGTAGGGGAACCCTCCCCCGAAAAAGGGTAAAAGGGCACTAGTGGGGGACCTAGTTGAGGGGGGGGGGTTGCCCTGGAATTCCATGTATCACTCCATTGTGTGCAATATTGATGGCATTCGGTACTCCCAACCCCTCCAACACCTCCTTATTCGGTGACGTGTTGAATCAGTATGCGGCTACCCCAAATGGTGGCTTAGTGGCTAGGTAGGTGGCGTGATAGACTTAGGTGGCGTATCCCATTACTTACCGGTTTTCAACAAGCCATCCCAAGTGTAGGATTTCGTCCGCAGAAGGATCAAACAAGTGAGGGAACCCAATTCTACGGGGCAGTCACTTTTGTGGGCTTCACGTGTTTCACCTATCCCAGGGCTGAGTTGTTGTTGGTTTCCCCACAAATAAAAAGCCCAATGGCTGCGATTTTGTTTCCCTTGGTCTCCCCTACTCAGACCTTTTTGCCCAGCTGGAAGCCCAATGGCCGCCCAAGGGGATTTGTTGAAGGTTTTTTCGGGCCAAGTTGCGTGAAGTTGCGCGAGAGCTTGCTGGAGGGGAACCATATTATGGCCGTGGCTCCAAAAGCCGGGTATACCCAAAATGGGTGGACCGATCGGTAAATGGAATGGACCAAAACCTGCGGTCTGCCTCTCCTGTTTTATTTTGAGCCACACCCATATTTACTTTGGTCTAAAGGACTGATCGGAAAGGCACCTACGCCAGGGGTAACTTCTATTTCCATTCTTTCCAGGGATGCGAATCTTTCTAAACCACCAAAAACCCTGGGGAAATGGCGATCAGTTTTTGAAAAGAACAATGGCTGAAAAGAATGGGGAATCAACCCCTAGAACCTACACCCGGGCTTGGCCTATGTTTACACGTATTCACATGGGCTTCCTTCTGTGAAGGGCTTCCACTGCCTCGTGCTCGGTGTCTCTCAACAAGAACGAACAGTTTCGGGGACTAGAAACGCATGTATGTCTTTGTCTTTGTCTTACTGTATGTGTGTAGTGTGTACGTGTGTACGTGTGTACGTGTGTACGTGTGTACGTATGTGGGTGTGGGTGTGTGGGTGTGTGGGTGTGTGGGTGTGTGGGTGTGTGTGTGTGTGTGTGTGTGTGTGTGTGTGTGTGTGTGTGTGTGTGTGTGTGTGTGTGTGTGTGTGTGTGTGTGTGTGTGTGTGTGTGTGTGTGTGTGTGTGTGTGTGTGTGTGTGTGTGTGTGTATATGCGTGTATGCGTGTATGCGTGTATGCGTGTATGCGTGTATGCGTGTATGCGTGTATGCGTGTATGTGTGTATGTGTGTATGTGTGTATGTGTGTATATGTGTGTATGTGTGTATGTGTGTATGTGTGTATGTGTGTATGTGTGATGTGTGTATGTGTATGTATGTATGTATGTATGTATGTATGTATGTATGTATGTATGTATGTATGTATGTATGTATGTATGTATGTATGTATGTATGTATGTATGTATGTATGTATGTATGTATGTCTGTGTGTATGTATGTGTGTGTGTGTGTGTGTGTGTGTGTGTGTGTGTGTGTGTGTGTGTGTGTGTGTGTGTGTGTGTGTGTGTGTGTGTGTGTGTGTGTGTGTGTGTGTGTCTGTGTGTCTCTCTCTCTCTCTGTGCGAGTGGGCATCTGCATCCGCAAATGGGGCAACACCGAAACCGAAGATCTAGAGGACAAAAACTACATGCCTTCTCCAATTGTTCCAGCCTGGTGGGTAGTGGGTTTTGCGAGGAAGGGTAGATTAAGCGTCAGTTCAGGTGGGTCGTGGTTGGATCGGGGTGTGTGGAGCAATGTTTTGGGGTGGAGTAAGGTTGGGTAGAATTGCTTGGGGATGGATTTAAGGAGCTGACTTCGGACGCGCGCTGGAATGATTTAGAGTGTCCACAGCAGGCTTGTGGGCGGTTTAGGGTAGACTTGGAGTAGATTAAGGTTGCGCTTGGGAGTGTTCAGGGTGAAGCTTGAAGGTGGACGGAAGGTTTTTGCTTGAAATTGATTTGGAAAGCCTGAGCGTGGCGTGTTTTCGCGGGATGGCCGGAACACAGTTGTCACAAGCCGCCCTTGACCTGGGGGCTTGCACAAATTGGCATGGAATTGGTTTGACAAAGCTTACAAGCAAGCGACATGACCCTAGAGTTTATTGGCACGGAAAACCAACCATCATCCATCCCCCTGCAGGAAGATTGCAACACTACGCACGGGGTTGTCGGTATGGGTGCTTCCGCCGCTCCGACCCCCGTCCTGCACGAAGGGATGGTGCCAGAAGCACAGCACGCCAAAGGCCCAGAGACTGTTGCCAACACCTGGCAAAGAGAATCTCTTAGCTCCCAACAGATACTGCGGATGGACGAAATCCAATTCGCACCTCCTAAGAAACCTGGCTTTTGATGATGCCCTGTAAATACCAACAAAGAATGCTTCCCATGGTTTCTTAGGTGGTGCAGGATTCTCTCCATCCACAGTACGGTCCAAAGGGGGCATGAATGACCCGCAAACGACCCCAACAAAAACGTGTGATTGCCCCAAAATGATGGGGTCGTGTCCCAGGTATGAATGAGGGTCCAGGTATGAATGAGTACGAGTTTTGAGTGGGGACGTCTCCACCAGCCATTTGCGTGGGTCTTCCCCACTAGAATCCAACACCAAACAACAAGGGATAGTAAGGTTTGGGTTGGGTCCTGACCCTCGCCCAACCCGTACCTGGAATTCTGACAAACCATCACGGAAGGTTGCCATGTGCAAGGTGTTTGTGAGTACATCTGCCACCCGCCTGCGAATGCGCAAAAGTACAGCCAAGCTTCAATGCCCGAAACCAATGAGCAACAACAACTTGGACGCGCGGCCAGAATTACAAACCGCTTTTGCTGCCGAACAAATTGCAAACATGTGACGAGCTTGATCAACGGCTCTGTATCCGCCAGGTGATGGACACTCCCTCCAACAAACCCCCCACAACCGAACGAACCCCTAACCAATCAGCCCTCAACACTTCCACCCCCAAACACACCAGCCCCACCCCCCTCACCCTCAAACCACCCCCACCCCCCTCAACCCTCAAACCACCCCCACCCCCCTCACCCTCAAACCACCCCCACCCCCCTCAACCCTCAAACCACCCCCACCCCCCTCACCCTCAAACCACCCCCACCCCCCTCAACCCTCAAACCACCCCCACCCCCCCCACCCCCCTCAACCCTCAAACCACCCCCACCCCCCACCCCCCTCACACCACCCCCACCCCCCTCAACCCTCAAACCACCCCCACCCCCCTCACCCTCAAACCACCCCCACCCCCCTCAACCCTCAAACCACCCCCACCCCCCTCACCCTCACACCACCCCCACCGCCCTCGAACCTCACACCACCCCCACCCCCCTCGACCCTCACACCACCCCCACCCCCCTCACACCACCCCCAGCCCCCTCGACCCTCACACCACCCCCACCCCCCTACCCCCACCCTTCAACCACCCCCCAACCTCTCAACCCCAAACCCCTCAACCCTCCCCCCTCCTCTCGCCTTGCGGATCCAGCTCCTCCGCCCTTTGGGCCAAGGCCTTGCCCAGCGCCCGGAAGAGCTGCGGAGCGCTGGCGCCCAGCTTGGCGAAGGACCAGGCGGCGATGGACAGGTGCTGCGCCTCGGGCTGAACCCCAGGGCGGAACCATGAAAAGAGGGCTACACCCAATACAAAAAATAAATAAAATGATGACAAACAGTAGATGTGTTGTTGTTTTATTCTTTTACAAAAAATCACAACAATGGTGGTTATTCGAACCCCTATTTTTTCAATGGTAATAGGGGGAACACACAGATTTTTTCGGGTTGACCCAATAAACATGACAATAATCCTCAGGTAAAACATGGTGGTTGTATAGTTGTATGAACCCCAGCTAATTCTGGCTGATATCCGCAGCTAATTCTGGCTGCGAGCATCCCTTACTCTTGGGGGCAGTAGATACCCGAGCAAAAAAGAGAAACTTGTTGCTGGCTAACAGGAAATATGAGGGGAATCCAAAAGTTAAAGTCTAAAGATCCAACCCAAGAGCAGTAGAGCCTAGGGCTGAACACCAGATGAACAAACCCCTGGTTTATTTCATCACGCTTGGAGAGGAACGCCCCCATTCAATACACTGGGGTTTCTTAATCGGGGGTCAACATTAGGGCTGAACCCCATGAAAAGAAGGCTTGACCCAATATAAATGACGACAAGCCTTAGATTAAAAAAACAAAAAAACATGTGGTTGTACGAAACCCCCATTGTTTCAATGGTGGTAGGTGGAACACACAGACTTTTCGGGTTGACCCAGTAGAAATGGGCTGTGGGTCTGTCAAAAATAGGGTAAGCCCAAAAAATGGCTTGCCCTGGCAATTGGAAACATGGACTAAAGCCTGCGGCCTCCTGGTGGTTGAATTTTCACCCATACCCAAGTGATGATAATCCTTAGGTAAAACGTGGTGGTTATATCAACCCCCATTGTTTTAATGGTGGTTTGAACCCCAGGGGGGAACACACATATTTTCTGGGCTTGAGTCAAAGGGTTGGGTTACATTACAGGAAATTCAGCAGGAAGCAAATTTCCTCGAACCAAACCCTCTCATTGAGGTTCGGAAGGGGGCGGCTCCCCCAAGAAATACCGTGGATGGACAAAATCCGCTTCTCGCACCACCATTCAGAAACTTTGGAATGATTCGATTCCTCTGTAAACACCGACGAACAATGGTTTCAACCATGATTTCAAAAAGTGGTGCGAAGGGATTTCGTCCACCCACAGTGCGTCTAAGGAATCCGCCGATTCGCGCGAGCTTGGGCTTGAGCTTCGGGTTGGCTCAGGATGGGTCACAGCGTTGGCTGCGGATTATAAGCCCAGCAGGGCAGCTTGAGTTTGGCTTCGGGAACGAGCAAACCATAGAAAACCCAAACCAGCCAGGGCTGCGGGAAGAAAAGGGGAAGCGCGCACACCGCTTTCTTTGTTAGCCACATGCAGGTTCATTCAGAATCCAGGCTTGGCCCAGCCGATTCTCGCAGCCTCGCTTGGAAGTGTTGCTGACTATCCAGAGAGCTGAGCAAGGAACTCCATTCACAGTTGTTCATCCAGATGGGCCAAACGTTGGTAACATAAATAAACATAGCCTCCATAGAGTGTTTGGCACGGACAAAAACATTAAACGTTCAATATCGGCGTAAATGCCAAGCCATACATTGACTATTCATCCATGAGGAAATAGCTATGTGACAACTCTTTAAACGTCAAACAACAAACTCATATCTGCTAACTCGGGTTGAAGAACTACATAAAGTCAAAGTAAACATGAAGCCGGGCAATGCGCATGCCGGCATATATCACAAAAAGGGCCCCTCTCAATGGCAAAACTTTTCGCGGGCTACTTTTCAGAAGATTTCTGTTCTCCTAGTCACTCGCCTTGCGCCATTGTCACAACACGAGTTATATCTGGCCCTCAGGCACGCTGCAACTATCTTGGGCGAGGGGTTGTGCGACTTTGTCTGCGACTTTTGTGCGCGCCTCCTGGATAGGCAAAACTCCCTGGCTTTACTTTCCAACAATCGCCCAAACATACTGTGGATGGACGAAATCCCTTCGCACCACTTTGATACCATGGTTGAAACCATAACGTTTGTTGGCATTTCCAGGGGAATCGAATCATTCCAGGGTTTCTGAGCGGTGGTGCGAGAAGCGGATTTCGCAACCACCCACTGAATGTTGGGGGCGCCGTCTCGGGGCGACTTACCGCAACCCCTGCCTGGCATTCGGATGCACGGGCCACAAAGTCCCTGGAAAGCACCTGCCACGCGGTTTCTTTCCGCACGCGTTGCGGGGGGCTGCCGTCAACTGGTGTTGGTCAAAGAAGTGTCCAGTGCTGTAGCCACATGCATGTAAGTCTTTACATATTTTTCTACACGCACCCTCCCCCACATCCCCAAGCCAAACCCAACAAGAAAACACACCTGGTTCAGTCTGTAAGATAGTTCGCCAATGGGCCATGCATCCATTGCCAGACGTAACCCTTTCGCACTGTTGCCTTGCCTGTTTGGTTTTCCATCATTCAAGAATTGACCATGCATACACGCCTGACCATCGGACTATATAGTATAATATATTATGTATAATGCATGTATAACACATGTATAGTACATGTACAATATATGTATAATATTCTATAAACATTGTGTATGCAATTTAACACGCAAATTATACATTGTTACATAGTGTATATGCGCATCATATGCAATACTATGCTGACACCCACGCGGGATCGCTTGTCAAACGCCGCACCTCGCCTCCAAAAGCTCTTCGTGCAACAGGCCCATCTTCGCCAAACCCCAGGTGACATTTGCCATGTCCTCACGGACGGAGCGGATGTGGGTTTTTGGGGGCACCCCACGTTAGGGATACCCCATGTTCTGGGTAGCCAACGGGCAAACCACCAAGACACACGCATGTGCTTCTGTGGAAAAAGCCTACGCTGGAAAAGGAGCGGATCAGAATCCTGCAATGACGTGAGCAGGACGAACAATGTGAATATGGAGCAATATGCCTTGACCTGTAAGCATGCAACAACAGCTCTTTGCAATAATACGGCAGGGGTTGTTGCCCGGCCCTGATGGTGATCTTATTCGGAAGGACAAGTGCGCAACACAAGTAAAATGCATGCAACGTGTTGCGACCTGCCCTTCGCATCGCAAAGATCTGTTGGCCCAAGGACATGAACGTTTCGGTTGTGATGGCAAGAAGTCACGATGAACTCGCTGTAGAGGGGACATTGGAGTGACGTGGTAGCTTCTTAACTGGCGGCCGACCTTCTGAAGGCCATCCGGGGGCCAACTGTTGACACATATAGGTTGCCTTGGGTGGATACTGCCAGACGTAGAAAAAGTATCTGACAACGTCAAAGGCACTACTAGGCATTTATGTCAACATCGGATTAATATACCCATCGTACTAAGCCCTCCGGCTTGGGGCCCCTCAATCCTGCACAAGTTGAAAAACTGGAAACACATGGAATTACTCCGGGCTCCCACAAAAGACCCCAAATTCAGGATGCCCCACCCCAATTAAAAGGTTCAATCCCCAAGAATCCCTGGTGATGCGGCTGCTCTCATTTTGTCCACGCTGCTGCACATAAAACCCTTGCTGACATTTGCTTTCCATTTGCTTTGTAATGCCATGACGCATTGCCAAGCCAGCACAAACATCAGCAAGAACTCCCTGAAATCAAAAATAAGTGTGGCTTTCTGCAAGTGTGATTTCTTGATCAAGTCCCTTTCAAAAGTTATGGCTTAAGAAGGTCACATAAGGTACCCCACATGAATGTGTTCATAATGTGAGTTCACATAATAGTAATTTGGGCCCGGTCGCACACCCACTTTTGAGTTCCAGCAATACTAGATCAAAAGGAAACTCAAGTCCCACAATACTAAATTTACTGGACACTCGATTCAAAATCAAAAGGAAGTGCCAGCAATAGTACATCAATTGGAAAGGGAAATCCCACAATACTCAATCAACTGGATACTCAAACCAAATTCAAAAGGACGCTCCAGAGACACTAAATCGAATGGAAATTCATATCCAACAATGCTAAACCAAATAAGTGGAAGCTCAAATCAAAGTCAGAAGGAAGCTCGAGCAATTCCAAACCAAATGGAAACAAGGACCGAAGCTCCTGTTGGAATTCAGCTGGAGCTCTGGGATCCTCATTCCCAATTCAACAGTAGTACCCTCTTTCCAACAATCATGGAAGTGCACAAAGGGGTTCCCCAGGAAAATAGTCTTCCAAAGCTCTCCTGTCAACTTCCATGATTGTTGGAGGGAGGGTATTGCCCAATACTAAAGTAGACCTCTAGACTCTAGGATTCTTGCAGTGCCAGGCTGTTCTTGAGCCGAAAAACCTTCTCGATCTTCTCGGGGGGGGGGGGTTACTAGTCCGATGTCAACATCACCGTATCTAGGAGGACTGCGGAGGGAGCAGGCAGGGGAGAGACCCCCAATAAATCAGGGAAGGCCCCTGTTAGGATTCATTCTTGGAAACATATTCTTTGGGCATCCTACCATATATGGTAGGTGTTCACTTCCTTTTTTGCCAAAATCAAATGCCGAACAACAACCATTCAACTTGAGGGGTCTTCTGGCCCAAACTCCAAATTTGTAGCACTCCTTTCCCCAAATCCATTAAGTTCTGACCATCCATTTCGAACCATGCCGAAATGGACGCGGACCTCCAATTCCGTTGAACAAAAGGGCCTTTACAGTACAATAACGCTTCGGGGAACCCACTAAAAATGATACTGTGGATGGACGACATCCTGCACCACCTAAGAAACCCTGGAAAGATGGTTCCCCTGTAAATATCAACCAACAATGGTTTCCCATGGTTTCAGTCCGTGGTGTGACATGGGGTTTGTCCATCTACAGTATTTCCCACCGGGGCCGCAGGACGGAAATTTGATCAACCCATTGGCACTTGCTAAGTGGATTGGCCAAAGCAGGCAAAAACTTGTTATTTACCACTAGACTGTTCCAAGCTCAAAAAGTGTTTCAGCTTCAGGAATTCCGGAAGTGAGCCTAGGTCCTCCAGTAGAGAGGTTAGAATATGTTAGAATATATGGTACCCTTTTTTCTTTATAGTCTATTTTAGCATAAAGGGTAACAGGGCACTACTGGGGGGGACCTAGGAGCATCGGACAGTAACGGATTCGAGCCGCCGCCCCCCCGAAATTCGCCTGGGGCGCGAAGCTGGCCACCTTGCCCACCGCCTCATCTGCCACGGCCTCGATGAGGTCCGGGCACTCCACCCCCGCGGTGGCGTAGCCTCAGCGCCAAACTTCCGCCGCGCTTCGTCGACGAAAAGCCCCGTTGGGCCAACAGAGTTCTGCCCGTTTGGGCCAAAACCCCCTTGTCCGAAACAAACGGGGGTGGCTACTGGGGAGGAGTTCTCCCCTCTAGAAATGAGTGAGATATTTTCTTGGATCTTCTAGGGCAGGAAGCCGCCGGCAGCAAGCCCGAGGTGGCGAAACTGACAAAATGCCACCAAACCCCTACGGGGTATGCAATCCGGGAGCTTTCGCAGCAAGCACGTTAAACACAAACATATGCTGATCCATGCCTGAACAGGAACCATAGGAACCGTTTGCAGGGGCCCGGTCACCCCGAGAAAAAAGTCGAAATTAGGGATATTCTCTGAAAAAGTATTCTGAAAGGACAAAGGCATAAGATCAACAGTAGGTTCAAGGCTTTGCACATTCTCAAACACACACTGTCACCTCAGATGCTCTGACCTTGATCTGCTGTGCCCCTGACCATTCCCCAGCTAAAGCTGCTCAAGTTGGGATTTGCTATAACCTATTCTCATCTCATCCTGACATTCCTTGAGATGCAACAAGCTTCCTCCATGAGCATTCTTCGCCTGTATTATGCTAGTCCAGCCTTGCAAGGCTGGATACATTCTATGTCCCAGAAACAAGGAGGTGGATCTCATATCTGGGAAGAATGGCTTTCCCAACAGGTTCGATTGCGTGGATATGTGCAACTTTGGCTAAGTCCGAACATAGGCCTGCTCTCCATGCGAATGGACTCAAACTCACAAAATGAAGCCCACCAAACCACAGGAAGGGTCCGCATAAGCAAGGCACACTCGACCTGACAAGCCAAGCCGATAAGGTTGTCAAGCGACACCATGCACGAACACCCACAAATCGTCGACGAAGCCTCATCCATTGCGACCGGGTCTCCCCAGACGATGGTGGAGAGGTCTTGAGGCGTGAGCTCGTGGATCAAGCGCATCACTGTAGAGCCCAGCGTGTTCAGCATGGCCGCGCCTGCTCGCGAGGGGAAAGGTGCCGAGAGGTGCCGAGCCGAGCCCTACCTGTGGATTGAATCCTGCACAGCTTTAAAATCCATGGGAAACCATTGTTTGTTGGTAGTTACATGGGAATCATAATTTCAGGGTTTCTTAGATGGTGCAGGATTTCGACCACAGTATGTCAAGGGCGAGTAGTCAAGTAATGGTTAAACCCTCACAATCAGTCTCCCGGGCGTGCTTGCAAGCCGAAGAAACAAAAAAACAGAAGTGCAAGAGAGAATCCAAAGCTGGGCAAAACATATGATTCAATCGCTCCCCCAACTTTGTCCGCTCAAATAAACAGAAGCGCAACCTAAACCTCGCAATCTGGGCAGGTGGCGGCCCTCAGGAAGATATATCGGGTTGTCTCAAAAAAGAAAAAAAGCTGGTTGGCTTCCTTTTGGTCTCCCTTAAATAAGCAGTACCCTCAATAACACCAACACACCCATAAAGCCGCGTGTCCCAAGTGTGTGTGTGTGTGCCATCTATTTCTTTGGAAAGCAGAAAACACGCCAGCAACGCCCAGAGCTGCATCCTTTCGGCCTTTGTCCTGCGCAACTGTAGCGCAGCCAGAACAGCATAGTTCCAGGCAAGTTGGAATGGAACCTCCCAAAAGGAGACTCCTGCAATCAAATGGTGGGTTGTGGAGTTCTATGATAATCTGGGGGTAAACATACCGCCGACAAACGCAGTAAAGTGATTTGCTTGCAAAACTGTTGTTGCATGATATGTCATGCCGGCACGCCGGAAGCTGCCTTTGTGTGCTTGTCCCGCTTCCCTTGGCTTCTCCACAAGTCGAGTTGTCCATAATATACTTATTCGTCCCTTCTTCAATCATGCACTTGTGCCAGTGGAAGATCGGCAAGGGCTGGTGTAGATGCTGTATATCGGATCCGATATGGCGCCCCTTTTGTCGCAGACTGCAACTCCCCTTGCTTGGCCGCAAACAGCGTTCAAGTGAAGCGTTGGATGTAGCAACACCTGCCCCCGGAGACGACAGCCGCCGTCCTGCTTTCGTCCTGGCCTTACAAGGGGCGGGATCAGAAACGGGAAGGAAGAGCATTGCATCAGTACTGTGGATGGACAAAATCCTGAACCACCTAAGAAACCTTGGGAATGATTTGATTCCCCTGTAGATACCAACAAACAATTGTTCCCCATTGTTTCTTGGGTGGTGCTGGATTTTGTCCATCCACAGTAGGGGGAAAGTGCCCGCATCAGTACTGCCGCGGAGTTGTTGATGCCAGGAGATGTGCCGGCCAGCTAGACATGAAAACAAAGTCCAAACTAAGACCTCCCCCCGAATTCGGCAAACAAACATGTGCAGTGCCCAAGTTTGCCTACAAGCAGGATCGTTTGCAGCTGTGGGCTAACTCAGGCTTGGTTCTCTTCGTGTTGTCCAAAGACGGGCCTACACGGATGATTTCAACTTGGTCGCTGTTGACCCACTGCAAAAAGTGCTTAACTTTTTGGGGGTTAGTGGAAAACACCACTCTATTTCAGCCAAAAAGTTAAAGTCTGAAGATCCGTTGCCCAATAGCAGTCAAGGCCTCTGCCAGGAGAGCCTCGTTCGTTTGGCGCCGAGCTGCGCGGGGGTAGCTTCTTCGTCCTGCGTGCAACACGAGTGCTCGCAAAGAGTCAGATCAGCGAAGGAAACACGAGGGACAGTGAGGGACTTTTGGTGGGTCTTCAGGAATCCAAAAGGGGAAAAGAAAGGAAACAAACACTTTGCGTGAGGTCCAGAAGCGCCTAGGCAAAGGGACTGGCTTCAAACTTACCAGTATCATATGCATGGAGTTCACAAAGCAACACACTCGCACAAGAATAGCCCTTCAAGCAGGGATTGTCATTGAAACCTGAACAAACTGATTCCACTCACAGACCACCCATATTTCGCTGGCCAAGCTGCTTGGGACTCGCGGCCACAACAAGGCTTCGCCAAGCCGAAGTCGGAAATTAGACTCTGTACAGCACACCTCCACGCTTGATAAGTCCAACGAAATCGCAGCGGAACACTGGAGTATGAGGATTCTTTGAGCTTGTGAGCGCCGCTACGGCGCAAAATGGGACAAAGAGGTCATGTGAAGACGACAGATTTAGCCTGCAAACCGGCCACCTGCCATGGTGGTTGGATCAACAAGTGTCAAGACCACTGCACAAGTTCAGCTTGAGTCTTACACCCTTGCAAGACAAGAGGCCATTAACATCGACATTCAAGATCAACATATCAGCATTTCATGCTCAAGCCATAAGACTCTGAATCGACAACATATCGAATATGTCTACTATGGCCGTGCCTGTCTGAAACGAAACGGGTATCCAAATCGGATCTGCTCGCCCTCCTCGCCGCGGGCAAAGGACCACACCAGCACGCTCAGATCCTGGCATTCCAAGGAATGCTCCCGAAGGGATAGCCCCATGCTTGGTTGCTGTTGACCCCACAGCAAAAAGTTTAACTTTTTGGGGGTTTAGTGGAAAACACCTTTATTTCCCAAAAAGTTAAAGTCTAAAGATCCAACCCAATAGCAGAAAAGTATGTATTGACATCCTCCCTTGGTAGCCAGCTTTGAGAGTCCCACGGAGACCTAGAGGCAAGTGGCTGGGAAAATGACTGTGTCAGTGGCCGGAGGCAAGTTCGCCTCCACCGCACCGAAAACAAAGTGGCTGAGCCATCTCCCTGCGCTTGAAATCTGCAACAAGCAGTGCGCACATCCAAGCTGGTGGTTGGTGATGCGTCCAAAATGTGTGGATTCTTGTGGTTCAAACCATCCGGGGAACAAACAAATGGTGCTCCCAAACTGGAGACACCCCAGGTAATACGAGCGAAACACAGGGACCGTCCTGGGCGGTAAGCTCCGCCAGCCGCGCTTTCGTCTCCTGCATGCGTTTTCGGGACTGACAAGGTTTGGGTTGATCCCAGTTCGTTCTTTGGATTGATCCCAGTTCGTTCTTGGGATTGCTCCCAGTGCATTCTTTGGATTGATCCCAGTTCATTCTTTGGATTGATCCCAGTTCATTCTTTGGATTAATTCCAGATCACTCTTTGGATTGATCCCAGTTCGTTCTTTGGATTGATCCCAGATTATTCTTTGGATTGATCCCAGTTCGTTCTTGGGATTGCTCCCAGTTCGTTCTTGGGATTGCTCCCAGTTCGTTCTTTGGATTGATCCCAGTTCATTCTTTGGATTGATCCCAGTTCATTCTTTGGTTTGATCCCAGTTCATTCTTTGGATTGACTTGAGTTCATTCTTTGGATTGATCCCAGTTCGTTGTTTGGATTGATCCCAGTTCATTCTTTGGATTGATCCCAGTTCATTCTTTGGATTGATCCCAGTTCATTCTTTGGTTTGATCCCAGTTCATTCTTTGGATTGATCCCAGTTCGCTCTTGGGATTGCTCCCAGTTCGTTCTTTGGACTGATCCCAGTTCATTCTTTGGATTGATCCCAGTTCATTCTTTGGTTTGATCCCAGTTCATCCTTTGGATTGACTTGAGTTCGTTCTTGGGATTGATCCCAGTTCGTTCTTGGGATTGCTCCCAGTTCGTTCTTTGGATTGATCCCAGTTCATTCTTTGGGGATCAACCCAACGGGAATCAATCCAAAGAACGAACTGGGATAAACCCAAAGAACGAACTGGGATCAATCCAAAGAATGAACTGGGAGCAATCCAAAGAATGAGCTGGGATCAATGCAAGGCGAAGATTTGGCGAGCTTTGGCGTCCTTTCGGTTTTATCAGAAGCCTTCTCCGACCACCGGGTTTATGGTTGGCTTCCACCCGGTTGGCTTTCGGAGGAGCTGGCGAGTGGCGACTTGTGCTGAAACGGACCTCGCGGGCATCAGCAATGGAACCCATAAAGCATGAAGGGTAAGGAGCGCATTCACATCCACATAAAGACCATGCAATCCATGAAACAGCTCAAGCCATGGTTTTCTTGTTCGGAGGCATTTTTTTTAAAAGGCATGTGGCATCATTCATCTTTGGGGACTCGGAACCTTGGCAAGTGCTCGTCCCAGGCTCCGTGGCCCCTGCGCCCCAGAGCCTTGGCCACGAGCCGCAGCACGGAGCTGCGGAATCGGCCCAGGCGAGCACAGGCCCAGGCCAGCATCGCCAGCCTGGGCGTCGATCGGCCCCGAGCTCGAGATGGCCCATGGCCCAGGGAACGCAAATGTTCAGCTCACACATGGCCCAACTGGAGGCCACTGAGTCAACTGATTTTCAATCGAATGAGATGCCCCTCACCCTTCCACGTCCCCCGTTGAGGAGGGTGGGATCCCTGGAGCCTCTGAGATCCCCGACTCCTGGTTCGTAAATGTCTTCACCTTGGGCCCCGCCTCCTCGTGGCCAGCGAAGCGGGCCGACTTGGTTCACCAAAGGTTGCCCAGGGATTCCATTTCCATGTACACGGCCATGGGGCATAAGCTATTGCTCCATTTTGGCCATTTTGGGGTGGATGAACATCCATTTGCCACCCATGTTGATGTTCACCCGGGGTACAGAGTTTTGACCCACAGCCATATGAGATAAGCAAGGGTACCAGAACGGGGCAAGAGCTGGTTGCCTAGTGGCAGCTGTGCTTCACTGGGTGGGGTTAATGCAGGTTTAAACAACGAATGCGCCTAACCCTGCAGCTAACCCTTGGTTTTTTCTTTATGTTTTGGATGGCGTGTTGTGCTCACCACTGCTGAACCAGGGCAAATGCCAGGTTTCATACATCAGGGTTGTGTCCGGTATTCGATGGTTTGTGTACTTCAGCAATGGCCAATCGGTTGACGTTCCATCTCACCAAGAGAGTCTCTGCACCTTTACAACGTCCATTTGCTCAAGTCCCCCGGCAAACACAAACATATGTCCAGTAAACCAACAGAGACAAATTAAACACAAATAAGCAAATGGGCGCAGAACTTGTCAGTTCTCACCTGCCTCAGGCAGCATCTGGTCGCAGAAAGCGATCGGCACCGCGCCTCCACCAAGGCCTCGAGCAAGTTATCCTCCGCTCGCCGAGATACTCTTTTCCCAAATTTCAAGCACGAAACAAGGAGAACAAGTCCAGGAAAAGACAAACACAAAGTTCGCAGGATATTGTGGTTCCAGGTTGGTTCATCCTTTTGCCAATAATTGTGAAAGTGGAGAGGATGTCTTCTCAAGCCCGGCATGGTCCGCTTCCATCATTGTTGGAAAGAGGCTACCTGCAAACCATTTTCTTGGAGTAGCTCCGTCAGACGCCACTCTGAGTGGTTGCTCGGAGAGAACAACCGCGTCCCTGATTTTTTGGGGAATCAAGTTAAATGGACACAACATGGCAAAGCAACAGATTGGAGCTTAGAACATTTGCCCCATGTTGCCAACGCTTCCGGCAGGAGACCTTTGTGCTCAGGCTGTCGGGAACGTCACGAAGTTGCTCCCATAGCCCTGGCACAAGTAGAATTCATACGGGAATTACCTGGCAAACCAAGGGACACCAAGGGACAGCAGACTCTCCACTCTCGAGCTTTGATATGTTAGAGGCGCGCTGAAGAGCCCCGCGTCATCTTCACCCCTCAGCAAGTGAACATGTTTTTGGAGATCAGCAAGTCTCTGGGCAAGTAAGGCAGACGAGGTTGGTTGAAACTCAGAATGCCACCGGAGAAGCCTTCAGCAAATTGCCGCGGGTTCTTTGCTGCTCAGCAAGGAATTAAAAGGAATCGATCCGTTTGGGGCATGCCCTCCCAAGGAAACCACCGGTTATATATTCCAGCTCATTTCCTGCCTATCGAACCAGAAAGAAGCTTTTTGATTTACCCTTGATGAGATCTAGCAAACGGGCTCGATATGGGATTGTCCTTTGCGCAAGAGAACGGAATCCGTTTAAATGGCACACTTCAAGGGCTCCCTGACATATCCTAAGCCTCAAATCACCCTAAGCCTGGAGCAAACTTGCGAAAAACGCCCTTGCTTAACGCCCTTGCTTGCTGTTGAGCTAATCGGGAATGCCCGTATAATATAAAACCAGTCAACTGGCGGCCAGGGATCCAAAACGATCCCCAAACGCCTCTTAGTTTCAAATCAGAATTCCTCGCTGAAAACCAGCACGCAGTAATGCATGGGCCTCGCAAGGGTTGACTGCTTCCCACACTTCAGCCCGAATATTTTGTTTGTTGAGGCAACATGTTAAGCCAGCCGTACTCAAGCCATAGTCAAACAAAATGGCTAAAGTGTTTGGTGAGAGGTCCTTCAAGAGGATCTTCCTTTGAAAGGACCCTTGTGGTGGATTCCATGTCGACGGAAGTGTAACTCCAACCCCGAAACCGCAAGGAGACGACCTTAAGAGGTAAAGGAAGGGTTGGAGGTAGATGTTTGGAGGTTACAGGGAATATTTTTGCAGGCCTTCCGACCACAACCGCCCCACCCCGAGCCCCACAGCCACCCCCACCGTCCCTCCGAACCCCCCCCCCGCCCCCCCGTCCCCACCGTCACCATCCCCACAGCGTTCCCACCCCAACGCCCACCCCCACCGCCCACCATCCCCAACCCCACCCGCACCGTCCCCCGCACCGCGTCCCCCCAACCCCACCGTCCCCGCACCAGCCCATCCCCACCCAGCCGGCCCACCGCCCACCATCCCCACGACCCCCACGATTTGAAACCATCGTCCTTGATCATCTCCAGCTTGGCCAGGCTCTGGGCCAGGTTCGTGAGCCCCTGCGCGTCGAACTCCCTGGCCGTCCCGAAGGAATGGATGGGAAGGGACCTATGCTCTCAGGGTAGGGGGAGGCAAAACAGGAAAAGGCGGAAGCTTCGCAAAGACACCTAGAAAAACCAGTGAGGAAGAAAAGCGATCCAATATCTTGGGGCTAATCTTGGGGCCGAAGAACCTCGAGAAATGCAGTTCGAAACCAAATTTCTTGTCTGGAACGTAAATTGGCAAAAGACATGTGGCTCTTTCCACAAACAAAACACTAAAAGCCACATTCACCAACCGGACGAACCGAATGGCCAAGAGAAAATAGAAGATGCTTACTTTTCCTTTCTGAGGAGAGCCTGCTACAAGAGACATCTGCCGCTGTTTGTTGCATGGGCACCTGTCGCAACAAATCGGGCGTTGGCTCAGAGGAAAGGCGACTCCATCAGGCGGTCCAAGCATCTTGGGGCAGGGCCAAACATGGCTGAGGAAGTTCGAGACAAGCATCCTCAAACCAACACTTGTCAGGAATCTATATGGGATTATATGGGCCGGCCGTTCCTTCGCAAATGAATTGTCCGACACTACTACCGCAAGAGGCCCAACAAGAGACCCATCACACACAAGAGACCGCCCGTCATGTTGTCCGTTGCTCATACGAGCACCCCCAAAAGGCGGAGGGGGCCTTCCAGGCCATCCCTTCCTGGGACCAATGCTCTCATATTTCACATGCCAGCCAGCCTCACGCGCTGCAGGGCTGCGGTGAGGATCACCTGCCGAGGTCCAGGGCAGCCAAGGATGCTGTTAGCACATGCCAAAACGCCTTGGAACACCTGTACCCGACTAGAGCTACTGTGGATGGTTGCGAAATCCATAAACCGCACCACCCTTCAGAAACCCTGGTTTCTGATGATTCCGCTGTAAATGCCAAGACGCGATGGTTTCTTGTGGTCTCAATGTGGTGCAGGATTTTGTCCATCCACAGTATGACGCTTATTCAACTAGGCTACTTATACTTGTTATTCAACCCATCCCACTTGTGCAGCTCAAGGTGATGGGCAGCGAATGGCAGCGATCTCTCACAGTGGTACATGGCGCTTGTCACAACGATTTTGCCCTTTTGCTTCACCCGACCAACCGACCAGCCTCCCAAGCACACGCAACACGTTCATAAAATGATACTGCAAATCGCAACAAGTATGATACTATAAGCAAAACATTTGAGACTCCAACGCACCAAAGGTGTTGCAAGCAGAAGTCAACTGCTTCGAGGGCACCATCACACACTCTGCTTTCCTGTGAACACTTGCTTAACAGGTAGTTCCTTGTTCACAAAGCAGCTCACGCTCCATAGTTCAGAAACGAGAGGTTGGAACTTGCAAACCAATCTGAGGCAACTGTCGAAAGCAACCAGGCGGGGCATGATGCAACTTGTGTCCGCAAAGGATCGCTTGTCACCAACAGGTACCCTGCATACGCTGAAACTATAGCCATGCTCTTTGTCCGTAGTGTGCAGGCCCTCACTGATGAACAGCCATCGAGTCTGCAAGCACCGTATGAGCTAACGCTTAGCTTAAGCCATTCCTACACATTTGTTGACCGACCTTGCTCACAGCCCCAGAAACATGTGGGTCTCTTTTTCCCGTGGTCCATTCTAAAGCTGTATGAATGCGCTGAATGCGCAGGGCACTGACTTACTTTGACCATTGGCGTTTGCATATGTGTGCATTGCAAGAACCCTGAGACTGAGTCATAGCTAATGGTGGCAATGTTTCTCTCCAATCCAGCGAGCTCTGTGTGTGATCCCTGCTAAATACTAGATCCTGCATGTCCCGTCTTCTTGACCTTCTTTTGGAATATTTCACAAAAGGCCTTATTTCTGGCCACCCCCGTCCCCCGTGTTCCCGTCTTTTTGGGGTATGTCAAAGGGACACTAAGACAACATGCGATGCCTAAACTCAAAAAAACAAGGTAAGCCTTTTGGCACCATGACCAACATGGGCCAGCAGGGGGAAACCAGAAGGTCCAAGGTGGATCACTCCACTGTGCCTCCACCATGGAGTTGGCGGACGGTGCTGCCGGGATACTGGACAGGTGTCGCAGCCTGGGGTCCTCGCTATCCAAACATGAGTCATCAAAATATGGTAGCCAAATGGTCTACCCATGCCGCGTACAGAATTGAACAGCGGATATCCGCACCCATCTATGGCTACCCGGGTTATTTAGTTGTGGCTCACATGGGTGTCTTTGCGCGTGGTGTTTTGAACCTTTTCACCTTTTGAAGAGAAAGTGGAAAGGAAAGCCAGGCTGTTTATCATGTTTACACCCACGTTTCACACACACTGGGAAAACCCAAACAAGGGCAGTTTGGGTGATTGGCAGCGGTTGAAATGGTGCCTTGGTTCCCATCCAAACATCAACACCCTCCCCCCTTGTCTCTCTATTACCTGCATGTCGGTACTTGGGGCAGTGGGGGATGGTAGAGATACAAGCTATGCTACAAGAAAAAGGTACTCTCTGCTTTCTAAACTGCCGGGCCGTCTAAAGCTGACAATCTTGCAAACAACAGACCGGCTGTTATCAAACATCGTGCCTCCCAATTTCAAATGTCAGCCCAGCTAGTGCTCTACACCCAGCTGAAGCTGATCTAGCAACACATATCCATCAGCTCTGGGCGAACCTGCTCCTGCATGTCCAAATGAGATTCTAAAGGTGCCATCATGGTGTACTGGTGGAAAATGATCCAAGCTATGGCTTCATCACCCTGACTCAAAAACCGCCGGGACCAAATGATCAGCACTTCATTCTAGGTCCTCCAGTAGAGAGGTTAGAATAAGGGTACCCTTGTTTCAGGACGTCTATTTTAGTAGGGGAACCCTCCCAACCAAAAAAGGGGAGATAAACGGCACCTAGACTTGGAAAGCAAAGGCTGATGAAGCCGTTGCTTCCATCCCCAAAGCGATCAGTCCTCAGCAATCGTCCGAGGCATGGATTGTGGCAGTCCTGAAATGGCATCCCTCTGGAGTCCGGGGTCAGCGATCCACAAAAGATCAAGGCGTTGATTCCTTGTCCCTTCTTTTCTCGCCCATCGTGCCTTTCTCAAAAACCGACGGCTGTTTCTTGTGGGATTTTCCAAGATGGTTTCCTGAAAAGAAGGATCCCTGGAAAGAATGGGAAGCTTCCCCTGGAATAAAAGCTAGCTTCCCTCGGTATCTCCCACCTGGTTTGCAAAGATGTGACAAAGGGCCGACGATGGAGGCAGATATTTGGTTCAAAGGGGCTGCCCGGCATAGCGCCTGCAACTTCTTGTCAGGAGAGTCTGTCAGTGAAGAGGCCACCTAACGCTTGCTTTGATCTCGGATGGTCTTCATTCCACCCCCCCGCTGATATGTGGGAGGCAACGACGGGGCCGTGACACCAGTTCGAACCTTGTGTTTCGCATCATGGTATAAGATACAGTTGCGCAATGGGTGAGGCGTTGTCTTAGCCGCAGCTTGGCTGGCAAGCACAGATCATCGAGGTTCCTCCCTGGATCCTGGTGATGCTTTGAAGACTTCTGACGAACCAACCTACGAGGAGATCTGACACTTCATGGTACCACTCTGAGAGGCCGCACAGCTTGTGACTTGCACAGGCACAGTTTAAAGCATCGTGAGACGATAATCAAGGGCAAATCTCCATCAGCTCAAACAGTTTTTGAGCGCGATCGTCAGCAAAGCAGACTTTTACCCATTGACTCTTCACGCCACAGCCCCCGTCTTGCTCCTGCAGCCAGCATCTGAGCCTGGGCACCAACACATGCCGCTCTGGTAACGATGAGGCACTTGTTGACTCTTTGGTTGCACGAATCTTTACTTGCTCATGCAGTTGGGACACGTACGCTTGTAGATGTGTCTAGCTGCCTTTGCACTTGTCACCTGAGTATCCTGCAAGCAAACCGAACCAGCGAAGGCTGCAAAGGTAGGGCCAACCTCCTGGTTCCACATGTTTGAGCCATTGCAAAAGAGTATATCACACACACACACACACTCTCTCTCTCTCTCCCTCCCTCCCTTGTCTTGGTTTGCCTTCTGACTGGAGACTGACGCCCATTAGCTTCAATTGGGGCCCAGGCAAAGGAGTACACGATGATGGACAAATGCTGCGGAGAGCAGCTGTGCACCTGCGAGTCGCAAAGTTGACAGTCGCGGTCGATTTCTGCGATCAATGTAGCTGGGATTGGCAGGGTTGACTTTCATTTGTAGAGAAACACATGTGGCATGTATGGGTATGTACACTCGGCGGCAACAGTCAGTGCACGACAGCTTACACAAGCAAACCTGCATGAGACGCAAGCGCATTCACGAAGTCAGTGCAAAACTTGCCCAATCCCACTGTGACGCAGTATGTCAAGATGTCCGTTTTTAAGCACTACTTTGGACGTACGATGTGCAAATCCCAATGTAACGCAGTATGTCAAGATGTCCCAGACTAGGCTCCCAATTTGCCCAGAATTTGGCCGCAGCCTGGCTCCGAGCCTGCTTCTTGACCTGCAACAGAGTTGGATCATGTGTATACTCATACATTTATGACTACCCTTCCTCCCACTAACATGGCACCGGGAGGGTACCTGGAAGATCAGTTTTCTTTGGAGGAACCCCAAGTCGGGTGCCATGTTAGTGGGAGGGAGGGTAACCTTTCTCATGGTCAAGCAAGCTCTTTCAACTAGGTCCTCCAGATTTGAGAGCATAGAATAAGGGTACCAACTTGTTTCTGTCGTCTATTTTAGTAGGGGAACCCTCCCAACCAAAAAGGGTGAGAGACAACACTGGGGGACCTAGTCAACCTACTTTGCCTGGCCCAGCACCTCCCCGTCAATTTCCAAAATCTGAAGTAAGAATCGGAAGTAAAGGACCTGCATGGCTCGCTCGTTGTACCCTAAACGCTCCCCACCGAAAATCAAAAGGGTTGCTCCCAGACCTCTGAAGCAGGTCGATCACCTTCTGTAGATTCTTTAGGGAAAAGCCATTTGTGAAGCCACCAGGGCTACTTCAGGGCCATCCGGTCACGTTTTATGGCGTGGGTAAACATTTGGCATCAGCCATACTGTGGATGGACGAAATCCATTTCGCACCACCTAAGAAACCGTGGAATGATGACTCCCCTGCCACTACCAGCAAAAGATGGGACGCCCCCATGACTTCAAAGTGGTGCGAAGCGGAGTTTGTCCATCCCCAGGTGTCCCTTTAACTTTACATTTGTTCAAAAGTAGAAAATGGCAAACACTTACAAGAAAATAACCCGGTCATTAAAACGCGGCACTGCCCGGTCTTCCACATTCCCCAGTAGAAACGTGTCCTTGTTGCTTCTGTTCAGAAGTCGATGGGCTCCACCGGCCATAAACTTGTGGTTTTTGGTGCAGCCGTAGAAACCCAGCCCTGGTCTTTCAAGGGCCAAGGCAAAAACTCATCGGGCCCTTCTCGACGTTGGCCCTCGGTTGAAAAAAAACGCGCTCAAAGTTGTAGTAGTAAGCGAAATGGAGATCCAACCACTAAACACCACGAAAACTAAACACACAACTCAAACATTGACAAAAACAACAAAGAAGAAAGCTAAAGCACTAAACACAAATAAAACTGTCAAAAACTCAAACATCAAGAAAAACACTTAAAAAGCTAAAACACCAAACAACGAAAAAAAACAACAACTAAAAAAGCGAAGGATCCGGATGGCTGGGACCAAGAAAAAATAGCAGCGCCGTTTGCCCGCCTTCTGCACCACCTGCGAGGCGATGGTCTCCTCCAGGGCCCCGTCCCGCCGGCTCAGCCTTAGACGTTTTTCCAGCGAGTGACTTGCTGGCGTAAATGGAAAGGAGAACCAAACCAAACCAGAACTGTCTCGCAGATATGCCACATAATATATATACATATAAATGTTATGCTCGTATGTTGCGTGTATGTGTGTATGTATGTATGTATGTATGTATGTATTTATGTATGTATGTATGTATGTATGGATGGATGGATGGATGGATGGATGGATGGATGGATGGATGGATGGATGGATGGATGGATGGATGGATGTATGGATGTATATATATATATGTATATATGTATATATGTATGTTATGCATGCATGCATGCAGGTGTGTGTATGTGTGTGTGTGTCTGCATGTATGCATGCATGCATGTGTGTATGTGTGTATGTGTCTGTATGTATGCATGCATGCATGCATGCATGTATGTATGCATGTATGTATGCATGCATGTATGTTTGTTTGTATGTAGGAACAATTAAGGTCCGGTTTGAAGGCCTCCAGTCAAATTGTTCATATTGGTAGGTGGGAGGGTATATATAAAGAAAACCCCGAGACAGTTGTGCAAGCCTTTGCGATTGAAGTTGACTTAGTTGAGACAAATTATGTCAAGGTTCTGACCATGGAGTACGCATTGCCAGATTCCACCCTTTGCTCTGTTGCCTTGCTGGGGGTTCCATCATGATCCAATTGACTGCGAATGATGCTCTGTCCCTACATATACATAATATCCTATGTATTCTAGGGCGCCCTCCCCCCAAGTGTCAAGGCTTTACAATGCAGTTGCGTGGTGACTCACGACATAAGCAAACTAGACTCTTATATGCGAAATATCCCGGCGAAATATGTGCAGGTTCTGAGACAAAACGTTTAGCATGGGGATGCGGGACGACAGTTAAGTATGAGAGTCATCCTGGCAAAGTGTTAGCACGGGCAAAGACTTCCACCAAACTCAGAATCATTGCCCTTGGCAATGTTAAAAGGGAGTTTCAAAAACGTGTAGCCATCATCAAGGGCTTGACATAAGAAAGCAGTCTGTACTTTTACACCACTGCAGTCAAAGCACAATCGATGGTACTTCCAGCACTTGTGAGTCATGTCCACCCTTTCCACTTGTCACAAACATTCTAAACTTGAGCGGGAACTATTGTGTGCATGATGTCCATGCGCGTGCACAAAAAGCATTTTTCAACGCGCTTAATGCGCTTTTGGATTGAAGGCTGAAGCTTCTCGGTGACTCAGGACTGCAACTGTTGAACCTTCAATCCAAGAAACTCAGCCCTGAAATGCTCTTAAGCGCTTTAAAGCATTTGCCCGGGCTTTAACTTTCTGATTGGGATTCAATTACCAGAGTCCTCCGAATTGTCAATCTTCAGCCTTCACAATTTTCAGCCCTGAATGAAGGCCGCTGCAAGTGAGAATCAGCATTCAGCCCATGTGACCGCTGTGCAAATCATAGCCAAGCGACTTTGCGAAGGCCCAGGACAGATTCGCTAGATCCTGGCGATAATGGGCAACTCAACACGCACTTGTTCTGACGCATTTGCTGCACTGGGCGATGCGCACTGCATAAACGTCAATGATGCCACCCACACACTCACACACACTCCTATGAATTTATGTATATATATATATATATATATATTACATTTATTTGTTTATATACACAAGTATATTACAATGACTTTCACACCGACTCCTAACCAGGCGATTCGCCTACCATACTTACGCACACTGGCGGTTTGGAGGCGCTTTGCCACTGGGTTGGTTTTCCGAACCCGAAACCTCCAGTTACAGAAGCAAGCACCCCAGGGAAGGTACAAACATGTCACCTACCATGGGCCTAAAACCGAACTTCTGTTTGCATGGGTCTACAGAACGCTTTCCATGGGCGTAGCATGGGGCCGCAAAAGACAATTCTATGAGGTTTTGGAGAAGCCCGGAGTGAACCGCGTTTACACCCCGACACACTATGGAACCGAAGAAAACAAATCATTTGTAAAGGAGCTCCCTTTGGGGGACCCCGTTTTGAGGCTCCGTGATAGAGTTGGCAAGTAGATGACCTGATCCCATCATTTGAGTTAGTCATCTCCTCTTGCCCAAACGTAGTTGTTCTAGCTGGCCATGAATCAAAAACCCCTGCCCCCAGTGAACATCCCAATCCCCAATAAAACAGACTAAAATGGGTGGTGCACCTATCCCAAAATGGTACCATTGGTTTTGAACCATGGCCATCTTAGTTTCAAATAGATTCAGGGTAGCCCTCCCTCTAGTAGCCACATCTTAAGGTAGACGCTACTTTCACCACTTTGCAGGATATCCCCTTTTTGGCATCTCGTCGTTTCTGTCCTGGGCGCACAAGTCCGGGGCCAAATGCACAGCGCGCCGGGAGGTGGCGTCCAAAAGCTCCTGACGCGGTTGATGGAAAGTTGCCTGACTCACTTGCCCAAAGGACCTGGACATAAAAGGTTAACCTTTTGGGACCTCCACTAAAAATGGAGCAAACCAGGAAACCCAAAAGGTCAAAAGGTCGGTTTTGAACAACTGCGCTCAAGAATGGCTGTTGTTGTCAAAACCGTTTTGGTACCATTAAGGGTCATGGAGACTCTAGGTAATATATATATATATAGATATGAAGGTATATATTTATATGGCTGCGGTTGTCAAAACCGTTTTGGGATCCCATTTTGGTTGGTAGGTGAATTCACCACCCATTTTAGTACCTGTTTTAGTGGTTGGATTGGGTCCCGTTCACCGCGGGTATGGCCAAATGGGGATCTACCTCGTGGAACCAAGACAATGCTCAACTTCAAACAACGTGTCCCCAGGTGCTGTCCCCTTCAAACCCAAGAAAGCTTCCGATCGAGTGGATGGGAACCCAAAAGTAACCTAGCTTGTTGCTTGGCACTAAGATGGTCTTCTCAAAAAGAAAGTCCAGGAACTCAGGGAGTGAGAAAATGGGGATGTCAGTGGATGTCCTTCTAAGTATGGTGCATTGCGCCCAAGTGTTTGTGGGGTGGATCAGGGGCCAGTTCCCCTTTAAACATCGCCCATTTACAGAGAAGTCTGAACCTCCAACCTGGCTTATCTTGGCTTGCAAGGTTCAGGAATCCATGTGTAACCAACGGCGGCCAGAAAGGGAATTTTGAAGCGAGCAAGCACCCATGAGAGCTTGTACCAAGAGAACAAAGGCAGACCAGCACTCCCTGAAACACTAGCTGCTGGGCCCCTCCGAGGCTGCATAGTTCACAGTTGGGTGACAGTGGGTGGCGGAATTCCACTATATAGTTTAGTCCTTCCCTTTGCCGAATTGTGCCATCTATTTTTATGTCTCTGTTGGTGGATAATCACTATCGCCACCCCAAGCCGAAACAGTGCACGGTGAATGTTTGAAACACACAAGACCGTGGCCTGTTGGCGAAGCTTGGCCTGGAACCTGCTTGTTCAAACTGTAGGCAAGGTATGAAATATGAAGTGCTGTTCGGATGGCAGGCGAGTACAATTGGACTATAAAGGCCCCCATGGGTTCAACACATCTGCGCAACACGTGCAATTTGCAGTCCTACAGCAGATCATGCGCCTGGCAACCTCCACCTGGTGATTCCACATAAATTTTAAAAAAATGAATGTGAAACAACCACAACAAGCGGCAACCTGCGGTGGAACACTTCTTCTCTCCGATCACGTTCGATTGGCTTCAAACAAAGACCGTTCGATTGGCACGCCGAGACTCTTCCCAGGGCTTCTGTTCCCAGAGCTTCCGAAGGGTAAAGGTTGGCATGGGTTGACTTACCCCTGAAAACTCAACCTGCGCAACCTGGGGAAGTTCTCATCTTTTTGAAGACATATGGCCCATGTTGCCCAAGAAGTTACGAAAAGTTGTGTTTTTGAGAGGTAAGTGTAAATACTTGTTGAAGCTCCTACATGTGTTCGGCCCTTGCAACTCAACCACCTGGAAACACGTGGTTGATCGAAAGAAAAACGCCCAAAGCGATTCAGTCTGACGCCAGGCAGCGCAATGGACAGCCTCCACCCATCTTCCGGTCCGATTTCCAAGGTGCAAATTCTCGCACTGAAGACAAACGGAAATGATAGAATGACTCCCATAAATTCCTTGGAACAAAACTTGTAAATTGGATGATATGACAAAAGGAGCACATGGATGAACGAACCCCTATAACCAATAAACAATGGTTGATGGACCACTCCTGCGAAGCGGATTTTTGCCCACAGGAACGAAGAGAGAAGCCCCTCCTGGCTGACAAAGGACACCGAAGCAAAAGCCCAGACCTGAGCCAATTGAAGAGGCGGAGCGGAAAGTCGGCGGCCCGTCATGCGATCCAAAGGGGGCTTCATGTTGAGACATAACAACCCTTGCATCACAAACTTACATTGAAGATGTGTGGATGTGTGTGTGTGTGTGTGTCTGTGGGTGTGGTGTGTGTGTGGGTGTGGATGTGTGGGTGTGTGGGTGTGTGGGTGTGGGTGTGTGGGTGTGGATGTGTGGGTCCGTGTGGGTGTGGATATGTGTGTGTGTGCGCGTGCGTGTTTTTCTGCATTGCTTCATGGCGAAGATCCCCTCTTACGCACCCTCAAATGCATGCAACACATTGTGTGATATCTTGAACATGGACGTGCTTGACAATGGTACCAACATAAGCTGGTGAAATTTATTAAGTGCAATGCCTTAGCCTTCATTGTATTGTTGTTTCACGTCGGTATGATTTGCCCAAAGGATTCCCCGTTTTGACAAAGCTGCCATACTCCTAGATGTTCAACGTTGCGACATAGATGGCCCTGGATAAATGATTACAACCAGCTGCATCCATCAGTGTTCACCCAAACTGAAACCAGCAACGACAGGCTAAACTACACCAGTTCCCCAACCATCATAGCTTGCACAACTTTCCCTTCCCCAAGGAACCTAACCTTCACAGAGTCGCAAAAACCCTAATCCCTAGGCTCCCATCTCCCATGTCCTCCCATCTCGCTTCCGCTCGCGCTTCCGCTCGCGCTTCTGCTGGCCGGGGCGCCGCGTTGGAGCAGTTCTGACCGTTGAAGTCCCCCGCCAGCTCCGCCCCCCGGCGGCCCAGGAGCTCGAAGAAGCGGCGCCGTGCCAGGGACACCTGGCGAGAATTGGGACGTCCACGTGGAGTACTTTTTTTGTGTGGGTGCTTCTTTGTTGGGGCCCCCTTTTTTGGGGTCGTTGTGTTTGTTCAAAAAGAAAATCGGAAAACAAAAAGAAACACTGCTACACTACCGAACTTGTTTGGTGTGTGTGTGTGTGTTTTGAAGGGGGGGCCCTTTGGGCTTGTTTTTTGGGTGTGCGCTTCTTTCTCTTGTCGGGCTCCCTTTTTTGGCTCCTTGCGTGTTTGCTTTTTCGGAAAACCAAAAGGAACAGCACCCGAATGTGGGGGGTCGGTCTCATTTGGCTCACATGGCATGCCCAGTTCAAGGGAACCTGCAACCCTTACAAGGATAGCGCTATGCGGTGTCGTGCTTGGAAAATCCCTTCGAACATCACCGAAGTGGAGAAGGGGACTTGTCAAGACCATGAAAGTCTTGAAAAACACACCGGTAAAAACTTCGACGCTTGCTGGACAACTGCTAGACAGAAAATCCCTGGAGTCCGACTTGCAACAGGGCTTTCATACCTCTAAGTAATCAATGCGCGAATGACACACACACACACATCGTAAACTATCAGTTACCTGAAGTAAGCCTCTTTCAAAAGAGGAAAGTACAATCAGCTGCGGTTCAGAGATTTGGGCGTTCGAATCCCTTTTCAAAAGTGGGTCGTCTACTTGAAACCCGTGCAATAGTAGGGCTGATACGAACACGGGGGGTTCCTAGAGAATTGGGGCACACCTATCTCAAAATAGGGCAACACCTTACGGTTTTCCGCTGGCTTCCCTTTACATGAAGCAACTTCTTTTGGGGATTCCCCCAAAAGGAAAGGATGCCAGGATGGCATGTTTATACTTGCGGGTTGGTGTTGGACGGGGGTAACATCGGCCCGTCCACAAGCATCTGTGATGGGATTGGGGCGCGTGTCTATTTCCCTGTGGCGGATAATTCTTTGCATTTGTCACGGGCTCCTAGGCATTGTAGTTTCTTCGACTCCAACTCATGGATGCACATTTGCAGGGATAACTTTATGCCTGCTTGTTTTTGTTTGGATGTAGTGCTGCTGCCAATTGAAAATTGATCAACAGTTAAGCTCCTCCTTCTTCGACCATCCCCACCCGAGAATCGAGGCAGCGTTTCTCTACTCCAGACGGTGGCAATGACAATCACAGCATGCTCATAACAACCTGCGCTTGAAAATGGGTAAGCTTCTGTCACGTAATTCGTGTAGGTACAAAGCGCGAAACACAAGTTTGGATGCGAAAACGGACAAGTTTCTGGAGGGTGTCCGCAACTGAGTTTCCACTTGAAATGCGAGATAATGCGAGTGGCAGGTTCAAAATCTGCGTTAGCCCCGCACGGATGTTGATCTGCGGGGAGTAACCAACTGCAACACAACAGGCCGCTTAGCAACCCGTCCAGTGTCCTCGTCCGTGGCAACTCGATGGCATTTTGCTTCCCGCCAAAAGTTGCCCCACAACTATTGCCAAACTCCACTTTAGTGCTACTGTGGGTGGACGAAAACCTACACCATCTAAGAAACCCTGGAATGATGATTCCCTGTAACTACTAACAAAGGTGCAGGATTTTGTCCATCCACGGTAGCAATAAAAATGAACAGAGCCAGACAACGTCAAACAACGAAAAACGGGTGCCGGAACAGTCCCCCCGCCCATCGGGTGTTTGGGCGTCCGAGCAGGTCATGGACCCCGAACCAAACGGTAACATGGCCTGAACAAATAGAGTAAGCTTGTGCAGTACTTCAACACCAAGCTGAATCATGATTCTAGAAATCTCACTATTACAGTTGGGTGAAAAACTAAATGGCAAAACTTCAACGACCCATCTGGATCTGGCCATCCCATCTTCTTTCCCACATATCTGCTTGCACGGTGCAACTAGTCGGCCCCCCAAACCGCGAGTCGAGGGTTCGAGGGTTCTGAACGGGCTTCGGGTTTGGCCTTGGCAAAGGCCCAGGCCATGTTCACCAAGTTCTGCGGGGAGAAGTGCCGAAGCTTCTGCTCGCACTCTTGTTCCTAAGGTCGCCAGACCGTGGCTATGTCTCGTTTTGGGATCCCCAAGGGTGGCCACCTGTGGATTCCCTTCACGCCAAGAGAGGTACCAACCAAAAAGACGAACCAAGAGGGTGCGACAAAGACTGTAATGCGGTTTGGACACTTCTGGATGCTTTTGGTACTGGCCACAAGCAACAATTCCCAGCTCTCAAGGGGTCTGAGTCGACAAAGAGGAAGACGGTCCCGGCTTTGCTGAAATGTCCAATTCCCTTGCGTCGTCCCGTAGCTCTCCCGCAAGCAAACACCGTCGCAAACCAAGCCTCAGGGCATCAGCAAAGCGTTTTTGGCTGAAACGCGGCTGCCATTTTTGGGAGGCCTCCCGTTTCAGTTTAGGAAAATCAAGGGACCTCTGACTGAGGTACTCATCTTTGTTGTTGCGTACCATTGCGCCTTGCTGCGTCTTCTTGACTGCCCTTGGCTTTCCATGAAACTGCTCAAAGTGCTTTGCTGGTCCTTACTGGGAAAAAGTGCAGCGAATATTATACAGACCCTTGTGATATCGTTTGCAGGACATAGCGAAAAATAATGGGTCAATTTGGTACCAAGCAGAGAGAACCAATTTGTGGAGATATCCCCAATGAGAAACGTTACACCTTCCAGCACCCAGCTTCCAAACTGGCGTGTTCAAGATGGGGAGGTGATCCTAACCTGTAGGGAGCCACTACACAAGGGAAACCACTTCAAACCACCACCATCTTGCAAAATCTGCCCAAACCTACCTCAGCCCTCGCCAACCATGAAAACTAATCCCTTTGATTCTGAAAAATGTAGTGAGTACTTGTCATTTCTTCAGTTAGGTCCACAAAAACTCCTTTTGCCCCCCAAACCCATCCCTTCGGAAAGCAAAAAAAGAGAAAAAACAAGGATAAATAACACACACACACACAAAACACAAAACACAAACACACACACACACACACACACACGCACCCACACACACACACCCACACACACACACACACACGCACGCCCGCCCGCCCGCCCGCCCGCCCGCCGCCGCACGCACGCACGCACGCACGCACGCACGCACGCACGCACGCACGCACGCACGCACGCACGCACCCACACACACACACACACACATTCACACACATTCACACACACACACATTCACACACACACACACATTCACACACACACACACATTCACGCACACACACGCGCGCAAAAAGACATAATAATAATGATGATAATAATAATAATAATAGTACTGATAAAAATAATACAAATGATAGTAGTAATAATAATAATAATAAACTCGAGGCGCCGCGGCATCGAAGAGCCGCGGGTGGCGCAGCTGCAGCTTCGCGAAGGCCCAGCTGAGGTTGGCGATGTTCAGCGCGCTCCAGGCCTCGCTACCGACGACCGCGAGACGTTCGACCGACCGCTGGAGATGCTTGAGACGCTTGAGACCACTGCCGGCCGGGTCCTCCAGATTTGAGAGGGTAGAAGTTGGTACCCAACTTTTTGCAGGAAGGCTATTTTAGTAGGGGAACCCCTCCCAACCAAAAAGTTGGGGAGAGAAGGGCGCTACTGGGGGGCTTTCGACCACGACCGCAAGACCGACCGCTTTGGACCGACCGCTTGCGAGACCGGCGGTTGGCGGTCTCGCTTGCGAGACCGGCGGTTGGCGGTTGGCGATCAGTGCTGGGCCAACATTGGGTTTTGGGAAAAACGAGAGGTTTCTGCCTCTTTGCGCATGGGTCAATGACCATAAATTAAAATCAACTGGTTCTGTTCACGTGACATTTAGCATCTGAATGGCGCACCCCACACGAAACTTAGAACCCCTGGCAATATTCATGTTGAGGACCCAGTTCAATGGTCAATGTACGTAGCCTCGGCAAGTTTCCATTACCAGCCCCATAACGTACCCCTAACCCAGTTTTTGCTTCTACGACAGTTTCATAGCAGGAGCCGCTGTTTCCTGTGGGGCACAAGTTGGACAAGAAGCCACACAACACGATCGAATCTGACAATCTGTGTCTGTCTTCGTGCCATCAGGAATCTTGGCACAACTGGTGGGTCCCCAGGCAACATGTTTTTCGCATGTTTAGAACCATGTTGTAACACAAAGCAAGCTGACTCTGCTGTAAACGCAACTGTGGATGGACAGAATCCACTTCGCACCAGCTGGTAGGTGGCTCATCCCAGTACTCTTCATCATTTGGTGCTGAATTTGGGTGTGTCCACCCACCCCTTCGCAAACACATCCTAGGGTCCTAGATTTGAACACTGCAAAACTCCAAGAGGCTGCGCCTGCATGGAATGCAGCGCATCTTCCGCCACGGCTTGCGCAGCTCTGGCGGGTGGCCTTCGGAGAAAACCAGCATTTGGCCAGGGCTGCGATGACAACTTCTGTGATACTGTGGATGGACGAAATCCTGCTTCACCTAAGAAACCCTGGAACGATGATCCCTTTCCCATGGTTTCAAAGTGGTGCAGGATTTCGTTTGTCCACAGACAACCTAAAGGGCTTCCCAAAGACAAACCACCGATATACAGGGGGAGATTCCCTTGTATCACAGAAGTGGGGATAAACCCCTTGATCCCACAACCTTGCATTTGACGGGTGGGCCAATTAGGTTTCCCCGAAACGGCCTGTGGCCTTACCAATTATGCAGCCTACACACTGCTTCCGTTTGCGCTCCTCAGTAATTTCAAGGGTGAGTTGCCACTTGTCTGTAGTTCGGGAATCTATGGCCTTTCTGGTTGATCTAAACATCACTTGTCACGACACACACACACACACACAGACACGCACACACACACGCACTCAAACACCCCCACACACACAAAATTAAAGGATCAGGTCACCCCACATGTCTATTAAGAAACGCGTGAGTGGGTAAGTGTGTCAATGAGTGAGTGTGTCAATGAGTGAGTGAGTGAGTGAGTGAGTGAGTGAGTGAGTGAGTGAGTGAGTGAGTGAGTGAGTGAGTGAGTGAGTGAGTGAGTGAGTGAGTGCGTGCGTGCGTGCGTGCGTGAGTGAGTGAGTGAGTGAGTGAGTGAGTGAGTGAGTGAGTGAGTGAGTGAGTGAGTGAGTGAGTGAGTGAGTGAGTGAGTGAGTGAGTGAGTGAGTGAGTGAGTGAGTGAGTGAGTGAGTCAGTGGGTGGGTGAGTGAGTGAGTGAGTGAGTGAGTGAGTGAGTGAGTGAGTGAGTGAGTGAGTGAGTGGGCGGCGGGGTTGGAGCCCGAGTCTTATTGGCCTTTTCACTAAAAGCTGGCAAATGTCAAAAGCAAACGACCTTGAAAGCAAACAGACATGTGGCATACTAGTACTGGCCTCTACGCTCGCGAGCCGCCAATCCAAGCGTCAGATAGCAACAACGCTGTCCAGTCATCAAGCGAAGAGAAAATTAAAGGACCGGACTCCTACGCTTGCCACTATTTTGCGTGCCCCCAGCCGCGCGCGCGACAACATCCTGTCCCTTTAGACAGCTGCCAAACGCTGCCCCGGCCGCATAAACACACTGAGTGAGTGAGTGAGTGAGTGAGTGAGTGAGTGAGTGAGTGAGTGAGTGAGTGAGTGAGTGAGTGAGTGAGTGAGTGAGTGAGTGAGTGAGTGAGTGAGTGAGTGAGTGAGTGAGTCAGTCAGTGAGTTGGTGAGTGAGTGAGTGAGTGAGTGAGTGAGAGTAAGTGAGTGAGTGAGAGTGAGTGAGTGAGTGAGTGAGTGAGTGAGTGAGTGAGTGAGTGAGTGAGTGAGTGAGTGAGTGAGTGAGTGAGTGAGTGAGTGAGTGAGTGAGTGAGTGAGTGAGTGAGTGAGTGAGTGAGTGAGTGAGTGAGTGAGTGAGTGGAGTGATGGAGTGAGTGAGTGAGTGAGTGAGTGAGTGAGTGAGTGAGTGAGTGAGTGAGTGAGTGAGTGAGTGAGTGAGAGTGAGTGAGTGAGTGAGTGAAGTGAGTGAGTGAGTGAGTGAGTGAGTGAGTGAGTGAGTGAGTGAGTGAGTGAGTGAGTGAGTGAGTGAGTGAGTGAGTGAGTGAGTGAGTGAGTGAGTGAGTTGGAGTGAGTGAGTGAGTGAGTGAGTGAGTGAGTGAGTGAGTGAGTGAGTGAGTGAGTGAGTGAGTGAGTGAGTGAGTGAGTGAGTGAGTGAGTGGTGAGTGAGTGAGTGGTGAGTGAAGTGAGTGAGTGAGTGAGTGAGTGAGTGAGTGAGTGAGTGAGTGAGTGAGTGAGTGAGTGAGTGAGTGAGTGAGTGAGTGAGTGAGTGAGTGAGTGAGTTGAGTGAGTGAGTGAGTGAGTGAGTGAGTGAGTGAGTGAGTGAGTGAGTGAGTGAGTGAGTGAGTAGTGAGTGAGTGAGTGAGTGAGTGAGTGAGTGAGTGAGTGAGTGAGTGAGTGAGTGAGTGAGTGAGTGAGTGAGTGAGTGAGTGAGTGAGTGAGTTGAGTGAGTGAGTGAGTTGAGTGAGTGAGTGAGTTGAGTGAGTGAGTGAGTTGAGTGAGTGAGTGAGTTGAGTGAGTGAGTGAGTTGAGTGAGTGAGTGAGTGAGTGAGTGAGTGAGTGAGTGAGTGAGTGAGTGAGTGAGTGAGTGAGTGAGTGAGTGAGTGAGTGAGTGAGTGAGTGAGTGAGTGAGTGAGTGAGGTGAACAGCGAGTGTACTTATTAGGGTGGGTGAGTGAGGGTGAGTGAGGTGGTTGAGGTGAGTGGGGTGTGGGTGCTGGTGAGGGAGTTGAGTGAGGTGAGTGGGTGAGTGAGGTGAGTGAGGTGGGTGAGGGTGGTGAGGTGAGTGAGGTGAGTGAGTGAGTGAGTGAGGTGAGTGAGGTGGTGAGTGAGGTGAGGTGAGGTGAGTGAGGTGAGTGAGTGAGTGAGTGAGGTGAGTGAGGTGAGTGAGGTGAGTGAGGTGAGTGAGGTGAGTGAGTGATGAGTGAGGTGATGAGATGTGAGTGAGGTGAGTGAGGTGAGTGAGGTGAGTGTGGTGAGTGAGGTGCGTGAGGTGAGTGAGGTCAGTGAGGTCAGTGAGGTGAGTCAGTGAGTGAGGTGAGTGAGGTGAGTGAGGTGAGTGAGGTGAGTGAGGTGAGTGAGGTGAGTGAGGTGAGTGAGGTGAGTGAGGTGAGTGAGGTGAGTGAGGTGGGTGAGGTGAGTGAGGTGAGTGAGGTGAGTGAGGTGAGTGAGGTGAGTGAGGTGAGTGAGGTGAGTGAGGTGAGTGAGGTGAGTCAGGTGAGTGAGGTGAGTGAGGTGAGTGAGGTGAGTGAGGTGAGTGAGGTGAGTGAGGTGAGTGAGGTGAGTGAGGTGAGTGAGGTGAGTGAGGTGAGTGAGGTGAGTGAGGTGAGTGAGGTGAGTGAGGTGAGTGAGGTGAGTGAGGTGAGTGAGTGTGAGTGAGGTGAGTGAGGTGAGTGAGGTGAGTGAGGTGAGTGAGGTGAGTGAGGTGAGTGAGGTGAGTGAGGTGAGTGAGAGTGAGTGGAGTGAGTGAGGTGAGGGAGGCGGTGAGTGAGGTGAGTGAGGTGAGTGAGGTGAGTGAGGTGAGTGAGGTGAGTGAGGTGAGTGAGGTGAGTGAGGTGAGGTGAGGTGAGGTGAGGTGAGGTGAGGTGAGGTGAGGTGAGGTGAGGTGAGGTGAGTGAGTGAGTGAGGGGCGAGCGGGCGAGTGACTGAGTGAGTGGGCACACAAACAAATGGCATCTCCAAAGCGCTACGCCTGCCACGAGTTTGCGCGCCCCGAGCCGCGCGCAAATGCTGCCCCTGCCACACAAAATACGCCCAGATGCACAGAGTGCTGCGCCTGCCACGATTTGGGCAATGGCGTGTCCAAAGTGCTACGCCTGCCACGATTTCCCGCGCCCCGAGCCGCGCGCGCGACAACATTCTGTCCCATTAGACAGCTGCCAAATGCTGCCCCTGCCACACAAAATGAACCCAGATGCACAGAGTGCTGCGCCTGCCACGATTTGGGCAATGGCGTCTCCAAAGTGCTACGCCTGCCACGATTTCGCGCGCCCCGAGCTGCGCACGCGACAACATCCTGTCCCTTTAGACAGCTGCCAAATGCTGCCCCTGCCACAGAAAATACGCCCAGATGCACAGAGTGCTGCGCCTGCCACGGCTTCGGCAATGGCATCTCCAAAGTGCTACGCCTGCTTGCGTCCCTGGAAGCTATCGGACAAGTTGTGTCGAATTGCATAATTGTTCATCCAGGGCCTGATGTTTTGTGTGCTTGACAGCTCGCATTCAGACATTTCACCACCAAACCACTCGGGAACACCCCAGACACGATGAAACCACTCGGGAACACCAAGCAACGAACGTCTTGGGGAAGCCAAGCCGAGATTCACAAAAGCACCTTGGGAAACAAGTTCGGTCCAGTAGAGAGGGGGAACCGAATCTCCCCCGAGAAAGGGGGAGAGAAGGGCACTACTCGTGCCCGTCACTTTTCTCGGGCCCGAAACTTTGGGGCCCAAGCTGAGCTGCAACCTTGGCGAAGGCCCAAAGGATATTCGCCAAGTTCTGCTGCGACCTCGCAATGCAGCCTTTGAATGCACTCCGCAGCCGCAACATGGTTTCCACTACCCCCAAACGGCGACTTTGAACAGCGAGAAACACAGTCCTATCGCTTTGATTTGGAGGCAGCGGGTTCCAGATAATGGTTCCAATGAAAATGGACTAAAACCAATCTAAACCAGTGCCATCCATGTTTAACCAAACTAATCCAAGAAGGACACCTATGGTTCCAAACTTGATCAAACATCCATGTCCAAAAGGACACGGGACAACCCGACTAGACATTGCCTGCCTCGCGGGCTTATCTTCGCTAGCACCTGCAACAACACGCCAAGATAACTGCACCAATGCTGCGTTGCGCGCTGTTGAATCTATTCTTCCACGTTGCGGCACATCTGAAAACTGCTTCATATTATATATGTTCATCACCTGCTCAGATCAAACAAGTACAGTATTATAGACTATGGTATTAGCATGGGTCATGAGAATAAAAACGCAAGCCCCCAGAACTACTTAGGTGCGCTTGCTTTGCAACACTGGCAAGCCCATCTTCCCATCACTCTCCTTGGGTTCTTTTGTGGTTACTGGGCTCGCCACTTGGGAACGCAAATTAGTGGGGATGTGGGGGAAGTGGAGATGAGACGCAGCCCCAAATGATAGTACGAAATGGGGCTGGGAAAATCACACCATACTGTGGAAGGGCAGAAACATGCCAAGAATGGGCTAAACTACCTACCAACCGGTACAGGATTTGGTCCATCCACAGCATCTCCACTTCCGCCGTTTCCCTAATTGGCTCTTCGCCCCTCGCTTCCGCGAAGCAAACGCCTGGATTTTTTCCGCGCATGGGTATCCCAGCCAGCCGGTGACGCCATCCGCCAACTCCTGTGCGATGGCGTTCATCAACAGGTCCTGGCGCCTCAATCGATACGACGCAAACAAATGTTCGTGGATACGTCGCGGTTTAGCATTCGGAACTTATGCTCTGGGAAGTTGGTCAGATCAGGCGATTTTACTGCAAAGCCGGAGTTGTCACATCCTCAAAGACGTGGCTAAACGGCTCAGTTCAAAAAGCAGAACAATGAATCACCGAAGCCACGCATGCCCATCTGGAGCCAATGGCAGTACGTCCCCCAGAACAAGGCCGTTCTCAATTCGCAGGTCACACGAATCACAGCTGATGTGCCTACGTGTTAAAACCTTTGCCGGCATCTATAGCGTGCATGAAAGGAAGGGACTACCACATCACTCCCAATTCTTGCTGAACGTAGGGCTTCTTTTGAGCTGTCCTTTGATCGGCTCCTGATTGATTGGGTTGTCGAAGGTATGCTGTTATAAGCAGTGAGTCATGTGAATGCATCAATGCCAGCACCAAACTGATACGATGTTTGCGTCAACAAGGACGATCTGACCTGCCCCTCCCTAATAGCATTGTACATGCCAGTCCCAAAGCTCCCTCCACTCGTGCACTGGAACATGCAAAAGCAAATTGCACATGTGCTCTTGGCTGAGCCCATCAACTACTATATAAAAAACAAAATGGGGCACCGAAACAGGGCATCCCTACCAATCCGCCAAGTTGGTTCATCCAGGGTCAACCTTACGTTGGTCAACTGGCTATCCTGAACCTAGGATCCAAACATCCTCTGCGTTTTCAGCATTTTTAGTCAAAGACCAGTTAACATGGTTGACGTTGGAAGGAGATTAAAAAACACATTTAGCAGTTTAGTGAAATGTCCCACTAAACCACAATAAGCGACAATGTAAATGTTTCCCAACAACAACCATGTTAAGACTTCACCAAACATTCACCCAGCACCAGGGCCCACCCATCTTTTCGTGCCCAGCTGACGGCGATCATCTCAGCCGGCGATGCCCCACAAGGTTCCCTGCGGGCATGGTACTGACCGCAGCGCGGATTCTGAGACCACGCGGATCTTTTTGTAAGAAGATCAACAACTCACAGAGAGAATGCGCAAATCGAAATGTGTCTTTGTCCCAGGATTGGACCCAGAACCAAATGACGTTTCCTCGCGCGGTCCAGCTGAGCGGCCCTAGGCTTTGAACCATTCGACCACAGTCGCACGGGGGTGAAACGCGCACGAAAAACTGAAGTACCATGAGAAGAGTCGGGTTAATCCCAACAAAGATGATCTGGGCGTCAAAATTAGGGACCTTTGCAGGTGGTCTCTTCGGATCCTTTGGAGAGCATATGAAGCATAGCTGAAAGGTCCCAAGTTTTGATCCATGCCAGGCTACATTTCTGCTCAGGCCTACCCAGGGCAAAGCGGAGCGCTGCTGGTGGGAAGAAACGAAGCCGCGCCATCGCGTTATCTTGCATGCGGTGCCAGTGAGATCACAGCCCGACCCGTGGGCGCGAGTTTGCCATGTCACCAGGCATAGAGCAGGCATTCCAAGGGGCAGATGTGGCCATGGGGCAAAACCTATGGCTCCATTTTGGGGTGGATGAACATCCATTTGCCATCTATCTTGATAATAGACCAGGGGTACAGAGTTTTGACCACAGCCATGTTGGGGTGCACTGATTTTCATGCGACCAGTTTGATTCTCCCCTGTGGCTCGGCTGTCACTCAATTCATTCGCTGTGATACACCCCGAATAGAAGCGGAGCACAAGAACGAGATCAGAGTCCGGCCAAGCCGTTGTTTGCGAATGCAATCTCGCCCCTCAAGCAAAGTTAGTCAAAACATACATCGTACATCGGGCAGCAACATTTCAGCCGGTCAAGGCGACTGACTAAGCGGCCCAAGTGTACTTATCCTTCAAAAGACCCTGCCAAAGCAGCTAGCTATCCCAAGCTGATTGCATGTCCGCGCAAAGCCAAAGCGCAGACCTTGTTTCCTTTTACTGCGCCAAAGATTGACAAGGTAGCGAAAACACAGAGTGATGCAACTCCCTTTGCTGTCTTTTGACACATGGGCCGGGAAACTCTTCCTGCTGTAGCGACAAGTCCCAGTCTTGAAAGAGAAATACAAGTAGGTGGTTCAATCCGGACAGCCTTCAACGGAGTGAAACACGTGCCAAGCTGCCCCACATCCTCTGCAGGTTGCTACGCGTGTTTGCATTTCACTCGCATCTCTCAGAGCTGAATTCAGATAGGTCCTTTCCAATGCAAAATAGTTGGACAACTGGTGAAGATCAGACATTGCCAACTGCATACACAATCATGCCGGGCGTTTGCCCTGTCAAGATCTCAAGCTACTGCCCCTGTGGGAACTGCCTGCTCCAAGTCTAACCCGCTTGGGATCAACGGTGCTTCGGAGCCCTCTCGGTCCAGAAGAGCGATGTTCTCCATTCCGGCGATCTCTGTCCGAGCGTCATTCTCCGGTACAGAAGGCTCTACAACACGTGTCCATTAACAAGCATGGTTGCAAGAGGGGGATATGTCGTTCTTGGCAAAACAAACTTTGGACAAATCTGGTGTGTTTCTTGCTGAGTGTTGGCTGTCTTTCGTTTGTTGCTTGTTGGCTGCTGCTTGCTGTTTGTTAGTCTGTTGTTTGTCGCATAGCTTGCTTGTGTGTTGTTCATCTTTTTGAATTCTTTACTGGTGTGTCTGTCCACTTATATGGTTGACTGTTTTGTGCTTTGGTGTTTACTTGGTTTGTTCGCTTGCTTTGGTGCATGTTGTTTGATAGAAAGGGTTCTTTCTGTGTTCATTTACTTGTCATATTTATTTGCTTCGTTGCGTTGCTTGTTTGATTGCTTGCGTGTGTGGCTACGTGGCTGCTCGAGGGTCTGCACCCCCATCCCCAAGCCTTCCCCAGGGCACCGTGCGATGGCCCAGTCTGAGGGGCGCCAATTTTTTTTGGGGGGCACGTGGCGCAGAGCCAGGGTCGGAGAGCCGGCGAAGTCAAGAGGCCGCAGATCCAGAGGTCCCAGTTTCTGTCTTTGGCTCTGTGTGTTGGATGCGTTGGCTATTGCCTGCTGGTTTCTCCCCCGGCCTTTCTTAAGTTTGTCGCTCCTCCTTGTCGTAGTAATTAGTTGCTCTTTACTTATGTAACTAGGTGGTCATGATGTCCTGCTATGTTTCTTCTGTTCTTTGTTATCTCTTTCTTTCTTTATGTCTTTCTTTCTATAGTTCTACTTCTTTCTTTATCTCTGTAGTTTTCCCTGATGTTTTTTTTTTTTTTTTATACATGTCGGTCTGCAAGCTTGTGGTTGATTGTTGCTTGTCTGCGATTGCTTGGTTTGTTGTTTCTGTTTGTTCATTTTGCGTTTGATTGTCTGATTGCTTGCGTGTTGCGCTTGATTCTAGCTGGTTGAGTTGCAGCTGTTTGTTTGGCAGCGTGTTTCGATTGTTTGTCTGTCTGTCTGTCTGTCTGTCTGTCTGTCTGTCTGTCTGTCTGTCTGTCTGTCTGTCTGTCTGTCTGTCTGTCTGTCTGTCTGTCTGTCTGTCTGTCTGTCTGTCTGTCTGTCTGTCTGTCTGTCTGTCTGTCTGTCTGTCTGTCTGTCTGTCTGTCTGTCTGTCTGTCTGTCTGTGCTTCTGTCTGTGTGTCTGTCTGTGCGTCCGTCTGTCTGTCTGGCTAATTCCTGGTCTGCTTGTTTATTTGTTGTTCATTGGTGCGTAGGTTTGTGAGGGGTGGGGTGGGTGGGTGGGTCGGTGGGTGGGTCGGTGGGTGGGTCAGCAGGCTCGTTGGTTGGTTGGTTGGTTGGATGGTTGGCTCGTTCGAACGTTTGTTCAGTGATTGCGTGCTGGCTGTTGTTCGCCGCGTGTACGTTTTGTTATCAGCATTTTTCTTGCGCATTGCGGTTTGCTGCTTCCTTGCTTGATTGCTGCTCATTGTTGCTTTGAACGATGTTGTGTGTTGCGTGATGCTTGCAGCCAGCAGGAGAAGTAGTAGTAGCAGTAGTAGTTGTAGTAGGGGTAGCAGAAGTTGTAGCAGCAGCGGTCGGCAGTCGCAGTAGCAGTGGCAGTGCCAGTAGCAGTAGCTGCAGCCGCAGCAGCAATAGTAGTGGTAGTGGTAGTGGTAGTCGAAGTAGTAGTAGTAGTAGTAGTAATAGTAGTAGTAGTAGTAGTAGTAGTAGTAGTAGGAGGAGTGGCAGTGGAAATGCTAGTAGTAGTAGCCTTCCTATTTTCATCTGTTCGTTCTATTCCTTTTGCTGGTGGGGGAAGGGGGTCATCTCGTGCTTTCCAGTGTCGGGCGGGGGGTGGTGGGGGGGGCGGGGTCTCGTTGTCTTCCTTGTTGCGCATTCAAACATGACGAGGCATCTTGAGCCCTCAAAACTCAGAAGATGTTCTTTCTCAAATGTCAGTGTGGCAACATTGCTTCAATCAGAAAATGGTGTCTTTCAAGTGTGACAATGTCGTCATGTAGCATCACGGACGCTGTCTCTCAAGTGTCTAAACGTCCACCTTTGACATCTAGGGCTCAACATGCTCCACCCCGACATGCCGCTACAGCAACGCTTCATCAACTACAACGAGCCAGTAGTTACGTTCAACTTTCGGGCATCCAAGTCGTTCCAAAGCGCCCAAGACCTAGGCGAAAACTCAATCGATGGCCACGAAACCATGCGGGAAATTCGGCACATCACGCATGCAACTACTTCTACTTCTGCCACTACTACCACTTCTACTACTACTCCTCCTACTACTACTCCTCCTACTACTGCTGCTACGAGTTTCAATAGTAGTGGTAGCAGCAGCGGTAGTGGCAGTAGTCGTAGAAGTGGTCTTGGTGGTCGTAGTGGTAGTTGTCGTGGTAGAGGTAGTGGTGAGCGGAGGTACTAGTCGTAGTAGTAGCGGTAGAAGGCAGCAGCAGCAG